TGTTGACACCGGTGACGAAGAAAGTGGCCTTCGCTCCGGCAGCCTTGTACTGATCCAACACACCTTCAGTGTAGATGTAAGGACCGTCATCATATGTGATAGCGATCGTGTTTGGCTCGGTGCAGTCGTAGATGCCTTCTCCACCGTACGGCTGGTTGCCGAGCTTGGGACGAGCAATGTTGCGAGTGCTGCCTCCAGTAGGGAGTTTGTTGGCATCACAGGCAGGGCCATACTGGAACTGACAGTCTGGTGCTTCGCAGTAGTCACCTATGAAGATTAGCACTTGTCTCTCAAGTTGTACCCGAATACCTTACCTCCTTGACCACAGTAGCCTTCTACAGAGCAACAGTAGCCCTCCGCGCAGCTTGCACCGCCGTTGTTCGGCCCGCACCGACCATCAATACCACCTTGACGCGCCGTCAAACGTAGATTGGGCCCTGCAACGTGCGCCGCATGTCCACCAAGAATATTCCTGCTCCTCAGTTGACCAATCTCTCGGGGTCCAAGGCCAACGATCTTCGGTACAGGGAAGTCGCTGTGAGCAGCCACGAGGGGTGCGACCAGAGCCGCAGCGTATAGTCCAGTGTAGCGCATTATGATAACGTGACTATGAGTACAACCAAAATATAATTGAAGAATAAACGAGTGTAAGATCAAGAAGATCGACCGATATTAAGTCCGAAGAAAAGGTAAAGACGACACTGTAAAGAGTGAACAGAACGCCTTTTGACCTTTTCACAAAGTGGGCAAGGAAAAAAAGATAGACCAAGAGAAGCAACAAAGGGATGTGGGTGCGAATTCCATATAAGAGGCGACAGAACTACCGCATGCCCAGACATTAGAAAAAGATGCCCACGACGCCCGTGGAGCGTGTAGTGTGCTTGGCTATGGGACGGGTCAGCCGCCGCGCGTGTCAGATTTGGTCGAGGCTGACACTGAGACTGCGATACAGGAGGTAGCCCGCTAGCGGAGAGTTAATAATGTAAGTCTTGACAGGGAGTGTGCTGGGTAGGAATATGAGTAAGATGAGGTCTTTGATCGAGCCTGCGGGGGTCATTCAATCGCATGCGGGCTTCCACGACTTCTGCCTTTCTCGGAATTCGGACATGATTCCAGCTCGCAACGCGCGTATGGCACAACGTCGCGAAGGTGCATGCAGGTGCTGTCTTCGCTTCGGAGGCTTTGTGGCGGTCATAAGCCAAGACATACCCCTGGGTCGTTGCCAAATCGGGCGTGTAGATCACGTTAGCGCCCGAGATTCGCGCAGATAGATCCGTGGTCCTGGCCTTTGGGGACGGCCCAGATTCCGTCGCTCTACTCCAGACTCTTTAAATAACCCGGCGGGTTGCCTGACAAGAGACAGCTGGCACGTTGATGGCCTTGTTCGCAAGTGTAGCAACTTTTTGACGTCGCTGAGAGAAACATGGCTGTCGGCTGAATTTCGTACAGTGAATTCAGATCGCCGCGATGATGCTGACATGTGCGGCCTCGGTGCGATAATTTTCTCTGGGCACATCTGCAGCGGTCAATACTTCGGCGCCGTTGTCTCGAAACACGGTGTTGGGTTCGGATGAACAGATGCAGAGTTCCCGCGATTTACCCAGGACTACTCAGTTGCCACCGTTCTCCAAGACGTCTGGCGAAAAGGCAAAAGAATAGGCGTGCAGCTTTAGGCGAGCGGCCAACGGTTCGCTTCTTGAAGTCTGTCGCGAACTGAACTCTGTCGTATTTACCGTATTGCGCAGAGATGAAGCCGATAACCTACCTAGGTAGTGATGTCGCGCAAGGTAATCCTCGGGTAGCTCTGATGTCATTACGCGATAACAAGACGATAGCCGAGAATGTCAGGTGCAGCTGAACCACACACTCGCACTCTCATCTTGTGGAAATGATGTGACTTTCTTCCTTCGCTTCTGGATAATCGACTAAAGCCATTGTTTTCGTTGAGCTTAGGGGCTGCCGTGACACGGTGCTCAGCAGCACGGACGCGGACACCAAAAAGCCTCGCGCGTGTTCACGTTACCCACGCCCGCTTCCACGTTGCGAACTTGCCAGTCCATGCACGGAGAGAACTTGTCTCCGCTTCCCCCATGGCTGGTGGGTAATGCGCGCCTTCTGGAGCCCTTGCAGGAGCTAGGTGTATACGAAGACGCAGTTTAGAAGAATTCTTGAGGGAATAAGTATCTAGACTACTACACGGATACTCTCCGAAGCATTCTCACAGGCGTAAGTAATATTGCCGACCTCGGGAGTACAAAGACACCTATCCAAAAGAGATCTCAATGGGATATGCAGCCTTGCCTACTACCAAGGCTTCTCCTCTCTTTTCTTTTGCTTACAGTCTATGTTCTAGGTCGCAACACTCAAGTGATAGAAGCACCTAACTCTAGGTTCCGTTCGCGAAGGCACTAGAGGCTGTTCTGGAAATCTTTGCAACAGACACACACAATAACGCAACCCAGTCGGATACCCAATGTCAATGTCAAAATACAACACGAACGTAAATCGAACGGCACCCCGCGATAAACTGCGCTGGGCAGACGCACCTCCCTCGGATCCGCAGCGATCTCGTCATGGTGTTCGAACGCGCCAACGCACCAAGACCACCGCCCAGTCTTACATTCTCAATGATACATGATTTGAACAATCGACGCCTGGAACGAACACTTGGCGAGCCACTGACATCGGCCCAATGCGATCACTTCCACGACGAAGCAATCTCGAATCTCAACGCTCCGCCAGCTGAGACCAGGGGTGGCTGCAATTCGCATCGCATACTGCCGAAAATTCATGCCGAGGTCAAGGTTGAGCAGCCGCGCGCGCATTTTGAACTCTCAATAGAAACAAAGCTGAGGCGATCGACTGTAGAGACGCATATCTGACAAGCGCCAGGTTCCTGGGACGTGGCACACGTCTGATCGTATCAAAAAGGTGGACGTGGTGTTGGGAAAATTACTCTTGATGGAAGCCGTAGCAGTCCACATCCGCGTCAGCTCCTTGAAGAAGGGCGACAGCTTGACATTACTAAGTAGTCTAGTAAGCCTTGCTCGATTGGTAAAGATGAGACTATCTGGACGAACTCGTAGACAACATCCGCGCTAATACTTCGGTAGATCGCGCAAGGTGAACATACCTACCTAGGTAGGTCGGTAGTTGGGAAACCCACTAAATCTCAGACGAACGGTACTATCATTTCGCGCTATTTACGTTATGAGCAGCGCCACATGTGTAAAGCGCCGAACGAGTGAATGAACACATGTTTTCCAGAGCCGTAGTTCCACACAATGCGCCACACCAGGCTTCTATCAGCGCACTTTGCTGCTCTCAACTCAAGGCCAGTCCATTGCGTAATCTACATTCCTGACATAGTAGAAAAAAGGTACAAAACAGGACCCTTTCTCGTCTAAACCCAATACAGATCGGTTGACATCCCTAGGTAGATGACGGTTAAATCACATGATCATCATGATTCCAGCGGTCGCGCAGCCGCGCTGTTACTTCGCAGCACTAGCGCTGCTTCCTAGTCCCGATTCTTAGCGGCTCCGCTGAGTACACAAGGAGTGTGACATGGAAGCATCAGACTTCGTGCCAGATAGCTTCAAGCATATAGTGGGGGGCGAAACCAGAAGTTGATAGGTATCCAAGACCCTGTTAAGCCAGTATCTGGAACTGTACATGTGCTAACCTGTCGTAATGAAACTGTGTTAGCGCGATATAGATACGTCCATCTGATGAACAGCAGGCAACTATTCGTCTACAGCGCCAATATCTATAGGAACGGCGCATGAATAGCAAGTAAAGACCTTGTTGGTGAGCGACTATAATTTTGTATACAGCACTGGCAAGTCAACCCGCCACCACAGAATGGAATGGCGCGAGAGATACCGCAGGATGTCTCTTAGCACTACGGAAGCGGATTCAATGTGGTGGGGTCTGATTGTACCAGCGCCTTACGGTCCATATGTGGCGCAACAAGAGAGAGCGCAAAACCCCCTCCATCGACGATACAACACTGGCAAGGACCCCGCCATTACGTGATGCATCGGCGCGGGGCAGATTGAAGAAAGTCTCTTAACACTGCAGGCAACAAACTTCATACGAAGGTGTCTCTGTACCAGCGCCGGGAAGTTTGTTAATGGCGCATTAGGATCAAACACGGGAACCCCGATTACATGTCGGGAATGTGAACCTGGATTTGCTACCAAGATACCGTGAAGAGGTGAGTGGCCATGTTATACTCTTGAAAAAAGATTGGTATGAAGCAGTTCCATGTGAGTATGAAGTCTTCGGTGCAAGCAATAAGCCGCGCCGGTTTAAGAGGGCGACTGCGTTACCTAGTAGATACCCGGGTAAGTGACTTAGTTTTCATCACCACATACACCATCGAGTCAACATATATGGATGTGAAGAACATGGTAAGACCAGCAGACCTCATATATGTACGTGGACGTGGTGGCTATCTTGCAAGTGCCCGCACGTGATAGCGCAGACTCCACCGCCACGTGCCGGGCTGCACAGCGATACCGGAGCTCTCTCACCTGCAACCTGCAACAGCATCAAGCAGCGCATACAGATACAATAACTCTCGCACATCTCCTCCATCACTCCTTCAACCCACTACTTCCAACTTCTTCTTCTGCACCACCCGGGCATCATTTGCACAAGCTCTGACTAGTATTCCAAGACCGCTGCCCAAGCGAAACCACTTCAGCAACCTACAACACCAGATATTTCCTATCGCAAGCGGTGACGATCTCCCCAGACGCCGCCATGGCCGGAAATGGCGCGCAAGTCGGCGCGCTATCTCCAACACCGACAACAAGCTCACCACATTCCATTGATGACCACGCGCTTCCCACACCCAAGCATGAATGTTGGAAACGACACTGTTTGTAGAGAGCTTTGAAGCTGTCTCACACGAGATGCAATTCACGACAAAACAGGCCCTCCGCCTACGTGCGGCAGCGAGCGGCTTAGGCAATGGTCTCGCACACCCAGGCATGGCGCACGTACGGCATCTATTGATACCAGCCTCCCGTCGAACACTCCTGTTGAGCAGAGCATCGCGATTGAGCCCACAAAGCCTACCGCGCCTACTCCCCTCGGAGTAGCGCAAGCGAGACCCCTTCCGCCATCTCCAGCTTACCCCACACCTGAGAGCGCGGACAGAGGAAACAAGCGACATGACGCAGAGGTAAGTTCTGGCGCAATGTTCGTAAACATATACTGACTTCGTAGGTAAAACACGGGATCGATGTCAAGTACCCAGTCGCAATGCAGGCATACGACCCCCAGGACATGTTCTTTGCGAAATCTTACATCAAGTCCTGGACAAAAGAACAGTCGGCGAAAGAATATGACAGGCTGGCAGGAACGTATATGGCACTGAGACATGAACACATCTCCGTCCTTGTCGACCAAGACAACAACGAGAAGAACGCACGCCGCCAGGTAGTCGACTCGCGCCAATCCCTCGCAAACGTTGCTTTGGAACTCCGAAGCAGCGTGCGAAGCATCGAAGGCGATTGCCGGAAGGATATGTCAGCCATCCATTTGGACTGACCCGCAGACACAGACACAGTACACCGGGAAAGCACCAGGATCATTCACACCACAAGAGGCACAGCATATCCTCAATCTGTACAAGTACGACTGTATCAAAGACATGAAAGGCGCCACACTGGCGGCTACCGGCGCGAACCTCGAAGAATTCGGCATCGACAAGACCATCGTTACGCAGGCGTACGATCTACCTGGCGATAGATCGTGGTTTGAGGAGATCAGTGACAACTGGAAGGACGCTGCCAGAGATGTACTTGTGGACAGCAGCATGACTCTCGGCATCATCGAGGAAGCCCCACCCCGGCGCCAAGTGAGCTTCCCGCCGGCGCGTACGAAAGGCCGTATCACCCTGCCATCATCGCTCGTATCTTCTCGGCCTGTCGACGTATAAAAACAACTTGTCTACGGCTCTGTCTTCCTTCTTACACGCTCATCTTCTCAAAAAGAAAAAACAAGGATTTCCAAAAATGACATAAGACTCAAAATATGTGGTGCGGTCTCCAGACCTTGGTCTTGTATCAAAAGATCATAAAACCGAAACCATGTGCGCTCGTCTGCCATAACCCTGGGATGGCACCATACCATTTCCAATCGACGGGTAGAATGCTATGTTCGACCCACTCATGGCGCGCGACAACCCTTTCGATGCGGCGCAATCTGACTTCCCTTTGACCGGTCCGAAGCGCGAGCTCTTGACCGAACCGGCGCACGATCAGGTCATTTCGGCGCCTAAAGATGAGAAGAAGAAGAGAAACTGGGTCCCGAAGTTGCCGAGGCAGAGCTGAAGAGAAGGATCGAAAGGGCCGACACATATTGGGTATTGGACGTTACAACTGAGGATATACAACGCACAGTAAGTAATTCCTATCTGCATGATAACATGAGCATGTATACTGACCTTGATCTTTTAGCTAAGCTTCGCCACCGGCCGCTCCCATTTCACACAATACAACATCATCTATCTGCCGGATGCGAAACCACTCGATGATGATCCCTCCGTCGCCGCCTGGGTCTGTACAGCTGACCACGCATGCCAGTTTAGTCCCCTGCATGGACATGGTTTCGCGACGTGCATTCTTTGCCGGAAAAAGACAAAAAAGCTGGCCACGGATTGCTTTATCCCAAGATCGAGCGTCGTCATGAACATGGCTATGAACAGTATGATCAAAGAGGAGGGCGACGTCTACAAGCAAGACAAGAACGAAGAGAGTGAGTGGACGGATGGCGCCAAAGTTGGATTGAATGTCGCCAAATATACCGAGGACTTCATGGGCTTGACCTCAGCATAGATGCTAGGCGACGTCTACACGCGCGAATACCGGAAAATCCCCACCATAATCGCCAAGGCGGTCAAGACTGCCGAATTGACGAACACGTCGCTTACTCCATATCAAACGACATCCGCGGTATTAAGACAGCCAAAGGAAAGCCTGTCGTCAAGCTTCTTCTCCATCGACGACTGCACAAAGGAGACGAGATCACCCAAGCAAAGTGGAAAGAACTCGACGCCAAAGCTCCGTCGGATCGGCTATCAGAAGATGAACGGCCGGTGAAATTCATATCCGAAGTAAATTACAGTCGTGGGTCTGAAGAGCGATGTTCAATGATATTCAAAACACAATCCCCAGGTTGCTACATCGACTTTGTATCCAACAAGATTGTAGTTGTGAAGCCGTCCTGCTGACTACGTCAACCTCTGTCTTCGACAATACCACTGCCATAGAGCACTGTGTTGAATACGTCTAGCGCTGACTTCTATGAAATTACTATTGTAAGACCAGCCTGCCAACTACACAGGTGATGAGGGAAGAGCCGCGTTACTCCGACCATAACTAACGACCTCCTGGCCATCTCAGTAAGAAACTTGTAGCACCTGATAATGTTGCGAAGGTAGCAATGCTAGTCAGGTATCTCACGCTGTAAGCAGCTTCTGCTAGTCTTCGCAGGAACGATGTCTGGCTCAGGACTGATCCCGTTGTTGTGAACCAAGCAGCATTCCTGGCAGCTGACAGTCATGGTACCATCACGCCTGAAGAGCCAATGAAGTCTGGTTCGCTGCATTATCACCTGCGCGAGGGGTGAGTAATTGCCGATGTACGAACAGCATGTGAGACAAACACTAACTTCGTACACCCATCTTCAGGTGTATCGACGCGGGCTTTCCACAGCGCAATACCATGTACTGCTTCCGTCGAACACGTATCATCATAACCAAACATGAACACGGAGCGGCGGCGACACGAGCAATGGCAGCACAACCCAACGACTCGAACGCCCACGAATACTACGATACAGTCGGGGTCGGCGACATCGATATTCAGTCCTATATACTAGGCAGAGAGAGGGCGAGTCAAGGCTTTGCGCTTGAAAAGCAGCTAGGTATACTGACTTCAGATTTGCAGATGAGCCGGAGAGAAGCAAGAAAGATGTTTGAGTAGGCAGCTCGGACGGGATACGTACAGCATGAGAACTACGAGATTACGCTTCGCGCTGAGGTTGAAGTGCGGTTGCGCGAACGCGAGCGTGAATGACCTGAGATCGTCGAAATAGCTCAATCCGTCAAGGAAACGATCGACGAAACGCACGAGTATCTGATACGGAACACCGCTGATGATACGCCCATACCGCGCTGATATACCGGCAAGATCACTGGCGCTTACAAGGTCATGTTGAGGGATGGAGACTCTGCAGCTGGGGCTGTCCTGAAGGAGCTTGAGACTGTCTTCCACAAGCGAAAGACGGTACTAAACAAGATCCGCAAGAGTATACGGAACGTTATACTGGAAGAGCCTGCTCAAAAGACGCGATCTTTGCTGAAAACTTTCACTCAATCAACAACTACAGGACTGACCACCGGTAAAGATGGCACACCAAAACCGATCCGCAAACAAGCCAGAAATGCCCAAGCCGAGCTTGAGGGTCTCCACAATGCCCGCATGAGCGCTCTCTCGGGCTTTGAAACGGCGCAACGAACAGGATGAGATAACCGAGCTGGGTGTTGATGAGGAAAAGGGTCTGGACGTGGATTCGCTCGAGGAAAATGACGGCAAGCCACACCCACGGGGTGAGCCGTTGCATTGGCAAGATTCACCAAAAGAGGACGTTTAAGTGGACATTGCTGATGGGGTTGAGGAATGCGATGCGGTTATAAAAGAAGAAGATGTAGCTTTCCTTAGGGCATTCGTCGCACATATAAGTTAGGGCGTCTTCTGGGTTGGAATGTTGGCTCTGATGGTTTGATCGAATGATGTTGCAGGCCGCCGAAGATGAGAAATGGAAGGGTGCGCAACTCGAGAAGCATGTGCAAGGAAAGGTACACATGTGCTGTGAGGAGCTTACAAGGGCGTTTGACAAGTTGAAGGTTGCCGGATGCACTGGGAGCGCGACATGTCCCTTGTGCCCAGACCGTTCGTACAAGTCCACGTCCAAGTGGCTGGCTCACGTTGAGAATCATCACCGAGAGGAGCTGTGGTTGAAGGAGGAGGAAGAGAACGAGGAGGAAGAGAACGATGGCGATGAGGATTTCGATTTTGAGAACTTGTGAGAGTGTTCTAGTCAGTAGTATGTCGAATGGAGATCGTATGGCCATAAGATACAACATGGTGCTTGCGAATGCGACGGCCTCACTGCTCGGTCATATAATTAAAACGAGCGCGGTGCATTCACGATGCCGTTTATCATATTCCACTACCTGCTGACGCCTTCACTCTCTTCATCTACATTGACACAGTTCGCACATTCCCGCGCTGAAGTCACCACGTTCGGCGCCATGATACGTCTGCATAACTAAGACTTTGTGATGAATTGCGACTTCATTCCATACTTTGCCTGGCTGTTGCTGTTTGGAGTTTTTCCTTGAACAAGGTGGTATGCAGGGTATGGGAGAGCAAAAGCAAAGGTTGTAAAAGAAATGAAGTTTGACAAGTGCCAGTTCGCGTGCGTTGGACCTGCATCGCTCTTTCCAGTCCAGTCTGCACGTATTGCAGTCAATACGGAAACTCATGCGATGTCGACGTGAGTGATCCATCGATGCCAGGTAATAGACGTGACGATTGATGTGACTCGACGATGAGCTGTCACATTTGGATGATGTGGTGAGTGCAGGCCAAGTGAGTGGCGGCGTCTCCACAAGTTCCCAATACGCTAGCCTAGCTCGTCTGCGGCGCCAGCGATATCACGTCGAGCTGTCGCCCTTCCTCTTGCATCGCCAATTGACCTCTGCGCATCACCGCAGCCCGTCACCACTCTCCCCCGTCTGCTCGTCAGCTTTCTCTTCATCATCCGCTTTCTGTTTATCACCGGCAGCTTCGCGCTTTCCTCATCTGGGCTTCGGCCGCGCACTTGCAATTTTGGGTCCTGAGTAAAGTACGTCGGTTTGTCCATGGCGTCACTGTGCTGGCCATCGCGGCGGTGACAGCGCGCCCATACCCACTCTCATTTATTAACGCCGCCCAGATCTGCCCTAGTCTCCTTCACCATGTCGGACCTGCAGGAGCTGCTTGCCCGTCTCAACGGCGGCGCATCTAGCAACCAGCAACAACCTCACGGCTACCAGCACCCGTCTGTCTCGTCGCCTCTCTTCTCCCCCCAGCCCGGCGGCCCGCAGCCTCATCACCAGTCTGCCGTCATGTCGCCCAACTCGTCCATGGCCAACACGCCCGCGCCCGAGCCCGTGTCGCAGCCCACGCCGCAGCAGCAGTCGACCAACCTGCTCAACCTCCTCCGCTTCAACTCGCAGGGCGGCGGCCCGTCTCGACGCGTCTCGCAGCAGTCGCAGGCGCCCGACATTGCGACCAGCATGGCCAGTGTTATGGGCAGTAGGACGCCCTCGCACAGCGCCGCCGCTCCCGCGCAGTCGCCTGCCGCCGCCCAGCAGAACCCCCAGGACCTTCTCCTGCGCCTGCTGAACCACCCCAAGCCCGCCCAGACCAGCGGCCGCTCCTCTCGCGCTGCCTCCGTGCTCTCTCCGCGTGCGTCCAACAAGCCTGAAACGGTTGTGGACGACCTCGCGCAGGACCTCGCAGACGCCGAGCTCGAGCACGTCTCGTCTGACCCAACTGTACACACCCCGGGAGCCTCGTCCCCCATGAGGATGTTTGGCTCCGACAGCAAGGAGCAGTCGTCTCACTTCCAGCCCGACGCCGCCTCGCTTGCCCCCAAGTTCACCTACGTCAACCCCTTCGACCAGCTCGAAGCCGCCAGCCCCCGCAAGAACACCCCGATCCAGCAGGGCTCCAAGCCTCCTGCCCCCAAGATGGAGATCCTCAAGAAGAGGGCAGTCGATGCTTCCTCGCCCGCTCCCCAAGACGACGCTCCTGCCCATACACACGAAACTGTGGCTGAGGCCGTGAGCGACCTGGGCGAGCAGGTCGGTCAGCAGATCGAGGACGCCCTCGCCGAAGCTGAAGCCGAGGCCTCTGCTCTCCCCCAACCTGAGGAGCTCGCAGAGGTCCAGGAGGTCATGACTGAGATTGCAACCGAAATCAAGGACGAGTTTGCCGACCCAAGCACAGCCAAGGACATCGAAGCCAGCTTGCCCAAGCCCATCGCAGCTGCCTTGAAGGAAGTTGCTACCGAAATTGCTCAAGACAACGTGGCGGAAGACTGGGAGACTGCCGAAGCCGAGGAGAGCCTCGCAAAGGGTGAGGACCAGACGGTAATAGTCTACAGGTTCCCCATGCGTGCCTTTGCCTCCATCCAGGTCAACCAGATGCCTCCTCGTCGTCTCTACTTCGCCAACGAGCTCTTTATGGACATTGCTCGCTTGAAGAAGGACTTTGACCAGATCGACCGCTCCCTGGTATCCGCCAGCAAGAACTTCATCGTATATGCACTCGTCAAGAAGGGCGGCTTCCGCATCATCCGCCAGGAGAACGGCCAATACCGCCAGGTCTTCGAGAACCACCAAGAGCGCATCTTCAACATCGCCCTGTGTACCTCCGCAGACGACTCACAACAACCGCTCGAGAGCATCCTGGGTATCGGTGTCAACGGCACTGTCTTCTGGACCTCTCTCGACCCCGCTCGTGAGGACCAGTTTGGCGAGAACCTCGATTCGCAGGGTTTGATGCTTCCCCCGTCGCCATCTCAAGATGATAACACATCTGGAGGCCAGCTCAAGACTCGCGCGAAACCATCTTCGCGTCACCCAGAGTTCTTTGCTGTTGGCAGGGGCAAGTCCATCCACATCGTCTTTCCCAAGGTCGCCGCTGAGTATGCTCGGTCTAAGAGCCGCATCTGCCACACGGAAAAGTACCTCAAGGAGCGCTCCCTCAAGATCCTCACTGGCAAGGCTGGTAAGGACTTCACTTTCAGCGAGGACGACACCATCATCGTCTCACTCGACAAGGCCGGCCGCATGCGCTTCTGGGACATCCGTACCCTCACCGAGCCAGACCTAGGCAACCCCCACAGCCCTCCCCGCCAGGTCGAGGTCTCCGAGACTCTGCTTGAGTTCCACACGACCACACCCAATGCCAAGTCGTGGCCCACTTCCGTCTTCTTCTTTGACAAAGACAAGCCATATACTAAGGGTATTGCGCTGCGTTATGTCATGGTCGGCATGAAGCAGAACCACGCCTTCCAGCTGTGGGACCTGGGTCTCAACAAGGCCGTGCAGGAGATTCACCTGCCTCACGAGAACGAATCGGACGCCATCTGCAGCGTATCGTTCCATCCCCGCACTGGCATCATGGCTGTCGCCCACCCTACCAGGAACTCGATCTTCTTCGTCCACGTCTCCTGTCCGAGGTACAACCTTCCTGCTCTTAGCCAGGCTGCCTACGTCTCCCGTCTGGCAAACAAGGGCGACAGGGGCCAGAACAATCTGCCTCCAGTCAACGCTACTGCCATCATGACTAGCATCACGGAGTACTCTTTCGCCTCCAAGGGACAGATTAGGAGCCTGCACATGCTCAACGAGCCCGCTGGACCTTCTGATGTCGACGACCCTGACAACGCCGCTCTCTTCGAGCTGTACGTCATGCACTCCAAGGGTGTCTGCGTCTTGCGCATCCGCCGAAGCGATCTTGGCTGGAAGAAGGAGGGCGAGCCCATTCACCCCAAGGAAGCTGAGGAAGAAGGTGTCATCACCATCTCGCAGCTCAAGCCACCTCAACCTGTCACCGATGAGTCATCTACTGCTGGTGACACTCCTGCGCCCAAGTCTGTCTCTGACCGATCTGCGCGTGAGCCATTGAAGAGGGAGAGCAGCACCGCGTCCAAGCAGTCCATCAATCCCGAAGCAGCGATGCGCGCATCTACTCTCGCTAAGGTCGAGAGCAAGCAAGACGCAGCTCGCGCAGCTATCATTAACGGTGGTGACAAGTCAGAAAAGAAGAAGAAGAAGCGCGCGGCCGCCACAGAGACATCTTCCCAGGTCTCTACAGCGCCTTCAGCTGTGGCTTCCACTGCTCCTTCCGCTCGTATGCCTGCACCTGCACCCGCGGCTCTGCCTCCGTCTTACGCGCAAGCTGCTCAGGCGACACCGCAGTCCAAGTCTCCGGCACCACCTGAGCCATCCGTTGCGCAGGAGCCTGTCAAGTCCAAGACTGTTGACACCACTGAAGCGCCGGAGTGGGCCAAACAGCTCATCAGCAAGCACCTCCAACGCCCAAGTGCCACATCTACCGCTGCTCCTTCCGCAGAGTTTGATGCCAAGAAGCTTGAGGAGGTCGTACAGGCTGAGATCACCAAGGGCTTCTCGCGCGAGCTGGACATCATGTACAAGCGTTTCGACGAGGACAAGCGCGTTATGAACGCAGCCAACGGCGCCCATCAGCAGGCCATCCTGCGCCAGGTGTCTAGCACTCTCAACGAGAACGTCGAGGGCGTCATTGGTAAGATGGTCAATGACAACATCCGCAACGTTGTGCTTCCTGAGGTGCTGGCTAAGACTACTGCTACCGTTGAGCAGGGTCTGAGCGCTAACCTCAAGCCCATCCTGGCTCAGCAGTTGTCCAAGGAAGTTCCTGATGCCGTATCTCGATCCCTGAAGCAGCCCCAGATGTTCCAGTCACTCTCTGACCAGGTCGCGAAGAAGGTTGCTGGTAACTTTGAGCCTATGATCACAGCCTCAGTTGCCACCGTCGTCAACCCCGCCATGTCGAACTTGACCAACATGATCGAGCGTCAGATCGGTGGTGAGCTCCGACAAGCCCATGCTCAACGCCGTGAAGATGCTATCAAGATCTCCGCGTTGACCGAGACTGTGCAGACATGCCTAGAGACTATTCAGACTATGGCTGCCAACCAGATTGAACTTCAATCCCAGGTTGCAAAGCTCCTTGAGGCTCGCCAGGCTCCAGCTCCTCGACAAATACAAGACTCGCCTGCTGCTATACGTACCCCTCCCAAGCAGAAGTCACAGGAGGAGCTTGAGATCGAGTCTATCCACCGTCTCATGTCCGAAGGCAACTACGAGCAGGGTACCATGCAGTGGCTGCAGTCGCCCCGCAGCGCCGCGCTCTTCGACTCTGTCTTCGTCCGCTACGATCCTGCCTACCTCAGCCAGGTGAGCCCGCTGCTCGCGCTGTCGACTGGTGCGGTCGTATCTGAGCATCTGGGACGCAACCTGACGGAGCGCCTTGTCTGGCTCAACGCTGTATTCCAGAGCGTCAACCCCAACGTAAGTACACCGCTGCAAAACCCTCATGCTCTTACTAATGAAACATCACAGGACCAGGAAATTCGCGACATCATTCCTAAGATCATGGACGTCGTCATCCAGCGCTTGACTGCCGCATACATCCAGCTCAACGAGAGCACTCCTGGCAGCCCGCTCCTTCGCGCCATCTCTCAGCTGGTCAACAAGTGCAACGAAATGACTCGCGCCGCCGCACCCTTCAGTCCCCGTGGTTGAAGACCGAGGTGATAGGGCAGCAATACATTTGTACAGTAATGAGCGTCATGTGCTGAGAATGCCTTGACATGTATCATTGCTCAAGGTGTTTGGACTTCTGCTTGCGCCTCCAGTATCGTTTGATCATTACCTCTTCGCAAGTCTTCGTTGCCTTGTCTTCGACGTCATGATCACAGGCATACACGGAGCGCGCATATACCACAGCAGGCCTACGATACCAGATCCTTTACACTTTCCTTTATAGTTCGATCTTTCTTTTCTTTCCTTTTCAATGTACACATAGATTCATTTCCTTGCCTTTCAGATACCCACTGTCTTTACCTTCCAGCGATCCACTCACCGAGCGTCTTGTCAGTAAACAGTCTAGTGATGCTGGAATGCTCACGTCTTTTGACTGTTTCTGCACTTGTGTTCTCACGACGAAACCGCTGGATTTGGGGATGATGGGGTGTGTGGGCCGGTCTATGATCTTTCTCACGATCCGGCATGCCATGAGTGAAGTATCGGATTGACGACTCTTTTTTTACGAGTTGTCGGCCTTTTGAGCTCAAGCGTTAGGGAGGGTGAAGCATGTGTACGATATTTTCTTGCGATGGTGGATGGATATAGTAACGGCATGGGTAATGGCTGGAGTAATACACCGGTTACTGGAATTGTGTTTTTGATGATGTTGCGGCGGAGAGTGACGCGAACTACACCTCGCACCAAGCGAACTTTCACATTAACGATTAATAGTCATTGATCTGCACGCGTACGCATCCTTCCCGTCCACGCTGCTCCTCGCGTGCTTCTCGTGGGTGTTCGCATGTTCGGCAGAGCAGACAACGGGTGGCGATCACGATGAGACGAAGCCCCGCGTCCGTCGCATGAATCGTCGCAGATTACCCACCCCCCATCCACTTTTACTTCAACTGAAACACCACTTGAAGCCAGTCACAGCTGCGTATCGACGTGCCGCATACAGTTTCTCGTCATCTCAACCCTCTGTATCGTCTGGGTTTGCGACTGGGAACTCGCTGTTCCGTGCAGTGTGTGAGGGTATTGCGACGGCGGGACACAGCGCATTTTGCATTGTGCCGCAACGTGGGTGTCAAGAAATAGTATGCGCGTCGCGTGGCATGTTGGAGTGGGCGAGCAGATGGGTTGCAGGTAATGCTTACTGATACTGCTATGACTGAGGAACCCATAGATGAGAAGATGCCTGGCTTGGTTTTACTCGGCTTGTTGGTGTTGTGAACTGGTTTCCCTTCTCCGTTTTTGGCTTCTTTCCTTCTTTCTTACCTCGTGTCCTCAGTTCCTCTTCTTCCTTACCCTAGGTACATACTGTTCTTATCTTTCTTGACACTCTTTTAATAGCGAATTATACGAACGGGATTTTCGACGAACCACTACGCCGCAGCGTTATAGACGGGAACTAGGTGTGGCACGACACGATACCGATACGTTCGCTATACTATACACACACGCCACTTCCATTGAGGCCAGGACGGAAGAGAATAGTCCAGTAGGGACAAAGGAAAGAAAAGAGGCACAGTCACAGTCACAATGGCGATCAACTGGATCCTACCCGTTCGCGCGGCACAAGCTGTACTTTCTATCGTTGTACTCGGGTTGATGGCTTATGGTACGTCCCCTACCCATCTCCCCTACCCTCCATCCCTCCCCCATCTTCATCATCCGCGCGTAGTACCAACTAACACCCCCAGTATCATCATGGTGGTCAACACACTGGCGCCAATCCTCCCCGCTGGAAATAAACTACCTTATCTTCGCGCCCTCCTGGACCATCCTCAGTCTCATCCCCCTCCTGCTCACCTCTTTACCCAAATACGCACACTTGACTGAGAAAGGCAGTGTGAAATGGGCGTTGTTGGGGCTGGAGGGACTGACGATGTTGTTCTGGTTTAGTGGGTTTGTGGCGCTGGCGGTGTTTTTGAGTGGGAGGATTTGCTTTGGTATGGTGAGTTTGATCTTCCGTCCTATGTGCCGTTATGTCAAGATGGGGTGTTTGAGATGCTAATGTGTGCGACGAATAGGTCTGTGACGTAGCCCGCGCGAGTACGGCTATCAGCGCCGTTTCGTGGCTTGCTTGGGCGGTCACTTTTGTTTTTGGTGTTGTTGGTGTTGTTAAGGGACGGCGTGGTGGTATGGGTATGACGTTCGGTAGCAAGGCGCCGAAGAGCAAGGAGGTGGATATGCATCAGGGTGTATAGAGGCTTGGTGATGGGAGTGGGCCAGGGTGATGTGTATATGACTTGAGACTTGCGATCATCAGGTATGATTGCGGCGCGTTGGTGGCTTTTTGGATATCCTGCTTTGCTTTGAGCATTGGTTTAGTCGTAATGCATACTTCTTTTATGTGTAAAGTCGTGTCACCTAGTGCTGTGTGTGACGTGCTGATGATGATCGTTGGAAGGATTTCATCTTGTTCGCTAGGCTAATCATTCGAGAAGTACCTTTTTTGGAAGTATAGAAAGGACTCCATAACTTATTGTAGTGATGTTTGTTGCGGTATCATGGCCACAGTGTGACTTCGTTGGCTAGCAGGTTGGAACTTGTGCATGCTGGTCTCGTGCATCGCGGAGTCTACAATCTGGGCACAAGTTCAATGACCAGCGCGGACCATGGTTAGGTCCAGATCCGACTCAAAGCTGCACGCTCCTGCTCGTTGGGCATACAGTCAGGCGTCATCGCCGGTACAGTGACAGCAAGTATTGGCATTCAGGCAATCAGGCGATAATAGCAGAAAAGCTCTCGGCAGCTGTGTCGCCATCTGTCACTATGTAAGTATTCCAGATAATTTTGATGGACCCTAGATTATCAGTACTCTACATGACTGCATTAACGGCGCATTTGTCATAGAAGCATGCGATGCCTTGGTTATAAGGAATTGAGGATGTCAACATCCGGCCCGCGTGGTAGATGGCGAATTCTAGCCTCGTTTCGAAACGCTTGGTATGTAGCAGTGTGCCGAGGAGGAGATTTTGTGGATGCCTTATAACATGCGTTGTATGCCTGATGAAGCCATGCTGAAACGTAACAGAGACGCAAACCGCCTGGAACGGCAGCCTCGTCCGCGACGTTCGATGCAGACGGCAAGAAGACAATTCTTTCTTCGATGGATGAGAACAACATCGTGCTGTACGAATGCGATACTTCGAAATGCTGGCTGTTGTAATTGATGACCGCGTTGGTGGATGCGTTCACGAAGATAACTGTCAGCAACCCCTCAATAGTTCATCGGCACTGCTTGATTGGTCATAGCGCCGACGCTAGCGTCTAACGTACCTGCGGCGGATCTGCTCCAGGATGCTGATACCTGCAACACCACGCCACTGATTTTCGTCACAGAACAAGAACTTCTGCATCTCGGCTGACACCATCTGACAGCGTTCTACTCGCGTTTCTCGGTTCTCGGCAACGCGTTTTCCACGACGATGCCAGTAAGAGCATGCTCTGTCCACCGGGGCCCGCATAGAAACAAAGCGGCCAGATGCCATCCGACTGAATATAGCAATGGTGGCAGGGAACATAATTCCAATGACTTTCCCCAAATGGCAATGATGCCGTTCTCGACTTGTTGGCGGGGAGCTTGGCGGGGAGCTGTCAGTTCCCAAACCTTCCGCAAATCTGGATGCAGGGGCTTTTTTCAAGCTGCGCTCGAGCGCTCGCCTGATACGTGTGCGAAGCGTGTCAGCGGCCATGGCTGGATGGATCTGATGGCCTGCGAAACAAGTACATCTTCTCTCGCTGCTTCGCTGTCCAAACATTCTTCTTTCCACTTCTCCAGCTTCACGCGCGCGTAAACATTGATCGTATCCGCAGAGGTTTTCTTGAAACATCAGTCCGGAGAAGAACGACTCGTACCTCGAGAGAAAGCAATCATGCCGAAGACCGCTGTCTTCACCACCATTACGCCGTTGCCGGCGGGCATCACAAGGAAGAGTGTGCTCGACATGTACCGCGATCATCTAGCTATGATCGATTTGAACCCGTTGGTGGTGGAACGGTTCAAGTGCAGGCCACCTAGCTATGCGCCGACTGACGAGTACTGGTCGATGTGGTACACTATCAAAGGTGAGTATCCTTCTACATATTCACCATGCATTTGCTGACATCCCCTAGATAAGGTCTCATATCTACCGGGTGGCCTGGCGACAGGCTCTGTATCATACCACGCCTGCTTCAACGACACAGCGGAAGGTCTCAACACACACGTGTACGCACCACTTGGTCTCGATATTCAAGGAAAGTGGACGGTAGGAGGACGGCTGCCTGGCGAGCCAAAGCCTCCGGCCGAGCCTGGCCTAAAGACTCCAAGACACGGACTGTATATCCGGGAAGATGTCAAGATGACCTGTTCATCGCTACTGTTGAGCTTCGTCAAGAGGACATTCAAGGACTCGCACGGCAAGCTTGTGGACAAACTGGTCGAGAGAGCGCACATCCTGGAGTCAAACTTTGCGAACGAGAGATTGCAAGCACTTCGGAATGTTGCGCCTGGCGAGCGAATGGGACACGGTGACATCTTCATCGCACCACCACCAGACTACGACTACCAGCCTTCCCCCAGATACCTGCAGGTCCCCTCCCCTCGCTTCGTATCACATACGCGAAGCCAAAGCGACCCGGTACTCTCTCCTGGCTTTTCTTCTTCCTCGACGCTCAATGGTTCCAACGACAACTCGCCTAACCCAAAAGACCGCCCGATGTCCTTCACCTTCGTACGCGAAGAGAGGGATGTAGCTTCCTCCGCACCCGAGCAAGGCTCCTTCCTGCTACCAGCAACAACATACGATGGCGGCTTTGCGCAAGTGCGCGAGCGATCGCAATCTTTGTTCCCTGGTCACGCCCCGGACGAAGATCTCGAGCGCATCTACTCGGAGCGCATGATCTCTCTGGCACCACTGAGCCCGACCCAATCCCCAAAAGACTGGACACCTGAATACGCACCGAGGGTCTCATACACACCCAACGAGCGACCCATTTCCTTCACATTTCCCTTCGACCCAAAGCATCCCTTTGACCGCAAGTCGACATCCGAGACGTCGCAATCGGACCAACAAAACCTTCTCGACGACATCGACGACGCGATTGACGAATTCATGTACACTTTACCCGCAACCACGTACAAGACGCTACCAGCGACTACGTACGACCCCAAGCCGGCTGCTGAACCCACACTCTCCAGCGCAACATACAACCCAGAGCCAACGCTTTCGAACGCTACCTACAAGCCTGAGCCGATACTGTCGAGTACGACCTACGACCCAAGGCACGCACGGAAAGACTCCGTCATGCCAGCGCAGTCCTACGCCGACGAACCACCGCCAGTGCCGCTCAAGGATGACAAGTACAGGAAGGGTAGCATCAGGGGATAGGATGGGACAACGCAGCTGGTGATGTTTTGATGATCTTTCTGTAACAACATTTCTTCTGTCTCGATGGTTTTCGATTTGGGAAAAAGCGTGTTTGGTGTTTGAGCGTTTGGTTCTTTTATATATACCCTCTTGTATCAGGCTACCGGATAGGCTGGATGGAGTACCTTGTACTGTTTTTTGTACAACAATGGATTATGACGGCGGAAACGCTATGATACTATACTGCTCTTACAATGACCAAGTTGATGTGGAAAACCTGTTTGAGCTACACCATCGCTGAAGAGTGGGCACGTGGCAACCAAGTGCGCGCTCTTACACGTAGGTACTCGTAAGATACCTCCTACATGTATGCGTAGTGTGATGAAGTCTGCTAGTGTTATCAGTCTGTACTGATGAACTTAGGTACTACTGTCAACGCTATACTAAACCTACGCAATCTGTTGCTTCTACGTTTGACTTCACATTCGCTTGTGTGTACAATCCACAGCAACTTTACAGCTTCGCCCCAGCCTTGCTACCCGCCACTGCAGCGAGCAGAAACCGGCCAAAGTACCTCTCCAGCTTCAGCGCCGCATCTCCATCTAACTGAATGACTGTGCCTACCCACCCATCAGGTCTCAACACCACCACGGCTCCTTTCTCAGTAACAACACCATAGCGCATGTGCGCACTACGGTCCTGGTCGTAGAATACACGACCGAACGGCATACCGCCCAGCGTCTCATAGGCCGATGGCCCACCGGGACCTGCGATAATAGAAAGACATGATATCGGAATACCCGGATCGTGAAGCCAACCAAGTCGAGACACTGCTGCTGTGAACGACAATAAAGCGAGTTTCGTATGAGCTACCTCACCAGCGAAGAGCGCAATATGAAAAGTCGCCGTATTCGGTGTTTCGGTCTGTAATCGCGTAGTTTCAAAAGTTGCTGGTTTCTGTAACGTAATATCCGGTGCGCGTTGACCGGGCTGTACGGACGATATACCCGGGCTCTGCGTGTAATTGAGATAAGAGTCTGGCTCGTAGTAGATGCCCAGTCCACTACTGAACGTCGCTGCTTCGGCCATGACTACGCCTAGCACTTCGTTCGGGTCGGCGTTGGGGTCGCCAGTCCAGCCCTCGGGCAACTGCATCGTCATGAGGCGCGAGATGTCTTTGTCGTATTTGATCAGTCGCTGTACGTTGGGCAGTCGCTCTGCTTCGTACGAGTGCAGCAGATCGGGTTTGGCGAGTCCTTGGAGAACGAGGCAGAGCTTCCAGCCTAGGTTTACTGCATCATGCATACCTGTGTTCATACCTTGGGCTGCACCCGAACTATGGGTGTGACAAGCGTCGCCGGCGAGGAAGATGCAGTCATTCACGAAGAACGAGCGCGCGATACGCTGCCCCACAACGTAGATGGTCCACCAGTCCACCTGCTTGAACTTAAGGTTGAACGGCTTGACGGATGCGATGGCTTCCTTGACGGCGGCTTCTTCGTCAAACACCTTGTATGCTTTCTGACGCTCCGCTGTGAACGCGAATCCTATCCGTGTTGCCCCTCGGTCCAATGCGGCCCAGAGGACGTTTCCGTGTGTCGGCGATTCGATGGCGCAGTATGTTCGTGGCTTGGGGAGGTCGGTTTCGATGACGCCGTCGACGCGTACCCACTTGTCTTCGCTGGATGAGCCGTCGAATGGTATGTTCATGGCTCGTCGTACGAAAGACCGCCCACCGTCTGCACCAACCAGATATCGACATCTGACTACGCTCTTCACCTTCGTCTCGCCATGTTCAATTGTAGCCAGTACACGGTATCCAGCCATCTCAATCCCGTCTACAATCTCGATGCCCACCAGGGTATACGGCGCATCAAGTTGTACCCCCTCCTTAGCCAGCGCTTTCCTAAACACCTCTTCTTGGTACTTCTGACGTAGCACCAACGCGAAGTCCCACTTAGTATCCTTCATATTCTCCATGAACGCCCAACCTCTTCCTTCGACCTCGTTGCCATGCTTATCGTAGTTCACGGTTTCGCGACAAGCAAAACACTGCTGAGCAAGGGAATCAGCCAGGGAAAGTTGATCGAGCATCTCAGTCGTTCTCGGGAAGAGGGTAATGGCGCGTCCATAGTTGTCTTGGGACGACTTGGGATGTTGTTCTATGATCTTGATGCGATGCGTAGAGAGAGGGAGGTTGCGCGCGAGTTGGTAGGCGGTTACGAGGCCTGGGCATGAGTGTCAGTATCATGATGTGTGTAATGGAGACGGGGTTGTGTACCTACTGGCCCTCCACCTACCACAAGTACATCTACATACTCTACCGGAAGATCTGAAGCCGTCATCTTGCCTAGAAAATGGCGATGTTCAGCTTGGACGCATGACAAGCTTCCTCAAGCCCATGTACACCTATGTTGGCCAGCTATAAGCCTCGTGGGCCTGATAGCTGCATCGGGAACGGCAAGCAGGAGCCGCGCCTCTGATAAGAGGACCGCGTGCCGTTAGTCATGCATGCTTCATGTAACATGATGGAGATATGCACAATGTACGCGCTGTCACGAAGGAAGGTAGAAGCAAGAATGGGGTGGGACGCGAGGTGCACAGGGGGGCTGATAAGATAAGGCTCGAGCCGCGGCAAACATCAGGCTGCAAGCCCAGTCGTTCGCTCAAGGCTACAACACCGAATACATTATGGAGATATCAAAGGGAATTCACGCGTTGCAAGCGACATCTTGTATCACGATATAATCAAACGCATTCAACGCGTCGATGATCAACCTACGAGTCCGATTCCACGGCGCACGCGCATCACCACAACCCACACCTACAACGGCAACACCCACTCCCCCTCCCTCATCGGCTTCGCAAGACTACTCGTATCCCTCTTCGTAAATTTGCCATACCCCTTCTCCCCCAACAACCCGCCATTTTCCCTATCCCAGACCACCTTCCCCCTCAGCAACGTCCACCTCGGCCACTGCTTGAGCTTCCTGCCCTCAAAAGGCGTATAGTCAACATCATGATGCAGCATACTATTCGTCAACTCAAACTCCTCCATCTTGCCATCTGGATACCAAATATTGATATCAGCATCCGATTCGCCCTCTATCAGCGCGCCTTTCTTCGGATAGAGACCGTATAGCTTCGCGGGATTCGCAGATGTGACTTCGACGAATTTGGTAAGCTTGAGGCGGTTTGCGCTGAGGGTGAGTGAGAGGCGTGTTTCGATACCAGGGCAGCCGTTGGGGATGTATTTGAAGTGGCCTAGAGGGTATTCCGCGCTGATACTAGACTTCTTACCCGACTCAGGGTCGTCATAGCGGAAGGGACAGTGGTCTGAGGAGAGGATGGTAAATGTGCCGTTTGCGAGACCCTCCCAGATGACGTCGCAGTCTGCTTCGCTTTCGCGGGGTGGGGGCGAGCACACGCATTTCGCGCCTTCGAAACCTGGCTGGTCGAGATCTAGCTTCGTGAGGAAGAGGTATTGTGGGCAGGTTTCGGCGTAGATGGGTAGACCGCGGTCTTGCGCTGCTTTGATGTGTGCGGCTGCTGCGGGCGTGGATACGTGGACGATGAGGATTGGAGTGTCCATGAACTCTGATAAGCTAATGGCACGGTAGGTGGCTTCGGTCTCTGCCATGGGCGGATGGGATGAGCCGTGGTATTTCGGCGCGAACAGCTTCTTCTTCTCGAGTTGCGCGGTCATCCAGTCGATTACTTGTCCGTTCTCGGCGTGGATCATGGTCGTTATGCCCTGCTTCCTGGCCTCGAGGAGGATGTCTAGGATCTGGCCATCGTGCAGTTGAAGGGCTTCGTAGGTCATGTAGATCTTGAGTGAGGATATGCCTTCCTCTCGCAGGGTCTTGAACTCTGAGAGCGCCCTTTCTGACGGGTTGCCGACGATGATATGGAATGAGTAGTCGATGTAGCAGTTGTCCTTCGCTCGCTCATGAGTGGCCGCCAGAGTGTCGAGAAGGGTATCCTCGGTCTTCTTCTGTGGCGCAAAGGTCACCATGGTAGTGGTACCACCGCATGCTGCCGACCGACTGCCAGTCTCGTAGTTGTCTGCTGTTGAGCCATTTCCAAACAATGGAGGTTCTTGGAGATGAACATGAGCGTCCACACCTCCTGGCATCACGTAGCCGCCTTCAGCATCTATCGTCCTTGTCGCCTGTGCAGCTTTTAGACCTCCTCTTGAAACTACCTTTGCGATCTTCTCGTCTTTGATAGCGATATCCCACTCTTGAACTTCATTTTCGGACACTACCACTCCATTGATGATGAATAGATCGTACTCCATTAGAGCTTGTTTCAACCTTTTTCCGAGCAGAATGACAACACGGAATATACTTTCCAGTCATACACGATCACGGGAGGATACATCTCAGCGGTTATCGTGGTAGTGGAAAGAAGGCTAGTCCAGGTTTGTGAGGTGCGTATCTCGACCCCTCTTTCGCGCTGCCCCACCTTCCTCCCGTCTTCGTTCTTATCAACCACGACGCCTATCCGCGTATAAACGCGCTCGAGAATGATTCAGATATCCGGCACAGTCATAGAAATTGGTCATAGATGAAGAAGACGCGCTTTTCGCAAGCGGGCACGTCGAAACTAGCTTTCGCGACCTTGACGCGTCCACCCACTATTCGTACCTAGGTAACTCTCCAAATCAGTCTTCGTACTATCAGAGTCTCCATCTGCATTACAATGCCTTTCAAACGCTTCAAAATCAACGGCGACAGGCTAAACAACACCTTGCAAGAGACATGCACTTTGTATGGCGCTCTTCCAGCACCATCGACGGGCATGTGCCGCTTGACATTGACCCACTCCGACAAAGCAGCTCGAGACTGGCTGGTCAGCGAATGTAAATCTTTGGGATGCGACATAAAAATCGACCAAATGGGCAACATCTTTGCCATACGCCCAGGTACCGCCACAGACAAGGCGCCGATTGGCATGGGGAGTCATATGGATACGCAACCAGCGGGTGGAAGGTACGTGCAACAACGCCCAAGCAGCTATCACAATGATGAGAATCTGATGGTTATCTAGATATGACGGCATCTTGGGTGTTCAGTCCGCCCTAGAAGTCCTCCGCACGTTGCACGAAAACAACGTCCAAACCCACCACCCCCTCGCCTTGATAAACTGGACAAATGAAGAGGGCGCGCGTTTCCCTGGTGCAATGATGGCATCTGGTGTCTGGAGCACGCACTGTAGCACGGACTTGTCTACATGCCATGCTCTCCGCGACACCGACGGTGTATCCATGAAAGACGCTTTACACTCCACCGGCTACCTCGGCCCAACGCCCTGCGACTACCGCGAGAATAGTCTTTCCGCGCATTTCGAACTGCACATTGAGCAAGGTCCAAAACTAGAGCGCCTAGGGTCCGACATAGGTATCGTGACAAGCGTACAAGGAATGAAATGGTTCGACATCCGCGTTACAGGCCGAGAAGGCCATTCTGGTACGACGCCTATGGAAACAAGAGCTGATGCTTTGGTAACAGCTGCGCGGATGATCACTGCTGTAAGGGACACTGCCTTGCATAGCGGTTGTGGTGTAGCTACCGTTGGTGTCATCAGCAGTGATACGAGTTCGCAAGCTACTATACCCGCTGGCGTGAGATTCGTGGTAGATATCAGATGTGATACTGATCTTCTCGTCGAGGAACTCTCCGAATCCATATTACGGGAATTCGATACGATCATCAAAGAGGAGGACAATGCGACGGCATATCACGTAGAGCGTACATGGGGATTACCGGAATCGAAATTCCACCAAGATTGTATCGACGCTGTGGAATGGGCGGCGGTAGATTTAGTGTCTGAAATGGACACTTCACTGATGAAGAGTAGAGCAGGACATGACAGTGCGTGGACGAGCAGAGTGTGTCCTACGGCTATGATATTTGTGCCAAGTAAAGGCGGGATAAGTCACAATCCCGAGGAGTACACGAGTCCTGAGCATTGCGCGTTGGGAGCCCAGGTCCTGCTTGACGCGGTGCTGAAGTATGACAGGGAGGTTGGGCGAGAAAGAGGCTAGCGTGTCAACGACGTCATCGATACTCTCCTACCTTTCACCCTTGCATCCCGTCGTTTCGCTCTGCAACTAACCTGCCGCACTTGTATAATGAGATTCCCTGTCTTTCAATTGGCGCAATTATCAAACGTCTCTTCACGAAGTCTGTATTCGCCACGATTATCGCCACTACTCGCCAATTTCATCCAACCCCGGCAACTCCACGCATCTACCATCATGTCGAGTCCAGCAAAACGGAAAGCTGAGAAAGGTATATCGCCACCAAAACCAAAGAAGACTAAGACGACGACAAAGACGAAGACTGAGATCCCCGCATATCATCTTACTCCATCAAGACAGGACGAGTCGGGAGAGAATGTCTGGCCGGCGAGGAAGGAGCAAATTGAACGCGCGCGAGAGATTATCAGAGAATGGTACAACAAGACGTACTCGATGGATGAGATATCAGGTGCTAATCTGCCCCAGTGCTGAAGCGCAAAAGCCAACAGTCATTTTACCTGACAAGGATGCAGACGGACTTTCCTCTGGTGCCATACTTCATCATACTCTCACCGCTCTAGGTCTCTCACCTGATCTAATATCCGTTTACTTCCCACCAAAAGGCTCTAATGTACATGATGAAAGCACAAAGCAAGCTCTCACAGCCATGAAGCCGTCCTATATCTTCATCCTAGACCAAGGCAGCCGAAAAACACCGTCTGTCATCGATTCGCCCCACACATGCCTCGTGGTAGACCACCACTTTGCAGATGAGGGCGGATTCCCAGAAGGATGCGATTATGTGACTGCACACGACTGCCCACCTGTGGCAACCAGCGCACTACTGACATACACCATCTGTCTTCCTCTACACCCTGACCTTCGCGACAAGATATCATGGTTAGCAGCACTAGGTACCCATGGTGATCTCGGAAGCAGCATCAAGTGGCAACCCCCCTTTCCAGACATGGTCGCAACATTCAAGCAACATCCTAAAAAGTCCATCAATGATGCCGTGGCTTTGGCCAATGCGCCACGTAGATCGGCAGCATACAACGTGCGCGACGCCTGGGACGCCGTCATCTCCGCCAGCAGTCCCGGAGACATCTCAAAAGCCGACAAGCTGAAAGATGCAAGCATGGAAGTACGACGAGAAACCGAACGCTGCACCCACACAGCCCCCAAGTTTTCCGCCGACGCCACAATCGCCGTTCTGACTATATCAAGCGCCGCGCAGATCCATCCCGTTATTGCAACACGCTGGTCCGGCACCCTCAAATCTAATAAACTCGAAATCGTCATGTGCGCAAATGAAGGTTACCTGCCCGATAAAGTCAATTTCTCATGTCGTGTCGCCAAGTGTGCGAGAGCGCGCGAGGGAGAGGAGAAGGTCGATATTATTAAGAAGTTGGAGAGTATTGTTGCGGGCGACGAGGCGTTGAGGAAGAGGCTTGGGGAGAGCTTTGCGAGGGGGCATAAAGAAGCTAGTGGAGGGATCGTAGGAAAGGGCGAATGGGAAGAGTTTAAGAAGTTGATGGGTGTAGGGGAAGCGAAGAAGAAGGCGGATGGGAAGAAGGAGGAGAAGCCGACGCAGAAGAATACTTTGGCGAACTACTTCGGGAAGAAGGATAAGAGCGTCAAGGTGGAAGGTGCTTAGACTCTGAGCGGCGATAGCACACCAGACGTCTTCCTTTCTTCGAGAAGAACCAGCGGATCGGCATCTACGACCACGCACGGGAAAGGCGTCGAGGCAAGCCTGGTAAATTCTGCGTCGTACGTGACGAGAACACTGCTGGCGTCGATTCCGATAGAGGTGCGATGCCAAACACTTCCTAGGTTGCCAATCTGAAGCAATCTCGATTATGCCACCACGGAAGAGGCGTGAAAGAATCCGGGTTGGGGCCGCCTCGCATGCACTACGCTGTCCTACGCTCAGACCAAGCTTAAACAATACTCAATCTATCGGAGATCGCAGTTGAGAAGAACTTGCACGGAGGAGTCGATGTTCAGGCCCATGCCCGCCCACCCTCTTTCTCCGCCATTGGCCTTCGTTACTCATTTCTTTAAACAAACTCATGGCGAAAAGGAAGAAAACAGCTGTGGGTATTGACACGCTCAAAACCAATGATGGATGTTCTGGCGTTTTTACACCGTTTCGAATTAAATACCGACTAGCCTGGCGAGCGGCTCCAGGCCCAAATTGCCGAAAGATCGGCATTCTCGATCAGGAACATAAGAGGATCATCACAACGACCTTTCGAGACGCACCTGATAGCTCAGGCACAAACAATCGACAGCTTTACGCCAGAGCCTAAAGTCACCACACCTTGGAACAGGTTAGATGCTAATGCTTACACGAAAGGCCTCGCATCGCCCAAACGCAGCCGCCCCAGTGACCACGACGCATATAATATACGACCTCCATATAGCCAAGCATCACCGTTGCAGTCCGAAACGCAAAAGCCGCCCACATTGCGCCATGTGACATCGGTACCAAACCACCAATGCCGTGCCCAATCAGGTAAAACGCTGAACTCTGGGGCGACATGCCCGCATGCGAGTTCAAAACCTCTCCATCTACACTCGCGCCTCCGCTTTCCCCATGCTGGCGAATGAGCGCGTGTCGTGCAAATTGAGTGCTGACGGCCTGACGGGGCACGCGCTACCCGACAGGTGCCAAGGAAAGCTTGATGCCAGCGATGTCAATCTATCTAAGTGGTCAGGGCGAAAACGATGAAGATAGTGGTCAGAAGCCGTGACTAGGTGCGGAGATGACGAGGGAAAGACTGGTACAGCGGCCCGGGTGGATGTTAAACGTCGCTGTTAGATTGCTGTGGTGAAGTGTACTACGGTGTATGCATGACCAAAAGAATCGAAAGTGGTGAATAAATACTGAGAGTGGTGCCAGTGGTCGAGAAAAAGACTCGATACGAATCATCCTACCCTCTTTGCGCTTTCTGCCATCTCATCCCGTTAACCATCCGAAGATGAAGTACGCCACCGTTTTCCTCGCTGCGGCGGCGACCGTCTCCGCTCACTCGACCTGGCAAGAACTTTGGGTCGGCAGTGAAGACAAAGCGGGCACATGTGTGCGAACTGTCAAGGACAACAGCCCCATCACCAGTCTGACCTCGCCCGACATGTTCTGCGGACGCGGCCCAGCTTCTACATCTGGGGTTTGCGAAGTCGCTGGTAAGCTCCCTCGAGTTCATTGCACAATCCTTTGCCCAGCAAGGCAATATGTGATGGGGATAGGATAATGTGGACCTGTATGACATACTAACAAAACCCCCACAGCCGGCAGTTCCCTAACCGTCGAAATGCACGCCCAGCCCAACGCACGCTCGTGCTCCCAACCCGCCATCGGCGGCAACCACTACGGCCCCGTCTTCGTATACATGGCCAAAGTCGCCGACGCCAAAACTGCCACCTCAGGTTCCTTCTTCAAAGTTGCCGAAGACGGGTACACGGGCACAACAGCCTCATGGGGCACCGAGATCCTCAACGCAAACTGCGGAAAGCGCGCTTTCACCGTGCCCAAGAACATTGCTTCTGGCGATTACTTGGTCCGCGCCGAGGCGATTGCGCTGCATGCTGGTGCGAATAACCCGCAGCCGTATGTTAGTTGCTTCCAGGTTAAGGTTACTGGGGGTGGCAGTGCGACGCCGAGTGGTGTCAGCTTTCCGGGGGGTTACAAGACTAGTGATCCGGTCTTTACGAAGGCGATTTATGATTCTAGCTTCAAGTATGTTAGCCCTGGACCGGCGGTTTACTCTGGTTGAGAGTGCGCGTACTTTGGTGCTGGGAGGCTTTTGGGCGCCGAGCCTTGGGCCGTAGAGTTGTTGGCTTCCTTTCCATCTTTATGAAGTAAAGACTTCAGGTAGCCTATGTACATATTATCGTTAGCGCCATTGCAGAATGAAGAGGCTCATGTACATACTCGATGTAATCCGTTGCACCGCATCCGCAATCTCCTCGCTCGAGTCGGTGTCATCGTCCAGCGTCAAAGCCGCAGCAATATACATAACCGGCTTAACCCACGGCCTCCCCTCCTCGTCATCTGGAGGAGGAAAAAAGACCCTATCGAACCGAGCGACCTGCCTAAAGGCATGTTCGTATTTGCCCCTCTTATTCTTGTACGCCTGCGATTCTTGGAAAGTTTCAAAGTCGAACTCCGCGCAGTCTAATCCCTTGGGCTTGAATATCCCCGCGAGGGTCAGCAGTTCTGTTGCTGTCCTCGTCAAAGTGTTGCGATACGAAACCATCTTGGTGATTATGTCTAGGGCCTCGTCATTGTCGTCATACTTTCCGTCGAGAAATTCTGTTATGCAACCGTTGATCGCTGTGTTTGGGGCTAGGCTCGATCTCCCCGGGAAGCTGTTGAGGTAAAATTCGCACTCGATCCTAAGGGCGTTTATCTTCATCGTCGATGGAGCAGGACGTTCTTGGGTGGGTTCCATCGTCGGTTTACAAGGGGATGGTGAATCTTGCTGTGGGGTTTGCATGGTGGAAATGTCGGACTTGGATAGCGAACGGAGGTTTATATACCTATAGTACGCTACCTCCACCTCCACGCTGATACAGAGCTTCTAACCCAGGTTCGCGAATTTGGGTAGATGCGATGTGGATTTCGGAAGTCGTGAGTGGCTCGTCTGCTCTGCGTCACCGCAGTACCGTGGAAGGAAGTGGATTCAACCACGTTACAGCTCCAACGTGACTTTCGTCTCCGCGAGTGTCCGTCCATCGAAGCCAACGCCTGTGACCTCAATCTCAATCTTTTGCCCAGTATGCCGCTCCACGAACTTCTCGTTGAGAATGTGCTCCAATGCATACGCCTTCGCCAGAAGCAGCCCTTTACTTCGAATTGTAAAGTGCGCGAACGGGCCGGTGATGTCGCTCCATGGCATGCCCGTAGTTTTGGACTTGCCGTTCGTTGTATCCTCGTAGTTCCAGCACAGTCTGACGTGTTCACTCACGCCTTCACCGCGCTTTTCAACCCGTACTTCTTTGATCCCGAAAGAGGAGCTTGGAGGTAGTTTCAACGTAGGCGAAATGCAAATCTCTTTGAAACCCACCAACCTCACAGGCCCACGTAAAGTCCCCCTCAACGGGCCTTTAACCTGTATACCCAGCTCTTCTATCCTCGCTCCAGGTCTATCATTCAGCAACACGATCGGCTTCCGCGATAGATGCAACGTGTGATAATGCATCGTTCTACCCGATTTGAAGTAGATGAAAAATGTCATGTCCTCCATTTCCGGCGGTCTAGGATCCTCGTAGCTGTCTAGCACCATTGAGAGTTGCAGGGATCCATCGGCTGGCATGTCGATTTTGTAGAGGGGAAGGAAGACTTGTACGTCAAAGTCTTCGGTTGGCTGTTGTGGGACTAAGGAGATGAAGGAGATGACTAGGACGTTGCGGTTGTGAGAGTGTCCTATGCGGTGGGAGAGTATGACGTCTGGGCTTTGGGGGAAGAGGCTGACTGGACGTGGGAGGATGGATTGCGAACCCAGTTGCGAGTGCGTGTTGCCATTGTTGAATAGATATTCTACGTCGTCATCATGTGGAGAGAATGCGCGGGTGAAGTCTGTGTAGAAGAAATGTTCTGAGCCTGCCACGCGCTCTTTGGCTGCATGTAGGATTGGACGCACTTTGTTTGGCGGGTGACGCGATGTGCAGTCTACGCAGGTGCACTCGATGCCCTCTGGTAATGGTGTACCTTCCCAGACGGTGCGTTCGACGTCCCGCTCATGACTTGGAAAATGCTCGAACGACCATGCCGGTGCAAAAACGCCAACCGACAGACCCGTATCTGAGAGTCTGGCCAATGCGACTCCAGTGTTTGTACCACCGCCCCCATACTCAGGATATGTGACGCGAGGATGAGTAAAACTAGACTTGTTCTGTGCCCAGACGTCAACGCCAAAGTAGATATTCTTCTTCTTGCCTTTAGCGTAAGGGCCAAGATAGCCAGCGTACTGTCCGAGCTTTATTGATTCAGAAACATGAATGTCCGTCCAGCAGTAATTGGTGAGAATGTTTTCGCATGCGTCGGCAAATTTGAGGTTGGAGCTGGTCAGCGCGTTCTGGTAAGATATTTTGTTGGAAGTGGTGAGCGCATCGTACCTAATATGGAGTCATGTGTCAGTCATGGTGGTAGTGGATGTGAGGTTATTACCATATGAGCCGTTTATCAACTCCTAGCTCGGCCTTAAGCTGGCGTAGAAACGCTTCAAGGACCTCGGGGTCCCACGCGTCGCTTGCGAACGGCTTCTCGATGTTTATGAGCCAGCCGTCAAAGCCGAAGTGTGTTGCAATGGAGGCCAGCTTCTTCGCCATGGGAAAGTTCAAATCCCCAGACTCTTCTGTAGTATGATACAATACACGTTCCGAGCCTTCAGTCTGCGGTTCAATCAAGAAGGTGCCCAGCGCTTCCACACCGTTTCTGTGCAGCGTATTCGTCCATGTTGGTGGGGGCACACAGACCAGCTTATGAGAGAAGTAGACAAAAGTATCAACAAACTGGAGATATTCACACGAGTAGAGTTCCTTGTCTACACCGACGGCCTGCACGCTTTCGTAGTCATGGTAGTTGCCAGAATAGTCATGGATCAATAGAACACCAGTTTTGCAGTCGTCGGTCGGTACTCCACCGGTGGCTCGCAACAACGGCGTATTGGCTCTTTGCAGAGGGTCAGAGTCAGCCTCAGTCCACGATTCCAATTGATCAAAGGTATCGAAGTAGGCGAAGCCCTTCAGTCGATCTAATGCGCGCTGATGGCGTCTCTCTTCCGGTGTAGGTCCCGTGTCCGGGGTGGGAAACAAATGGCGGTAACCATCACGAATCGGCCTGAGGATGTCTTTCCACCCGAGAAGATTGGCCATGTCTGACTGGTGGTGCAAGTGGTGAGTGTATGGCGACAGTGGTGCGAACTGCTGCGGGAAGTAGCGGCGATCGGGATGACGTTGGCGGCAGGGGCATGTCTTGGCGTGCAAGGCTCCACAGCTCCATCCCTACGTGAAGCAGCTGGCGGAACGTGTCTTTTATGTCAGGCACTCAACCACCACCGCCCACCACGCCTCACGTCGCCAAACCTCTGCCGCTCCTTTCGCCGCGACCAGCGACCCACGCACCGCCATGATGAATCTCTTCCGACTGCTGGGTAGGCCTCGCGACACCAAATGATGCTTTGTGTATGATGTGCTAACACGTCTAGGGGATTTATCCCACCTGCTATCCATCCTGATTCTGCTGCATAAGATGAAGGTGTCGAGCGTACGTCTATCTGAGTTGCACACGTAATGCGCCGCATATATTGACACGGCATAGAGCGCGTCCGGCATCTCGTTCAAGTCACAATTCCTCTATCTGATGGTCTATCTCACGCGTTACGTCGACCTGCTGTGGACCTTCTACGAACCCAAGTCGCTCTACAATACCATTTTCAAAATCATCTTCATCAGCACATCCGCCTACACCGTCTACCTCATGCTCAACGACTACAAGCCGACGCACGACCCGAATCTCGACACGTTCAAGGTGCAATATCTGCTGGGAGCGAGCGCGGTGCTGGCGATACTGTTTCCGTACAAATACACGTTCTCTGAGGTGGGTAGCAGCAGGACTTGCAATGGAGGAGGAAGGTGCTGACTGAAATAGATTCTCTGGGCTTTCTCCATCTGGCTGGAATCAGTCGCCATTCTGCCCCAGCTCTTCATGCTGCAAAGGACCGGCGAGGCGGAAACGATCACGACACACTACCTGTTTGCGCTGGGTGCGTACCGGGCGCTGTACATCCCCAACTGGATCTACCGCTACTTCTTCGAGGTGCCCAAGTTCTACGACCCGATCGCAGTGATTGCCGGCATCATCCAGACGATCCTGTACTCTGATTTCTTCTACATTTACTACACCAAGTACGTCTCTAACCGCCATTGAAGGCGCATCAACATGCTAATTGAATGTCCAGGGTCATCCAAGGCAAGAAGTTCAACCTGCCCGTATAGACCGCGCGCGCATGGACGCTGCTCCCTTCTGCTGTTGGCGGCCGAGTTCGGTCCTACTCTGCTTCGTATCTGGGCATATTTGTGATAGGGCGTTTTGTGGCATTTTTATGGTTATGGAAGGAGGTAGCCTCAGCTAGTTGGCTGGTTGGGCGTTGGACGAGTTGGACGACATCACAAGAGGGTGAATGGGCATGTAGGAAGATACCTTGAAATGAATAGACGTGAGATGGTCAGAGGATTGTATTGAACATGCAAGCGACAAGGCTGAGACAGGAGAAAAGCAGTGCATGCATGTGCGCCACCGACTGCAGCCTCGAGGCATCAAGGGGAGCCGAATGCTTACCTGGAGGCGCACTGCCAATCAGCGGACGCTAATTCGGCGGCCAGGACTCCGCACCATCCATGCATCTCGCAGCCGTCAGCCCTCTTACCTTTGATACTTTGTTATCCTAATAAACCCATTTGCTATTTCTTCGTCCGCTCGCTGTTTCCACGTTGCCCATTCGCCTCGCCGACTTATCGCATTAGTCAGCGCATCCACGTCCGCCCGTCGACGATTATCGCATTCGCCTCAGTTATCGCCGTAAAGTGCGCGCCTCACACGACCGACCGACCGAGATACGTCAGGGCCATTAGGGCTGCAGCGTGCGCACGCGAGGCTCCCTACCTACACACAACCACAGTCACACCCACAACCCACCAACCCGCCATGTTCTGCCTCCGCAGCTGGATCCCCGTTCTATTCTTCCTGTAAGCACACACCCACCCACCCCATCTCGCTCCCACTGCACGCGCATTCCCTCCCTAACACCTCCCCCACAGATTACGAACGCACGCCTCACCCGTCTACCTCGTCCTCTTCATCTCAGCAACCTACTTCCTAAACCGGCCATGCGTGTACTGCTCGCTCCTCCTCTTCATCCTCGTCGTCGCCCTCTTCGACTTCCACACCCCGTGGTTCGATGCGCCGCTGTCCGATAGCGCGGAGCTGGCGCTGAATGGCACGGTTGCGGAGACGGCGGGTGTGCTGGCGCAGGCGGCGAATCATACGGCCAAGGCGGTGGTGAGGGGGGCGGTGGAGGGGGTTAGGGGGAGGGTGGGACTAGGGCAGGGGAGTGAAGCTGGAGGGCAGAGTTATGAGTGGGTTAAGGGGTTGTTGGGGAAGAAGGAGTGGAGGATACAATGTTTGGATGTTTTGATTCGGGTTTGAATGGAGGGGGTGGATTGGGGAAATGGGAGTGCGGGTCTGCTATGTAGAGGTGTGCGAGGCGTTTGTGGCTGGTAGGCGTGGTGGAAAGGATACTATCGCATGGCTGGGGCGTATACTGAAGCATTTGCAGGCGTCAATGGCATACCACTTTCAGGATTGATATTCATCAGCTTGTGCGTGATACACATGCTTCAAGCAGATGGAGAGAGGAGGGCACTGCAGACCTCGGGGGACAACGCGCTTCAACCATCACAACGCACACATAAAAGAACAGCAAGATGAAATGCCGTCCCAGCATCGTCGCATCTGCACCTAGATAAATACACCCAAGACCCCGCGCTAAAGCCGAACGCAGGGATTCAGCCTAGGTGGGGCGCTTCGGCGTGCCGCACGCGCACCTTCCCCTCTAAGCCTACACGCATCATCTCATGCCAATCCAATTGAAACATTGACACCCCTCTTTCCTCTTTTGCTCAAGCCTGTTCCGTTCACGTTCCCTGGCCGCCTCCCCCGCGGACCTTCACTCTGGCTAACCTACTGACTTCCGCGAGACTCTGCTCTCGACAATTGAGGTGTAGAGCTCATCCTACGCGCCTGTATCCTGCTACATCGCATTCACTCTCTTTGACCCACCACATCCGCTCTAGAAGCTTCTCTTCGGCAGCTAGACAGCTTCAGTCTGCCCCACGTACCCAGTTACGCCCAAGACCGAGGCTTGCCGTAGCAAATACAACCACGTTTGCAGCACAAAAGAGGTTCTGCCAGAGCGAAGTCACCAGCAGTTTCGTCAACATGGCTTCAGATCGCGATGTCCTCCCCGCATGGTTAGTTGATACATCCCTAGTACCGTGACCAAGCTAACATATCAGGGCCAAACCCTCGCACTACGCCCTCTCCCTCCACGACCTCGAATTCGGCGGCAAGTTTGGCTACAAGGGTACCGTCAACATCACCACCAAAATCACAAAGGACGATGGCTTCAGCACCCTCGTCCTCAACGCGCATCAGCTCAAGCTGCAAACCGCCGAGCTGAAGGCTGGCGACAAGACACTGTCAGCAAAGGACATCTCATACGATGAGAAGAGGCAACAGGTCACACTCGACTTTGGCGAGAAGATCAGCTACTCTGGCGAGGCTCAGCTGGAGATCAGGTTCGAGGGCTTTGTCAACAACATCATGGCCGGCTTCTACCGCTCCAAGTACAAGCCCAAGGGCGACGTCCCCGCCTCCGTCGCAAAGGATGACGAGTTCCACTACATGTTCAGCACCCAATTCGAGGCCTGCGACGCCCGCCGCGCCTTCCCCTGCTTCGACGAGCCCAACCTGAAGGCTACCTTCGATGTCGAGCTCGAAGTGCCCAAGGACCAGGTCGCCCTCAGCAACATGCCCGAGAAAGAGATCAAGCCCAGCAAGCGGGACGGCTTCCACACTGTCGTCTTCGAGCGATCGCCCATCATGTCCACATACCTGCTGGCGTGGGCGATTGGTGACTTTGAGTACGTCGAGGCTTTCACCGAGCGCAAGTACAACGGAAAGAACATTCCCGTCAGGGTCTACACCACTCGTGGTCTGAAGGAGCAGGGTCGTTTCGCCCTGGACAACTGCCACAAAATTGTCGACTACTTCTCCGAGGTCTTCCAGATCGACTACCCTCTTCCCAAGGTCGATCTGCTGGCTGTTCACGAGTTCTCGCACGGAGCTATGGAGAACTGGGGTCTCATTACCTACAGGTGCGTCGAGTCCTTGAACAAGCTGGACTTCATGTTAACGTAATTAGGACTACTGCCGTACTCTTCGATCCCGCCACATCTGCCGACAGCTACCGCAACAGGGTCGCCTACGTTGTTGCTCACGAACTTGCCCATCAGTGGTTCGGTAACCTGGTCACCATGGACTGGTGGAGCGAGCTTTGGCTCAACGAGGGTTTCGCGACATGGGTCGGATGGCTTGCCATTGATCATCTATACCCAGGTACGTCGAATCACTACTATTGCAGAACTCTGCTAACTCTCACTAGAATGGAACGTCTGGGGACAGTTTGTCGTACGTCACAAATCTCGAGGTATCTACTACCAGCCTATTGACTATTTCTCTAGACTGAATCCGTCCAACAAGCTTTCGCCCTTGACGCGCTCCGAACATCACATCCCATCGAGGTACCCGTATACGATGGTCTCGAGGTCGACCAGATCTTTGACCACATCTCCTACCTCAAGGGTTCCTCAGTCATCCGCATGCTGAGCGCTCACCTTGGCGAGAAGGTCTTCCTGCAGGGTGTTGCCGACTATCTCAAGGCCCACCAGTACTCCAACGCCACTACCAACGACCTGTGGTCTGCCCTGAGCAAGGCGTCTGGTCAAAACGTCAACACCTTCATGGACCTCTGGGTTCGCAGGATCGGTTTCCCAGTCGTCACCGTAGCTGAAGAGCCTGGTCAGATCGGACTGCGTCAACAGCGCTTCCTTCTTGCGGGTAATGTCAAGCCCGAAGAGGATCAAACTACCTGGTGGATTCCGCTTGGCCTTCACTCTGGCGAGTCAGCTTCCAGCGCGTCTGTTCACGAGACCACTGCTATGACACAGAAGGAAGACACAATCCGCAACGTCAGTGACAGCTTCTACCTTCTCAACAAGGACCTCACTGGCTTCTATCGCACCAACTACCCTGCGGACCGCCTGAAGAAGCTTGGAGAAGACCGCGATCAGCTCACCGTGCAAGACAAGATTGGCCTCGTGGGTGACGCCTACGCCAACGCAGTGGCAGGTTACGGCTCCACCGCTGGTCTCCTCGCACTGGCAGAGCGCTTCCAGGACGAGTCTGACTACCTTGTATGGTCTCAGATTCTGACCAACATTGGCAACGTCCGCAGCGTCTTCTCCGGCAGCGAAGACATCAGCGAGGGACTGAGAAAGTACCACCTCAAGCTCATCACCCCAGCAGTCGAGAAGGTCGGCTGGGAGTTCAAGGATGGAGAGAATTACCTCGTCGGCCAACTTCGCGCTAGCCTCATCCTCTCCGCCGGCATCGTCGGCCACAAAGCCACCGTTGACGAGGCCCTCAAGCGCTTCGACGCCTACATCAATGGAGACAACAAGGCCATCCATCCCTCCCTCCGCCGCGCCGTTTTCGCCACCGCCATCAAGAACCGCGGCGAGCCAGCCCTCAAAGCCGTCCAAAACGAGTACCTCCATACCACGTCCATCGACGGCAAAGAAATCTGCCTCGGCTCCCTCGGCCGCGTCCAAACCCCGGACCTCGCAAAGCAAGTCATGGACTTTGTCTTCTCCGACGCCGTCGCCATGCAAGACAAGCACAGCTCCACCATTGCCCTCGCCAACAACTCAAAGGTCCGCCCGGAAGTCTGGCACTACATCCGCGATAACTGGGACTCCAAGGTCCACCCGGCGCTTGCTGGTAACCCTGTTGTGCTGGAGAGGTTCCTTAGGTTTGGTCTGAATAAGTTTACGGACAGTAAGGTCGCCGATGAGATTCAGGAGTTCTTCAAGGGGAAGGATACGAGGGGGTATAATAAGGGGCTGGAGGTTGTGGATGATACTATTAGGAGTTATGCGGCTTATGCGGAGAGGGATGCGGGGGTTGTTAGGGAGTGGCTGGGGGCGAATGGGTATGCGTGACTTGGTGGGAAGATGTGAGGGAGGAATGTGATGGGATGGGATTCGAATAGCAAGAGCAATACAGATTACCCTGGCGAGCACTTGAGGCGCTCAAACTACAACCGATAAGTCGTGATCGTGTTGGGTTTGACCATTTGCCTAGTCAGTCTTTTCCATCTTGCTGCTGTTATCGCAAGCTGGCGAAGCCAACTGAAAGTAGCTCACGTGCGTGGGGTCAGAGTCAGGGTGATGGGTGGGTCGGGGAGGAGGAGGGGCGGTGGTGGAAGTTATCTCTACCTAGATATGCGAACTCAATTTCTTGCTAACATATCTCGTGTTGGCTGAGCTAACTGAATGTAGCTTCCATGGGGCTAGAGTAAGGGCGGCCCTTTGTCCTCGAGCCACGGGTCCACGCCCTAGGTACCTAGATAGTAGCCGCTCCACCATCGATAAGCTCGCCAATGCACATCATCAGTCCGCTTTCTACTCTGGTTTTCATTACCGTCTCAAGACGAGTCTCCTTGCGCTTTCCTTTATCTAAGTCATGTTCAACATGAAACTCGGCCTGTTGAACGTCACAGCGAGTGAGCTACAGCGCCTACTAAGTGACAAACAGATCACCAGCCTCGATCTCGTCCGCCAATACCACGACAAGATCCTCAAACACAACGACAGGCTCAAAGCTATGATATCGATATCGCCGCTTCCACATCTGGAGAAGATTGCGGCTAAGCTGGATGATGAAAGGCGGAGGGGTGTTGTGAGGGGTGGGATGCACGGTGTGCCGTTTGTTGTCAAAGATGCTATGGATACATCAAGTGAGTTTCAGCTCGAATCTACAAATGGCGGGTGGGCGTTTGTGGGATCTCGGCCGAGAGGGACGGCTAGGGTTGTTAGGATGGCGGTGGATGCTGGGATGATCTTGATGGGGAAGGCGAATCTTTCTGTATGTTTGGGGTTGGTGTCTGGGGGGTTTGAGCTAATGGAGACAGCAATTTGGGAACTGGAAGTGAGTGTCACGTGGAGACTTGAAACGGCATTGATTGATCTCTCCAGGGCGTCCGGAATGAGCGGCGGCTGGTCTGCACGCGGAGGACAGACGCAATCCGCATACGTGCGCGGTGGCGTAGCCGACGACGGTATATACGGGCATTCAGTAAAGCCTCTCCGCGAATGCCACGTATCCCAATACTCACTACCTCACAGAACCCATCCGGCTCATCAACAGGCTCAGCCGTAGCCGTCAGTGCCGGCTTCGCCCCTCTCTCTATCGGCGCCGACTTCAACGGCTCGCTCACAAATCCAGCTACTCGTGCTGCTTTGTACAATATCCGTACTACGCCTGGTATAGTATCGGAACACGGAGGATTTCCGCTCTCGAAGAACAGGGATAGTGTTGGGCTTATGGCGAAGAGTGTTGGGGATATGGTTGGTTTGCTGAATGTTATTGTGGATGTGGAGCATCCGGGAGTGCCTGATCGGGGGTATGGTACTAAGGTGACGAGGGAGTGGAGGGATGTTTCTTTCGCTACTTTGGATCCACATCACTGGCATCTACCAGAGGCAGTTCAGAAGCCGCAACCTGGAGCTTTGGACCAAATCGTAAGTGCCCAGGTGCACTCCCAATGAAACAAAAACATGCCTTACTCAGCGAGCAGATACGCGAGACACTTGCGGCCTACAGGAAGATCGCACGCCTAGCCAAACGCGTCGTCGGTCCAGTCGGCCTAATCTCGGACGAAACATTGGATGAGAGTATGGACGACGTTCTGGCCACAATCAGTGAGCACGATTATACGAAAGTGCAAGATACAAACTAGCTAACACATCCCAGAAAACGATTTCTCCGACCTCTTCGAAGCCTACACAAATGGTCTAAATACACCTAAAGTCAAGACCCTAAAGGAGTTGATTGATTCCAACGAACAACATCGCGAGATTGAGTTACCAGAGCGTAAGAATTAACCCATAAATTTTCTCTTCATCTCATGTTCACTGCTAAAGCCAGCTATCATCAGATTCTCCAAATCAAGACCTCCTCATCAAAAGCCTATCCGCCGCAAACTCGCTCACGAACGCAGAGTATGACCGTCTTGATGTAAAGGCGACCGCATCAGCCGCTGATGATGCGATCGACAAAACTCTCTACTATCACAACGTCGACGTAATTATAGAACCTGCAGATAGCAAGTTACCTGATGTTGTTGCTTTGGCTAGTAAGTTCTTTGCCTTGTCTTGCCCTGTCTTGGCTGTGTACAAGCGTCTCTCACTAAGATAATGATAATAGGGTATCCGTCCGTGACTCTGCCATTAGGGTATTTGGATTGGAATGGACGACCGTTTGGGCTGCTGGTTGTTGGGGGGAAGTATCGGGAGGGGTTGCTGCTGAATGTTGCGGGGTTGTGGGAGGGGGTGGTGGGGGGGAGGATGGCGCCGGATTTGGGGTGGGGTGGTGAGGCTGAGCGGGGGGAGTGGTGTTGTGATTGAGGATGAAAGGCGAGTCTGTCGAGTGCTGCCGGTTAATTTATGTGTATCTGGCTGCTGATTGGTTCCTGCAAGGCTGACTTGTGGGTCTTTCGAGCGATGCCTTCGTTGAGGCAATCGGCTTATCTTTTTCTATTTCCGCGGACCCTCAATCGCGTGGGTAAACGCACAAGGCTGAGATTAGCCACCTGACATCCGGCGGAGAGGATTATACAATGAGCATGTTGTTCTTGGCAAGTAGGCGAAAAGGCTGGCCCCTATTTATGGCACGGTCATCTTGTGGTGGCTGCTTACCTGCATGATCCATGGATATTCTCAAAATTGCTCCTATCCAACGGTTTAGCGCCTGGGGCCTTTCTCGATGACAGTGTATGGTATGGGCATTTGCGGGACAAAGATCTTGTCCTGTAGATCTTCGAGGCGCGCACGGGTATGGCGCTCTTGGTAGCTGAACTCGAGTGCTATATTCGCGCAAGCAGTCCAGCCTTCTGTCGTAGTCTTTTTGATCACTCTCTTCGCATCCTCCTTTCGGTGTTTTCGACAACTATGCACACTGTCACACGAAAGAAGCCCACCGGGTGGGAGAATATCAAGTCTGAAATTCTCAAAGAAGCGAAGTCAAATGTACTTACCTACGACAGCGAGCTGCAACGTTTTGTTGGAGAATTCCCTGAGGACGCGAATCTCGGAGACTTCGTGGACATAACTTCTTTTCTCGACACCAGAGAGGAAGTTTCAGCGCCTCCGACCCAGGATGATGATTCGGTTGTCAGCGTCAACTTTATTTACATACCGTTACCACGCATAACAGCACCTAAACTACCATCATATCATGAATACAGGGGACATGATGCTATGCTTCGGTCACTACCATTTTTTAATGGATTCAGGGCAGATAATATTATCAAATGGTATCTCCCACTTCTTTCTTCTGAGGGAAGCCAGACCACAACCACTGGGCGCCTCTGTTCTCGGGGCAGACATGGTATACTTTTCGAGACACCGGATGGTACTGTCCCCTACATACGGCTATCGCTCAACAGTGGTGAAAGCGAAGGTGTTCGGAGTCGATGGCAGGTGATACTCGTCTATGAAGGGGCGCCTGTTGGTCTTGAAACGACATTTGCAATAGCCCGATCGCACATCAAATGGTACGATCCTGAGACCGACACGGACCAAAATATAATGGACGAACCCTTTCGCGCTTTCGCCATTATGCTTTACACAATTGTGCACCAGTACGTAAGAGCGATTGGGGAAGAGATGGTTACATTCATGAAAGGAATTCAGGACGTAGAAGGATCTGTGGATTCTGAAGAACGCCCAAGCAGCTTGCTTCGTCGACTCAATGCTATCAGCCGCGATGTTAGGGCTGCAAGCCTGAAGGAGAAGTTTGTATTCAGTATGGATGCAGCAAAGTGGGCGGACGCTATCTTCAAACCGCTAAGATACATGGATGAGAAGGAAAAATTGCTACTGGTAGCTCGAGGGGTAGAGCAGTATCATCCAGATCGTTTGCGAGAAGTTGCTGCGGACATTCATCAGCATATCGAGGATGTTGTTGCGGAAAAGCAGCAGGAAAGACAGGAGCAGCTCCAGGAACAAGAAGAGAAACGAAAGAAAGATCGATACAAGCTGCAGAATGACCAGAAGGCTGAGGAAAAGATCCGGGCGAGAAGAGAGGGAGAGCTTCTGGAGCAGAGCATTAGGATTGCGAAAGAAACGAAACGCGACAGTCGTACCATGCGCGGCATAGCTTGGGTCACCATCGCCTTTCTACCCGCAACATTCGTGACATCGTTCTTTGGCATGAACTTCTTTAATGGCATCGCTGGAAGGGTACCATTTGACGAAGCGAGCCGCAACGTCTGGCTGTTCTTCGCAATCGCTATCCCGGTTAGTGGCATTGTTCTGTTGACATTCTATTTGTGGGACAAGCAAGAAGAGAAGAAAGATGACGGAAAACTGCCGTCGGTGGAAGACGGCACCATGACAAACCAACAAGATGCTGTAACACAGTGCACAGAAAACGATTTTGAACTATCAGCACCACACAGCAGAGTGTCGCACTCCTAAAAGCCCACAACTATCCCGAACCTCCACCGAGACACCAACCCCCTCCCTGCACCTCCCTTAGCCTCACACAGTGGGGCATGATCTACCGAGCCGGTGTGGGTCCCACAACCCGCCCCACCCTAACTTCCTACGCTGGCGCAATGTCACGATTCAAGAACCGCCGTAGCTGCCTTGTTTTCCTGGCTGCTGTTGTTGGTGCGGCAAGTGGGCGAGGCGTGCCGGCACGCGTCAGGCCGCTGCGCTGGTGCTTGAGTCGTTGGCTTTCGTCGTGAGGGTGGCAGGCTTGGCTTCTTTCCTAATTACTTATGGTATTTGTGACTTTTCGATAGGTGGGGATGGCTGTTTGGGGGTGCAGCGGGTTTGTGGGTTGGTGAGCCGTGGTGTGGTGACCTGTTGAAGGTGCTCTTGTGTTGGTAGAGCGCCTTTTGAGGGGTGCGCAAAGCGCAAGAACATTGTACGAGGGCTATAGCACATTGAGCGTTGAATGTCGTACTTTGATGCATTAAGATGTATTATTGGGTATCTGCCAAAGTTCATAGATCGTCGAAAGTCGCTGTACTACACCTTCGCGTCTCAAAGCCACCTCCTCGCATCCAACGACTTCTCCTTCTTATGTTGAATCGGTGGTAAAGCCTGCAAACTCGGATGCGAGCTCCCCCGATCAACACTGTACTCCGACTGCACCATAATACCGCCCATTGGTGAGCCAACCACCGGCGCCGGCGCCGCAACATCGGCCAACGGTTGCACATCCTCATTCGACTTGAACGACCGATCCAGCGACCCTTCCGAAGAGTTCTCCGGTGAATTCCTATCTGTAAGGACTCCGTCCTTTCCGCTCATGCCAACCCCCATCTCGTACTCGTCCAGGCGGACGAAGTCGTCTTTGTCCATCTTACTCCGACCAAGCGTGCTCAGTTGAGAGCGGTCGGTCTTTGGTAGCCAGATGCGGGATTTGAGGTCTTTGCTGCCGTTATTCTTCTTGCTGCTGTTACCAGAGTTCTCTGCGTAGTAGTATTGGCTTGGTGTCTTCTGTTTGGGCCAGATGCGTTCGCGGATGGAGCGCTGTAGCTGGCGGATAGCGGGTGCGCAGGCGACGATGGCGCCGACGTGGGCTTCGATGGCGGACCAGTATCCTATGGGTAGGTAGTCCCAGGTTACGTTGGTGGTTTGCGCGAACTGGATCATGTATTTGAGGCGGAGGATGCTGACGATGGTGACGCTGAAGAGGTGTTAGTTGAGGCAAGGTGAGATGTGGGAACTAGACTCACAAGCCTCCACCAAGGAACATGCACATGATGCCAAACTTGCGCCGACGGGTCATGGCAAGCTTGCTGAGTTCTCTCATAGGTATAACAATGACGACAAGATCGAGAAGGATGTTGACCGCGGCAGAAGCCCAGGCATCGGCATTGAGGTTGATGCATTTTCCGTGATGCTCGCCGTCCCAGTGTTCCCACGCAATGCGTATCGGAAGGCATTGCAGCGCGGTTGCTGTGACGAATGCGATGATGTACATGATGCAGATCACGATAGTAACGTGGATGACGCGTCGGAGGCCCCGGTGAGGGAAGATGCGCAGGTAGAAGAGCAAGACTGCTATCTTGGTCAATGCGATCGACGCAAGATAGAGAAGCTCAGTGTAGTAGAAGATCTATCATCAAAAATTCGTTAGTGCAGGCTCTTGGAACTTGCAGAAGTCTTCACATACCTCGAGAATCTTGGTGATGTTTTCGAAAGACACCATCCACATATCCGTACCCAACCCCAAAAGGTTCAGAAGGTACGCGCATATCGTGAGTGGGATAATGAGTATGATGGCCGCAGTCATAACCCAATCATCAATGCCCCAATTTCCGCCGAACCACGGAAGTCGTGCGATTACGCGTAGAATGTAAGCTCCCAGAGACAGTACTCCAAAAACGATTGTAGTAACCGTTCCTTGTTCCGTCTTGTTGCGGATGGGCGCATCCATCAACTCCGCGAGAAACTTCTTCGCCGCTGCACGGGCAATTAGCAGATAGTTCAACGATTGAGTGTAAGAGAGGACCTACTCAGTGCTTCTTTTGGCTTACAGCTAGCCCTGACACATTTGGTCAAGTCATCGAGAAGCTTCTCGTTGCCCTTGATGCAGTCGATGTCTGTGAGCTGGCATGTTGACGACGAGATTATTGTGAGGGTGCAATCTAACTATATGAACGAAATCAGTATGAAGTCTCGTCTATTGACTTGGTATACATACCGCGCATGGAGGCAGGTTCTTGACTGCAGACGCGAGCACATCGTTTCCGCTCTGACTTTGCGCAAAAGACAAGGGCGCAAAGACGAGACACAGTAGTGCGGAGAAGAACTTCATGTCGGAACCCGCATAGAACGAGGCTGTACCCCAGATTGTTTCCGACAGTACGTATCGAGACAGCGCCGTACGAGATGCCCTGCGCGAGAAAACAAAAGAGGAAGGAGAATTATGTTAAGCGACGGATTGCGGATCAAACAGGGTAAAACAAAAAGCCATATGAGCCAGGATAAGAACAGGGGCTTACACACGGCACGTACAGGTTTCCCAGAGGCGGCAATGGACGTCAAAATCCTAGCTTCCCGAACATCAAAGCACCGTTAGTATGTTACAAGCACCACGTAGTGCAGCTGCCATCCTCGTCACGGAGTGTCTTCCACAAGGCGCGCCACACAAAACGTGCTCGGCCGCAATCGGCAGTCTATGAGCTAGACGGTGCCCTGACTTTAGTTCGCTGCTGTGCCGCTGTTACGGCGAATTCCACGTGGACCTTGAGCCCAACGAGCGACAAACCCTCCGATGTCTGGCCATTACCTTTGCTGGCTTCACACGTTGAACGTGTCGAAAACTCACATACTTTGTGTATGAGGTATGACGTTTGTGAGTGAGGAAGATCGTGCCAAGATATGTATGACGCGCTCAAGCGAGATTATCGGGGTCAATAGCTGTATGAGCACCCATGTTCTCACACTCAGTGCAGTACTGAATGTCGGCCTGTTAGGCATCACGAGGAGGTGAACATGATGCGAACCTGATCGGCGTTTGACGTGGCAATCATTCTGGCGTTCTGCCAATTGCCACAAGGCTTGCCTAGTGTATACAGTTATAAGGCTTCGCTAGTGGAAAAGCCCTCGAGCAGTTCCAACGCCAGCAGCGTCGATCATCGGAGGTACATGAACCCGGTGAAGAACGGTATTCCACTGCTCCCAAGTAATGGCAATCATCTTTGCGAAAACGTGGTTCGGCCCTGCATGTGAGTTTTAGAGTTTAGCTCCGCATGCAGATCTAGTCTAGCACGGTCTTTAATAAAGCTCGGAAACACTAGGCTAGTCAGTCACCCATGGTCGCTGTGATAAAACCGAATGTTCTTTGGACACGGCAGATGCAAGCGCCGTGGACAGAAAGATTGGCGAGTTTTGGCGAATCCTTCGTTCTGCAGCGATTGTAGGGGAATGTGGTATATGCTCAAGTGATCTGTACTAGCTGCAGCGACTTATAGATTCGTCGTTCGGCCATGATTCACGTGGTGGAGAGGATGACCGCAAGCCGCCCTGCCGGTCTGCAATGTGGGGCCTTAGAGCTCCATCGTTTCTTGTTGACCATACTTCCCATTCGCCCCCCTCTTCTGATCCACTCTTGTGAGATTCACGCGGAAAGCCGGTAGCTCTAGTGTTTCGAAATGACCGTCTTTTTGCTCATCCCAGAACACAGCTGTGTTCAAAGGTATGCCGGCGTAACTAGACATTTCCCAGTCCTCCACGCAGAAGTCGTCCCAAATAGAGCCCAGCCCTTCTGCGCGCTCCTCGACGATCAATGCACGCCACTCTTCCCCCTCCTGTTCTTCCTCGTTGCGATAGAGGAGCGTTGGGCTAAGCTGCACATAACGGGGCGGAGTCGTCACGTCTTTCGTGATCGGTGCTTCGAAGACAACCGTCCCGTTAGAAACAAAGGTTGTAACAACAAGACCGCGGTAATCAGCTTCCAGTGTGGCTGTAGAGTTCACTTCTGGATCTGAAGCGCTGTAGGTGCCCGCATAGCGGTTACGCATTTGCTGTATGGCAACCTTTTCGGCTGTTTGCACTATGTTTACTGTAACAATGTCCCTGATCTTGGATAAGATTGCGTTGGGGCCCGCGACTAGGATAGTGATACCTAAATCGTACTCTGGTACTGTTATGATGATGGAAGTATAGCCTGGTAGCCCTCCACTCTTAGTGACAAAGCGTACTGTACGCTTCGACTGCTCGAGTATGCGGTCTATTTGGTAGATCTCCCACGGCATGCCATAGAAGGAGTTCAATCCGCGAGACGAAGAGACGGGATGTAGCCAGTTTATCGCATGGGTAATGGCGTTGTAGTGGGTTAGGACGTAGCGGAGGTATTTCGACAGGTCGCTCGACGAACTGTAGATGCCGCCGGTAGGATTTTGAATGCCTTCATCTACACCCCAGAATTGTGGACCAGCCGGAATGACGCCAGCAGAATCGGCAGGCTTGGAGAGAGTGCTGGTGGACATGTTCAAGGGTTTGAAGATGGCTTCATCGACGTAGGTCTCGTAGGTCTGGTTTGTCACCCGCGAGAGGACGAGACCAAGCAGTTCGAACGCGACATTGGAATACGACGATTCTTGGTTTGGCGCGAATAACGGTGCAAACTTCTTGAGCTGTCGAAACATATCTAAGCACAATCGGATTAGTACCCTTCTCTCAAGCTCAATCAGTGAGCTGCGAACCTTTCGCCGTGCAGGGTGTCTCATAATTTGGTGAGTACTCGTCACAGTTTGGCAACCCTTCCCGTGACACATCAGGAGGCAGACCCATTGAGCTTGGATCCAACTCAGGATAGTTGTTATTGATCAGATCACCTTGAGCCCCTGTCAAGGAAATTAGCACGCGTACCTTCTTCTGTATGGCACACTCCGAACAGATTCTGCTTTTTCCCAGAAGGCATCTTACATTCGCGGGGAAGGCCGCTCAGTTGGCTAGCCAGACTGCGCAATGTAATGTCTTTCCACGGTATACCACCATTCGACTTGTCTCCTAACTCCTTAAAGTATGTATTCACTGTAGCGTCCAAGCTCAAATTCCCTGCTGCATGCTGATACAGTATACCGAGTACGGTGAAAGTCTTGGTGATGCTAGCGATGCGGTACAGCGCGTCGCCGTTGACTTCGAGGATATCTGGGCGCGAGGCATTACGTTCGCGCGCCGTATGATGACGCGACCATAGCGTGTCTTTCGACGAGGTTATCTCTACAGAGAAGGAGGTTCGGTCGAACTCCGGCGCTGCGACGGCTGCCGTGAGTGCCGTGTTGATAGACTTGAACGCGTCTTGAAGCAGAGGATCGCCAACATTGTACCGAGGCGGCGGATGTGCGATGGTAGGTTCGAAGCATTTGGCGCTTGCCAAAGCGACTAGCAGAAAGGAAGACAGCGGCACCATTTCGGCGTTGTGCTGGGAGAACTACATGATAGAGTTTGACGTGAGGATGCCTAGATGTGCGACATGTCGCTCCCCGCACTGAGGGGAGCTTGGACCTCGCGGCTTGTCATGATCGCCGATGCAACCTCACAACTCACTTACTCCAAATCGATTCTGATAGCCATCAAAGGGGTTAGACACATGGAGCCCTAATAAATGGCGGTACTATTCTGCAGCTCAGTCTGTGTCAGCGTCTCGAAAAGCGCGCGCGTTGTCGCGCTGTCACGTGCGAGGGTAGGATTGGCACCTGGGCACCTGGGCACGGCAACAACTGCAACACTGGCAGTCACCTCAACATGCACGTTCATCCCCATCGCCTCGGGATGAATACTTCCGAAAGCGCGAATCTCGCGTTATCTTATGTACAATGCTTCGCCCACTGCTGCGATGTGTGGATCGACCCTTTATCCGTCGATATGGCTATATGACAGCCCCACAAAGAGCTTGATTGCATCACGCCGTCTGACCTTTTCAGTGTCCACCAAGGTCATAGAAAGCAGATGTAGGATTTGGCTGTTTATATTACTTACGGGCATCAGGTTGACCACATGATACTGACTTACACCAGTTCTACATTCATGGATGTAGCCCTTCATCCGGGAGGATATATAACAGTTTTATCTTCCTTTGGTAGCTTCACCTTCTTGTCAGTAGACAACTTGTATCGTTTTATCTCATCGTCTCAATATCAGCCAGCAGAATGCGCACCTCTTTATTTACGATCTTTACCTTGGTCGTCACCAGTAGTGGCATACCGCTGGAACAAAACCCCGAGCGCCTTGCGGACATCTTTACTCGCCAGACTAATGTTAGCTGTCCAACGACACCGAGTCCTATGCCTAAAGCGGCGGCATTCCCCTCCATAAAGACGATGCCCGATCCCTTCCTGTATCTCGATGGTAAGACACGTGTTCAAAGCAAAGACGAGTGGATACAGTGCCGCCAACCGGAGATCCTCAAGCTCCTCCAGGAATACCAATATGGGTATTACCCTGATCACTCGCAAGAGACTGTCACCGTCACTCGAAGTGGCAACACCCTGACTGTGACTGTCACCGTAGGAGGGAAGACCGCTAACATTGCAGCTTCTTTGAACTTGCCGAGTGGAGGCGGACCGTTCCCAGTGGTCATCTCGATTGGCGGGATGGACACTAAGAGCTATGTAAACGCGGGGATCGCAGTGGTCACGTTCGATTATACCAAAGTTGCAGCAGACAGCAACAGTAAGACTGGCTCGTTCTGGACACTGTACAGTGGTAGAGACATTGGTAAGTAGACCTTGCCGTTTGCTTCATGCATACTTACAGCCAACAGGAGTACTCACTGCATGGGCATGGGGCTTTCATCGCGTTCTTGACGGCATTGAACTCAAGGTTCCAGAGATCGATGCAACCAAATCTGGCGTCACTGGTTGCTCTCGTCTGAGGAAAGCTGCTCTTGCTGCTGGGCTATTTGACAAGCGCATCGCTGTCACTATGCCCATGTGCTCTGGCGTTCAGGGTGTGGGGCCCTACCGATACAGCTTGAGTGGGGAAGGAGAGAACCTAGAAAACGCTGTAAGTACCGAAACTCATCGATGGCTGCACAATCTTTTGAGATTTGCGCACTGACGATTACCCAGAAATCCGGAGCAGGATGGTGGACATCCTCCGGCATCTCCCAATTCGTCGGCCAATCCACCAAATTGCCCTTCGACGCCCACACGATTGTCGCAGCCATCGCCCCACGCGCGGTAATCCTATCTCAGAACGTAAACGATCAGTTCACGGACTCCAAAGGCACCGCCCAAATCACTTTCCCTGCGGCTAAGGTCGTATACAACTGGTTAGGCGTGGGCGAGAAGCTGGGTATGAGTATACCGTCTGGTGGACACTGTGACATGAGTGGCTACGCGGATATTCTGCCTTTTGTGCAAAAGGTACTGCAGAATAAGAGCACGACGCGGAATTATGACGATTTGAAGACGTGGAAGGCTATGCCTGAGGCTTACCCTTGGGGCAGCGATGTACCGAAGGCAACCTGAGCAACAGGCTTATCTATGTCTACCACTGTAAGAAACGAATCTGAACACGTCTTTTTCACGATAGACAGCCCGTGGCCATGGGTACACGAGTCGTCATCGAAGTAATGTATGCGCTTCTAATGTTGCTATTTCTTTACCGAAGTAATGCTATGCTATATGGTAGACCAGGCATTATCGATCGGTATCATTGCGCCGTTGATCATAGTCGACTCTTCTGAAGCGAGGAAAGCAATGCCACGGGCGACGTTGTCTACTCCGATGTAGGGAACCGGTGTACCCTCACTGTCTTTCGATACGTGCATTTGCACGATGGGACTGTATGAGTAAGCAAAGGCCGAAACGTGCAGGTAAAGCCCATCAGAACTTACAAGAACGCGTTGAAGCCAGCAGAATCGAAGTGCTCCATCTGGACCGACGAAGCGATGTTGGTCGCAACACCGCCGGGCAGCACACCATTGCACCGGATGCCTTCCTTGTGGAAGCGCCAAGCCACATTCTTCGTAGCACCGACCTATCAACCGTCAGCATTGACAGGTCATCACTTGAGAAGGAGCGTTTCTTACCAGACCGTGTTTGCTAGCAGTATACGCGATTCCCGCACTTGCCCCCGAAGTCCCCGCTTTGCTACCCACGTTGACAATCGCACCACCCTTCTGCTCCTTCATCGCCGGCAGAACCGCCTTCATCATGCGAATCGGTACTGTCAGATTGATCGACATCACCCTCTCCCACTCTTCCTCGTGAATCGTGTCCGCACTACTCCAGCCATCGCTCACGCCTGCGCAGTTGACCAAGACATCAATGCGGTTGTGCTTGCCAACGCACTTCGCCACCGCATGTTCTGCAGCTTGGGATTCGGTGAGATCAGTCTGGTAGAATGTGAATGTCGAATAGTCTTCTGCGAGCTTTTGCGGCTGTGCGCCAATGTCTATGCCGAAAACTGAGGCGCCTCGCTCGAGAAACAGACGCGTTGTTGCTAGGCCGATGCCGGAGCTGCAGCCGGTCACTATCGCGACTTTGTCTTGGAGGGTGGAAATGGACATGTTGGATCGCGGGTGTTATTAATTGATGTATGAATGCGGATTGATAGATGAATCATACGCTATTGGCGTTGCCCGCTGGTGGAAAACTTGGGATGACGTCAACGGTTAGCGCGAAGACGAGGCCCACTTTTGTCGGTACCTTCCAGAACGCGTTCTTGTAGGCGACTCCACAACTCCATCATCGACATCTCATTGCACTTGGTTCACGACGTCTTTGTCAAGCGACAGATGATATCCGCACGGAAGCTCGTATGTCGTGGGTAACGCGTACAACATTGTTAGGTACACTCACAGCTACGTAGGCGATGCTAATGGGATAGCCTCAATAAGTGACCGCCATACCGCCAGGAAGCTCAGTCAGCCAGTCGCCGCTCACTCCGACATCCTCAACCGCCTGTTGCGGTTTCTTGCACTTCATCGAGTCTTGCGCAGACTGAATCTTCAACACCTGACAGTTGGCGTTCGCACACTTGCCACTTGGCAAAGCATCCATGGCCTTTTGGAGCGAGTCGTCTTTCCAGCCAAAGAGGTAGTCACCATGCTGTCCGTAACCCGTACTGTCTCACGTCAGTCATTGTCAACGAAGCAGAAAGACGAGTGCTCACCCATCGCCAAAGCTGTACACGAACGGCTGCTTGTTGTTGCCGTACCATGCATTGTTCTTGTACCGGCCGGTGTCCCACATAATCTCGTACATCACCTGCGGAATGGCTACCGGGTGTGTACTGGGACAGTTTGGTGTGCCTAGACCTCCGCCGTTGGAGTACGCGACGTGGCTCTTATGATCTGGCGAATCAAGGTTCTTGCCGTCCCAGCAAGACGGAAAGATGACAGTCGCTCTGATGCCGCCAGGGCAGTACTTTTTGGGCAATTCTGCAGTGTCTTTTGCGTCGCAGGGTGCGAAGCCTTCTCCATTTTGCAGACATCTATGGCAGATGCTTGCGCGATTAGGCTTCTTGGCCATGGGGTCACCCGCGATCATGCGGAATCCAGGCTTGAAGGCCGTCATCTTGTTGTTCTTCGCGGAGTACGGCATGTAGTATACCGTCATGCCACCGTCCTGCTGGAGTCCTACATTGGCGAACTGTGGCACACGCTGGAACGTACCGTTCTCAGGCGACTTGAAGTAAAGAGAAGCAGTCCAGTAGTTGCTGAAGTCCTCGCTGTATGTGCAGGACGTACAGGTCGAGCGTGTGGGAGGATCGAAGACCCCGGGCTCCATCTAGAGTTTGTCAGTGGACGTATCGCTCATGGGTCGGGTGGAGTATTACAGTAAGGTTGAAGGAGTTTCCTCCGATAATCTGATGCGTGTGTGGCGAGGGTCGTTGGCCGGGATTTACCAAAGGATCGGCCCTCTCAACGGTGAGCTGCGAGCAGGCGAAGCGCAGCATGTTCTGCGCAGAGACGCATTGCGTCAAGAGCGCGCTTGCGAAGACGGTGGACCAAATCATGACGACAGTGGTATGACTAGCTACTGGTGAGTTGCGAAAGCCATCAGATCGAAGTTATGAGGCTTCTTAAGCCAAGGAGTTCTCATGACGTCCATCCAAGGTGGAGGTTTGCTATCAGTGAGTATATTACGGTGTGACGGCAGTAGTACTTCTCCTCCCAGTCGTACCAATGATAACGCGACAGATTTTCCAGTCGTACATCTTGTGACGTTCGTTCCACAACGAAGCTGTGGCGATTGTTCGACTCGATCATTTGGATGAAGTCGTTAATTAACACAAGTTACCGGCAGTTGCAGCTACAATACCGAAGGCAAATCACAACAAGCTTTCGTTTCCAAGACTGCCGACAGGGATGTTATTGAGCACAGTCGGTCATCGTACAGGTCTGATATTGATTGCTGCAGCTATCGGCATGTGTGAAGCATGGGAGAACAAGTCCAGGGCAAGATAATCCGGTAGAGAATCTCGGGAGTTGGTACCGTGAGTGGAAAGCCGTACGGCAGCGGCCTCTGTCTTCGTTCTCTCATCGTTCCAACTGATGCGATGGACTTCAAGTTCTGAGGAGAGATGAGGTTGTCAAAGTATCGTGTTGCTTTCGGCGGTTTTGCTGCAGTCCGGCTGCGACTTCCCCATTAGGGGATTTGCGGGGGTGAACCGAGGATGTCGCAGACATCCGAGCGCCAATACATCTACACCATGAAGCTGGGCACCATGTATGTCGCGGAAGTGTCGTCTCTTCTCTGGAGACAGGTACTTCTATCCGTCTCTACTTCATTTGCGTAACTGCTTTGCATGCCAACATGACGCAACAGCCGCCTCAGGCTTCCTCCTCAACAACAGGCTTCTTCCAAGCCCTTCCGGTACTTCCGCCTCAATATACCAGTCCGACTTCACTGCCAGAGGCTTTCCGTAGTTCGCACTCGAATTCGACACAAGCTTCCGATGACAAAGTTATCGCGCGAATATTGGATCTCTATCTGCCACAGGATGCAACGGGGGCTACCAAGCGTGTCCATCACCTAGCACGTCTATCGCTGAATCCGTCGATTCTGAAGTACGCCACGGATGCGGAGACAAATCACCTCGTACTACGGCCGCTCTCTACCTTCGGTGCGGAAAACAAGAACGATCCTTTGTGGACGACGACAGGATGGCAGAAGCTCAAGGAGATCGGCTATCGTGAGGGTGTCGTCTCGGTAGCATACGACAAGTCTCATCGCCGCTTCAACAGACGTGTGGGACAGTTTATTGGGGGTCATGTATGGGGCCCAACGGGTACCATGACAGCATGCCCTCAAAGCATGACCGACGGTGCCGCAACATTGTTGGACAAACACAAGGACGACGATGATGATGATCAGCCGGGTCGAGGCGAAGTGCTACGGGAAGCGTATCGGCGAGTGTGTAGTCGCGACCCTGATGTGGCTTGGACAAGCGGACAATGGATGACTGAGCGATCTGGCGGAAGCGATGTATCTGGCACGGAGACACTTGCTCGACGCATGACACCGGAGGAGCTGGATGAAGATGCAAGACAAGGAAGAGATAGCGACGCAGTTGGTATGCAACTGGGCCCCTGGAAGATACATGGTTTCAAATGGTTCAGTAGCGCAACGGACTCGGAGATGGCCGTACTTCTCGCGCGGACTGATAAAGGCGGCCTGTCGGCTTTCTATATGCCCATGCGACGACGTGTGGGTGGTCAGTCGTTGGAATGTGATAACTTGAACGAGGAATTACCGCCGCCTACCGAACTCAATGGCGTTCGCATCCAACGTCTGAAGAACAAACTCGGAACGAAGTCACTGCCAACTGCGGAGCTCGAGCTCAATGGCGCACGCGGTTGGCTCATTGGCAAAGAAGGCCAGGGTGTGAAGGAGATATCCGCCATTCTCAACATCACGCGCTTGTACACCGCGGCTGGTAGTACAGGGAGTTGGGCTCGTGGTCTGGCGATCTCCCGTGCTTATAGCAAAGTACGCAAAGTACGCGGCGGACTACTCCAAGACAACCCAGCGCATCTCACATGGATGGCCGAAGAAACAGTCAAGTACTGGGCCAGTGCGCACTTCACCTATCTCGGTGTTGCTCTGCAGGGCGCTTTGGAACAAGATTGGGACGAGATGGTCGCGAATACAAAAGCCGTGCATCTGATCCCGAGCGACAAGACCGCAGTAGCGGCTTTGTTGAGATTGCTACTGCCTGCGATGAAAGCTCAAGTCAGCGTCGCATCAGTTGATGGCTTGCGACAGTGCATGGAGTGCCTCGGTGGTGTTGGATACTGCGAGAACAACGAAGACGGCGGACTGATGAACATCGCGAAGATCTATCGCGACAATCTCGTCAATCCAATATGGGAAGGCACCGTCAGCGTCATGGCAGAGGATGTCGTTCGGGTGCTCATCGATAAGCGATTGGGCGACGGCGATATCTTGAAGAACGTCTTCACACCGTGGATCAGACGAGTGCTCAGGCGATGTGCTCCCATCTTCCAAGGTGAAGTCGTTGTTGTCGAGGAGAGACTCCAGGCGCTCAACGATGTTGTTCACAACACATCAAAAGAAGAGCTACTATATCGTGGGCGAGAAATCCTGCAACACCTCGAGGTCATCGCTAGCAGCGCCGTGCTAATGTACGATGCGCAAGCAAACCCAGACCCTGTTGCACAAGAGATAGCAATACGATGGATCCGCCTGAAGGCGCTGTCGCCACAAACGCATGCGCAATCTCGAAATTGGAAAGAAATGTCGACTATGGACAAGCGCATCTTGCTTGGAACAACGGAAGCATCCGTCGGTGTTTCAGCAAAGCTCTGAGGCAAGCGTAGTCGCGAGGGATGCGATTGGTTGCGCAACAAAGCCCTGGAAACATTCAGCTACTATTGGCAGAATATCCAAACAGAATCGCGCTTCAAGTAGACCGCGGAGTCAAATCATCGAATGATTCATCTTGTGAAACTATTGAAGCGTGGTTACTTTTGCTGTCAGCTATCGATGTACCAGAGGTTGCGGCACAACTTGCCTGTGAGGTCGAACTCGAGGCGAGGCGTGTCCTCCATTATCACGACTTCTTATCGGGATTGAAGCATCGCATCATGCAAGCACAACCTCTCTTCATCTGTTTCGCAGACCCCGAAGATTTGACTGTACCTTTTTTGTATGCGCCCTGCAGCATTGTAGATACGTAGGAGGCGGCGGTGCGCATGAAAGGGCACTTCCTATTCGGCACGTCTCGCATTCTAAAAAGCAAAATATTGACCCCAAGCCTTCCGCAATAGTTAAGCTTCAAAGTCCAAACCAGACAGCTGTTGTTCGAGTCCCTAATAACTTTCACAAGATGTTTTGCCTAGTGGCGTTACCGGAGCGGGTGCCCGTCAGCCGCATCCCCACATTCTCCGATGCAGCCGAATGCCGCTCGCCATCAACACGATGGATCTCCACTTCCAATGCCGAGAACAGTAAAGCTTCATAATCACTGCACAACCTTGCAGGCGATATCGATGAGATACTGGAATATCGATTACTTCCAGCAATGCGCCGAAAGACCTACGACGTCAAGTTGCACCCTCTGCGTCGAAGACAAGCAAACAACACACTAGAGCCAATGCAAAACAAATTGCGTCAGAGAAGGAAAACTACTCCAAGTCATCGCAACAATATGTTATGGTTCGGCTGAAGACAGGGTAAAATGCGCCATGCACAAGCTTATTGATAAGGTTTTTCGGACGTCAGCCCTGAGCCTTGTACCTCGCGTCATGCAGGTGGCGGGATAGGATTGGCGGGTTGAGCAACTGCACGACAAGCAACTTTCCCTTCCTCGCGAACTCAGTGCATGAACATGGTAGCGTAAAAAGCATATGCAGTCCCTGTGTCTATCAGGTAGCGGTTCCCCAATGATTGTTCAGCAAGAACATGTGAATGCACTACGGAAGTGCGAACAGGTCCAATCGCCTTGAAGGCGCGAATGCCGTTGGTTTCACGACACCATCATTCGCTAATATAGCAGGATATTGCGTTAGCTGACACCACTAGTTCAATACATGGATCAACGTTGACTGCTGATCGTTCAGCAAATGGTGTCTCACTACATGGCACTGGAAGCCGAGTGATGCATCATCCGCGGGAAACTAGAGATCCATGAACCGTGGAGCGCAACATTGCCGAGCATGGAGGGGCGTATAAGATAACATGCTCGCCGCGCATCGGTGTTAGATCGACCAAGACACAAAGGAAATATCGCGACGAACGATTCCAAGATGGCAACCAACCACAGCGATGTTGAGCTCATCCCAGGTACAGAAATCATCAACAAGGATAGCTCCGCGCAGACGACGCTCGTACCCACTCCCTCTTCTGATCCTCGCGACCCTCTGAATTGGACCCGAAAATGGAAGCGTATGTTGACCCTTCACCAACGCCTGAGGCTTCGCTGACAGCTATCACAGTCATGGTGATAGCCTCGCAATGGCTCTTCACTTGGATCTCCGTCACCGGCGCACTATCCATTGCGCCGATGTTCCCTCTTTTGGGTGCCCAGTTCCACCTTAACAACAATCAGTTGGCTTTGTTGACTGGCATCACTGTCATCACACTCGGATTCGCCAACTTCATCATTGTGCCGCTCTCCAATATCTTCGGCAGACGCGCTGTCAGCTTGACCTTTTCGGTTTTCATTCTTCTGACATACATATGGCAAGCGATGGCGACCAGTTACAACAGTCTGCTGGCGGCGCGTGCCGTCAACGGTCTGGCCTGTGCGACGGCCGAGACTATTCCTGTGCAGATGATCGCAGATGTCTTCTATCAGCATGAGAGGGGTCTCTGGACGGGTGTATACTTGTAAGCGATGTCACTTCCCGCGATCGAGCTCCTCATGACGTATTCTACAGCACCGGCTTCTTCATGGGAGCATTTCTGGGTCCGATCATGGCTGGTTCCATTGCGTCTCACCATGGTTGGCAGTCATTCTTCTGGCTAGAGACCGCACTGTCTGGCGTTTCTGTTATTCTGATCGCGCTCACCTTCCCCGAAACCAAGTACCATCGCGGCAACACAACTGTCATCCGAACCGCAAGTAGCAACGCTAGCAACGAGGACCAGACAAAGCTCGAAAAGCAAGCCACGGAGGCTGGAGTCCAAGACTCTGAGCGGAGCTCACTCGAGCAACCCATCACTGTGCAGGGACGCCCATCCCGCGCGCAATTCATGCCGTTCATGAAGCCAGATGCGAGGTGGAAGACGTTTGTTGTGCGCGACACCTGGACGCCCATCAAGGTCTTCTTCAACCCCATCATCCTGTGGGCAGGCTTGATGCTTGCCGGCCCGGCTGACATCCTCCTCTTCTTCAACCTCACTGAATCACCTGTCTTCGCTGCGCCTCCCTACCTCTTCAAGCCAGACCAGGTTGGATACACAAACTTCGCGTTCGCGATTGGCGCATTGATCGGGTTGGCAACAGCAGGTCCATACTCCGACTGGGTATCTGCGCGCGCAGCGCGTAAAAATGGTGGCGTGCGCGAAGCGGAGATGCGCCTTCCGGCGATGTTCATTTACGTGATCATTATGATGCTTTCGATAATCCTCGGTGGTGTCGCATATCAGCAGCAGTGGGCGTGGGGTCATATCGTGGTTTGGGGCTACGGGCTGGCTGGTCTCAGCGTCACCACGGTGCCCACTATTGCCATCGCCTACGCGATCGACTGCTACAAACCCATCTCTGGGGAGATCATGGTCGTCGCTACAGTCTGCAAGAACTTCATTGGTTTCTCGTACAGTTACTGGGTGTTCGATCTTGCGCATGTGAGCAAGAATGGGTGGATTACTCCTGCCATGGTCATTTTCGCTTGCGCAATGGGGCCTGCGCTATTCGTCTTTCCTTTGTACTTCGGGTTGGGCAAGAGGATCAGGCGATGGACCAAAGATAGCGATGTCCACCGGATGGAAGAAGTGATCTAGATGATCAGTGGCAGTGCGTTGATGCGTTGATGCGTGGGGAGAAGCTCAAGGCTTTTAGAGACATGGCCCGATGCCATGCCTGTCGAAATAGGCCACAACATACCCTTTCTTTTGTCACTCTGACTTCATTTTCAGGTCTTTCGTGCAGATGCAGTGCCGACTGTCCCGTGTGTCGCGGACTGGGCATGTTGTTTTGTTGAGAAGCCCGAGATTTGCCGACGTTGGCCCGAGAAGGAACGCCTTGGCCCGCCAAGCCTTACCCCTCAATCCTCCATCTCCTCCGTGTTCCTCTCACGATAGCTCCTCTGAAGGCCTGGACCATCACGAGATACATCCACACATGTTGTGATTCGAGGAAAAACGCGCAACCGTACTTTTACGCGATCGGGCTCCGAAGTGTCGGTCGTCAAAATGGTCTCAGCCTCATCCGCAGACGCGGCATGCGGCTCATAGCGGAAGATGGCAGCCGGGGTGCAATTGGCCTATATACTCAAGCCTTTGAGCCTCATCCCACATTGCATTTCCCAAAGCCAAAATTCAGGTAGCGACTTTCGCCATGACTGCTTTTACCAACCCAGTTCTCCCTGGCTTTAACCCAGACCCCTCCGTCATTCGCGTGGGTAGCGACTACTTCTGTGTCACCTCGTCCTTCGAATACTTTCCTGGAGCGCCCATATATCACAGCAAAGATCTTATCAAATGGAAGCTAATCGGCCATGCGCTCACGCGCAAGTCACAACTCGATATCAAGACTCCCGAGCCGGGAGGCGGTATCTGGGCAACAACCATTCGTTACCACAAGGGTACATTCTACGTCATCACCAACTCTTTTGACCGATACAGACCGCAAAACGACGATCGCGTATGGCCACGAGGCTTCTACGTCAAAACTACCAACATCTGGAACGACAGCACGTGGTCTGAGCCAGTGTACTTCGACCAGATTGGCTTCGACTTCGACTTGTTCTGGGACGACGATGGTCAGGTATACTTGTCTTCCACCTACAAGAAGCTCGATCGGACGCCTGGAGGTAAATTGAAAGACTTTGCTATACACATATCTACCATTGATCTGGAATCTGGTACGTTGAAGTCTACGCCTAAGATGGTTCGGGAGTCGGAATCCGGTATAGCAGAAGGCTCTCATCTCTTCAAGTTGAACGGTTACTACTATCTCTTCACGGCAGAGGGTGGCACAGAGTCTGGACACTGCGAATATGTATGCCGGAGTCGAGAGAGCCCCTTCGGGCCTTGGGAGGAAGCACCACACAACCCGCTTTGGCGGAACACGACAGACGACGAGATCCAAAATACTGGCCATTGCGATATTGTTGAGGACACCCAAGGCCAATGGTGGGCCATGTGTCTAGGCGTGCGACCAAGGAAGGATGGGGAAGGTGACGAATGGCGGACTTCGGTTTTTGGACGCGAGTCAATGTTACTCCCAGTCCGTTGGGAAAATGACTGGCCAATCTTCAACGAAGGGAAACCGGTCACACTGCAGATGAACGGGCCGAACGAATCCACTCTTGATGACGACAAGGCTTGGAGGGACGATTTCAGCGGGGTTAGACTTGGCCTTGGCTGGTACAGGAAGAGTAAGCAACCCAGAAAGCCGGCATACGGTACAAAGCTAACACGCCTGCAGATACGCCCGTGAAGAAAGACTACTCGATGATAGCGCGACACGATTCTCTTACCCTAAATGGCGGTCCATACACCCTATCCATGCCAGCATGTCCGACGCTATTCCTACGAAAACAAAGACATTGGCCTGTGACGTGGGAGACTCAACTTGATTTCCAACCGAACGTCCCACGCGTCGAGGCTGGAACCGTATTGTACTGGAATCACACTTGCTACTCTAGCATTGGCATTGCTTTCACAGATCGCAACGGCCAGCCTCAGCGAATCGTTCGACTTACTCGTCCTGACATGGAGAATGTGGAGCAACCCATCTCAGAGAAGGGAGAGGTAAAACTCATCATCGAGAGTACGCATCCGTCCTACCGGTTTGGCTATCGGGAAGTCGGCGATGGGGCACAGCAGAGCGCTGAATGGACATGGCTGGGCGAGATTGATACCCAGATCATGACACGTAACCCATACATGGGAGCGCCATTCACTGGCATGATGGTGGGCTTGTATTCGTATGGCGAACTGCAGCCTGTACTGACTCCGGCGCATTTCGCTTACGCCGAATTTCGTTAGTTTTACTAGGTCATTGTCCCGTCTGAGGATGATTTATCTCACAACCAGCACCGCGATTCAGGCATACATCGTGTCATTCGTGAGGTACCCTAATCAACATCTTATTACAACACGCTACTTGCAATGCTAATGCTCAAAGGCTACATGGTCTAGTTGACAGATATATGTCCCACACTACTACCCCAGTTGGCTACGCCACTTCAATGGTGCACGCACTCAATTCTCTTCCTCAATTTTGCTGCATTCACTGCTCCCTTCATCGACACTTGCTTGCGGTCCAAGCCTCCGATTGCCTTGCGATCCAGAGCGACACTCGCTTTGTCGTCGTTAGGATATTTGGCTGTGATGTTTCCGAACTTCTGGTCAGCCTCTTTGGCAATATACACCACTTCACCTCCCACCATCGTGAGCTGAACACGTTGTCGACCAATCATCTCTTCCGGCACAGTGAAGTAGTCGTTCTCCAAGACGATCAGATCAGCAAATTTGCCAACCTCCAGGGATCCAATGTACTTGTCGGCTCTCAGGAACTTGGCGCCGTTGATGGTGATGGCGCGAAGAGCAGCTTCGCGGGAGATGCCTTCACCAGGAAACGTGCCATTGTAAGGAGCGCCCTGAGATGCCGAGGAATGGGGATTACCAGGATCACCTGAACGCGTGACTGCTATCTTCAGAGCGAGGAACTCGTCGAGAGGATCGACTGGCCAGTCACTTCCGTAGGTAACGGGACGACCGGCTTTCTCGATCTCGGCATAGGCTTGCAGGTTCTGGCGACGGTATTCGGCTAACGATGGGAACGTGTTGGGGAGGTATGAAGGGGCGAGTTGCGACCACTGGAAGCTCATGATGGCGTCGACTTCCAACTCCTTGAAACGGCCCCAGTCGTCCTCGTGAGATAGCTCATCGTGCGCTAGGCCAAGGCGGAAGTCGTGTCCGGGATGCGCTTTACGGAAGTATTCGGCAGCGTCAAGACCAACTCGGACAGCAAGGTCGCCGTCAGCATGGAGTTGTGCGTCTATGCCGGCGAGGAAGAAGCCCGAGAGAGTGCGTGCAAGGATCTCAGGTTCCCAGTATGTCTTCCTGAGAGTGCTTGGGTCTGGTGCCCATGTCGTGTTAGACCCATTGACCAAGCTCCAGTATGGCTCAATGAGAGCTGCCGTCCTTGCCGGATAAGTGATGACACCATCCAAGAAGGCCTTAACGGCCTGCCATTTGAGTGATGGAGCAGGCTGCATCGTAGAGTTATTATCGAACCCGCGAATGAGCTCGACAGTCTTGGCCACTAGATCAGGCACTCCGGCGACGGAGCTTGGAGCATCAACACGGTAGTCAAAGAACGCTCGTGCGCTCAGACCTCCTCCCTGCTGGACAGCCTGAAACACCTGGTCGTACTCCTTCAAAGCCATCGCCTCTTGAAAGGTAGTGATACCGGACTGGCGCAGTAGCTGCATAGCAGCTAGAGCGGCCTTCACGGCCTCTTCTGGTGAAGGCAGAGGTATGCCGAGTAGATCAGAAGCATTGTCTTCAAGTACGCCTGAAGGCTCCTGGCTTCCGGGTAGCCGTTCGATATGGCCATTAGATGGGTTTGGAGTCGCCGCGGTGATGTTGGATATCTCCAAAGCTCGAGAGTTTACCAAGATGGTGTGGTAATCGCTCGAGCGGACGACTACGGGTCGCTTCGTCTTGAGCACATCGATGCTCGTCTTGTCGACTGTTCCGCTCCGCGATGTAAGAGTCGAATAGTCCACGTTCACCGCTTCCATCCAAGCATCATCCGGTTTGTCGGGTTCATCATCAATGCAGCGCTGGATGTGCTGAAGAACTCCAGGTAGATCGAGCGGCTGGTAGTTCAGGTCGCATTTGAGGAGATAGATGCCGCCACCGAGGATGTGCATGTGAGAGTCGATCAAGCCTGGAATGGCAGCATGGCCTTGCAGGTTGACTACCTGGGTCGTATTTCCAATGTGTACTTTGGCATCTTCGTTCGATCCGACAAAGGTGATGACGCCGTCTTTGATTGCCAGCGCTTCGACCTTTGACGAATACGCGTCCAGCGTGTAGATGGAGCCGTTGTGGAATACGGTGTCCGCAAAGGATGGCTGTCGTGCCGGTATGGCGTTTGTTGCAGCATACAGCGCTGCCGCGGTGAGTATTCGCATGAGCATAGTGGTTCCAGAGGCAGGCGTAAAGAAGCTGGTATGTGGAAGTTGGTGGCGAGAATGTTCATGTTTGGTCTCGATACCATATATACGAAACCATCCATCATACCGGTGTTCTTTACGTCCGTAACGCGCGCATCATGTGCGTTCGGCGCATACGCCCGGCCGAATGTGATGCTGTGTGTCTTCCCTAGACAGGAAAGTACACGCGTTTCTGGAGTGGCTGATTGCTACGAAGTATCGCCGACAACCTCATGTTCGGACATCTTGGCACTTCCGAGCCTTCAGAGACAACATTATCGGATGTTACCCCACATAAGCAGAAGTCGCACGAAATTACGCGCGAGGGGTTTCGGTGCTTCGGAGTCCGGAGAAGAGATTGATTGTACAATCTTTGTACAACAAGTATTTCTTGCAGAGCGAAGGCGCAGCACAAAGCAGCGCGCAGAGCCTGCATACATCGAACGCTTCGCAAAACCTCACGCATCAGCGCTACGTATACGTCTGCAACCAGTGGAAAACAACAAGCACCGTCTCCCATAAGTAGGCTCGACACACTGTCCAGGCATATCAGCCTCTGATGGCGTCCGCTAACGGCTGGAACCACGTCCCAGCAAGCTTCTTATTGCCTGCATCGTTCGGATGAACGCCATCGCCAGTCATAGTCTTCGTGTCGAACCCAGTCCACGCATCTACGACCGTGATGGGGCTGTTTGCGGTCGTCTTGTTTGCCGCCCATGCTTCAATCGCAGTGTTCAGGGCAACGACACGTTGTCCACACTCAGCGCAGTTCGACGGATTCATGGGAATGATCTTCGCGGCGAGAATCTTCATCGTGGGCTTCGAAGCGCGCATCTGGTCTACGAGCTTGCTGAATGCGGTGGTGATCTCTTGGGGCGAGCGGTTGCTCCACACGTCGTTCGTACCGAGGTGCATCATGACGATGTCGGGTTTGGCAGATGAGAGCCAACCGGGAAGCTGGTTCTGGTTCGCGATGTTTACTGCTAGAAAGCCGCCCTGATGTTCCGGGTCAGCCGTGCAATGGGTGCGTGATGATAAGCCTACATGTCCCTCGTTCTCTCCGTCGTATGGAAAGCCACAGCCCTGGCCAGCAAGACTGCCTACAAAGTCGGTGTTTTTGATACCAGCCCCTTGAAGATTTTGCCAAAGATAAGCTCGCCAGCAGCCCTATGCTATGATTAAGTATGTCTTGCAGTAGTTGTGGTGCAGAGCACATACTGGGCTACCGGTGATCGAATCGCCGAGAGCCATGATCTTCACCGTCGATTGGCGAGTTATTAGTCCGGTTGGAGTTGCTGATGCTGCTACTGCCAAGGCTGCGATAGCCAGCGATGCCGAGCGGATGGTGACGCGCATGTTGGCAGAGTGTATACTTTTCGTAATGTGTTGAGCGGAGTGCAATGCTTGTGTCCTTCGAAATCAACACGAAATATACACTGAAGGGCTCAGCTCCTCTTAACCCAAGAATGAGCCGGCTGGTCCAGCTGAAGGTCTTGGTATAGTGTCTAGTTGGCGGTAATGACAGCCTCTCCGGTGATCAAGAGGGGCTCAATTCCAGTAATCAGATCTCGCTCTGCCAAATAACCACGGACAATGGCCTCAAAAGTCGCTCCATGGATCTACAGTTCATCTAGATATGACGCACCCCGCAATATGAGGATCAATCTTGCACGAGAAGACCCACCAACGGGTGATATCGAGGAGAAGGTCCTCCATATTTGGTGTACTCGTGCACCAACTGGAATGCGTCACCCTTTGCAGCTGCGACGGCCAAGATGAGGTGAATAAAAAGTGCTATATGCGATGCAACCAGTGCGGCCCACCGAGCTCCGCGCCGAAAAGAAATGACAACGACATGTTCACGTCACAAGGCGTGACAGGGGGAGACAGGTGCACTCGTAATGGCGAAGGTGTTGTCGCAGACGATATTGAAGTTTGATGAATGTGGTTGTAAGTGATGCGAAGAAAGGAAGTAGACGGCCGGGTCGGACGATGCAGCGGCGCTCAAGGCCCGGAGCGGGTCGCGCACTTCCCCGCTGCCCAGGCGGTCATCGACACCAACGGCAAAGCATTCCAGCGAACTATGATTACATGCCCAGGTACCTACAAGGTAGTAACTGTGCAACGATTAGTGATATTATATTAATCGTATTCTTCAACCCCAAGACAAGCATTCTGCCATGTCGGATGATAGCCCCGAGCCGTACCTGGGTACCTAGTCTTGCTGAATGATGCAAAACTCAACGCCACGATAGAGCGGAATATTCGACCAGCCACCATATTCACATCTCACAGGGAGCGGTCCAGCACATGATGAAACACGAGCTCTTGCTCAATTGCAAGTCCCCCAGCGTGATACCTGGGTACTTTGGGCTCGTGGTGAAGTCAGGCCTTGTACCAACCTGCTGTCTCCTTGGTCTCGACATGAAGGAAACAAAGACCAGAAGCTTGAGAGTAGTACACCTATTCCCCTGCGTGTTCTGAATATATTCTAGTGGTTATGCTAGACGCCTTGTTCTTGTCGATCGCAATGTTGCGACAACCGCAGAACCAATACGGCACAGAATACGTGTAATGTCTGCAATAGAGTTTGGACACATCGCGAAGGTTTATTATACGCGATCTAAATAGAAGCTTCGTTGAGCTTTGCATCCCGCTAGACGCTACAGGTATTTTCGCCGTGCCATGACATGTCAGATCTGCGATCAGGCTGTGTTTGAGTTCGCAACAAATGACGGCCTAGGAGGACGGCTCGGAGCTCTGGGTATACTTGGAATTGTGAGCCGTTGCAAGGAAACCCTGAACGGAGTGAATGTACGTGATTCTTCCACGACCATGGGTACATGCCCGCAGAACGTTTCGCCATAGGACGCGGTGCAGAACTCCGATCAGATTCGCATTCCGGATATAAGATTGTCCCTTCCATGACATAGCAAATTGAAGATTCCCATTGATGAGTAAACATTGCACATCTCAAGCCGATGATCTCGTGAATGGTCACCGTCGAGCGTGATGGGAAGCGTCACAGAACATTAGCGCATTAACAAACCTACTCGGATGATTCCAGGATAGTATCGTCCTGGAAACACTAGAAGCTGCCCCTTGGGCACAGCGAACATTGCTGCGCTTCCAGTTCTGCCAGCTAAGGCACGTCAGTCTGCAGAACCGCATGGAACCCGGTAATGTGGCAGCCCAAAGTCACCGGCCCTTCTTCTGCCGGTTTCCGATCTATGTATACGAGAGATGCGATTCGTCTAACACAAGGTGTTTTGCTACTGTGCTCAGCTACGCGAAGACGCACGGGAACCCGAGCACCAATTTCACGGAACAGGTCCCGACAGGCATTGGAGTGGACATCGATTCGGTTCGCGGACCGATTACGACAACTCTATACAGCCCGCCGCGGTAGAGATGCGTCCGCGATTCACGTTCGCGAAGGAGAGACGACGGGTATAAGAAGGCGACCGGCATGTTGAAGCGTAATCGGGCCGTTACCGAGGTGCCAGCCTCGAACAAGTTAGCGAGCGATTGCTCTGGAGATGCCGCTGGGTGATCGACAGCCTCGTCGCCATCGTCGACGTTGAAAACCACAGGGAGCATCTCCGCCAGACGCGTGGCTCACTTGTCGTGCAGTTGACGGCGGCTGATCGGTTCCACGCGTGCGCTGGTGCTGAGGCCTCATGCCTTACTAAAATAGGCAGGCGTCAAATCATAGCCCAGCGCTCATACATTGTATCGTAAGTACCTCAATGCGCTATTCGAGAACCCCTTGGACAATGCTCGAGGAAGTCCATACTCAAGCCTTCCGGCGGGTGGCGCTGCACTCTCACCCGCACACATAATCACGGTTAATAGTGGAGGGCAAATCTGCGACTAGCCATTCAGCGCGCGCCGGACTTCGACTGGAGAAACGAGTGGTGAGCAAAGGAAAGAGGCGTTCTGCGCACTGCGCCAGCGTGAAGAGTAGATGATAGCCGAGATGCGTTCCCTGCAAGGCGGCACGTCGCGAGACACCGTGCGCGGTCCCGATGGTTGAACACCGGGTCGCGGGATGTGGAGGAGAGAAGATGAGATGGTCCATGCGTGTGCAATTCTCGAGAGAAGACGTTCAATTCTATCTAGCAATCGTTCAATGGAGTACCGACTTTGGCTCAGCAACAAGATCCTTCTGGCTCTCGCTGTCGCTGATTCGCGAACTTTGTTCGAAATGTTGCTCGAAATGTCGCGAGACGTAAATGTTTTTACCAAACATGCCGCCTTCTTCAGAAGTCGTCTGATAAGGTGTTGTGCTACCTGGCCGACCCAGCTCAAAGTCATCGTCGATGCGTCTTGCTGTGCTCCTGACACCAATCTGCTTCGTGCTGGCTCCAGTACCGGTCCCACCCCCATATGCCCTGCTGACATTGAGCGATGAAGAGAAGCCGGGTATAATCTTGACAACAAGTGGCTTAAGCGCGGGAAGCGATGCGCAGACGATGGCTAGATTCATCTCGATCGCGGACCAGTAGGCTGTTGGTGCACTGTAGTAAGTGTTGTCATCGGGATGCGCGACCAGGACAACGAGAGCGTGGAGGCGGAGGATCGATACGACACAGACGAACCAACCGATGGTAAGGATTGCCAATAGAGCAATCTTTTGGCGCATGGCGATTTGCAGGGTCCAGATGACGCGAACGGGAAGGAAGGCGACGAGGAGATCGGTTACGATGTTGATACTGGCATTCACATACCAAATCCTATGATCCAATTAGCATTGCGCATCGTAAGGCTGAGCACTTTGGCGACACTCACGTCTTGTTGTCGATACACTTCGAAGTCGGCTGCTCCAGGATCTTCCAGTAGGCGTGGACAGGAACGCATGTGAAGATGGAGGTGATGATTGTGCTCACACCCCAAAGGACGCACACGGCCATGACGATGTGGAGTGGAATGCGCATCTCGCGCACAGTAAAGATTCGGCCATATTGCAAGAGAATGGACACTTTGGTGAACATAAGGCTGGCGTTGTAGCAGATGATACTCCAGAAGAGGTACTGGGATACGTTAGCTTAGGATTAGATATATTGTACGGTTTCTCACCTTCAAGATGATTTCAACTCCGGTTGGAAACTCGATCAGGGCAGCGTGCTTGCCGTTTCCAGCATTTGCCTGCATGACCTGAAGTATACCGGTGGCAATGGAGAGAGCCATGGAGACTACGATGGTGTAGTCTTCCCATCCTAATGCTCGTCCCAGGTATCGAAGCCGAGTGAAGAGACGCAGGCCAACGCATATCACCGCTATGCATGTAAAAGCAACGACGATAGACTTGGTGAGTGGACCCCGATCGTCCTTGGCCAAGGCAGCCGACTGCTCGGGTGTTAAGGGATCCATGGCTGTTGTGAAGAGAAACAGACGATGCTACAAGTAGCTTGTCGATATGTCGAACGGGCGTGGTGAGGTTACCAAGGCACTCCTTTACATATGTATTCGCAGTTCCCCGTGGGTGGAAGAGTACATGTGTCAGGCACTGCGCCCGGAGGTACCTGCACTGCAAGCTGCACGGACTAGGGTGACAGTTCACACAAAACCGGGAGGCTATGTCGTTTGAGGAGGCATCCGAAACTCAAAACTGATGGATAAACGAGACCCTGGTAGCAGTTGTAGGGAAGATCTGGGGGGATGGTGTGCCTAACGGAAGAGCTAGACTTAGCAGACGGCAAGAAGTTGGCTGAGCCAATGAGACTATGCACTTCTCCCTGCATACGTAAATAGTCTAAATTCGAGGGGTACATCTCCGTAGCGGACCGTCGCAGTGAGCAAGACCACACCATGCATACGAACTCACTTGCATGATGCAGTCTATGCGTTTGCCATGGTGGATGGCGATCTTTGCCGCTAAATGGGCGTCTTCCAAACCGCGAAATCGTCCCTCGGTTCACCGGGTGCAGATCATGCAGGTGCTTTGACGAACGAGCTTTTCGCGTGGCGTAGTCTGTGTTACGCAAAACATCGCTTGGGTTGAACGAACGGCCTTCGTTGCTGAATGACCAGGCGGGCCAAGTGCGGACGGGAGCGCTGTCATGGTGTGGTGAGAGCTCGGAACTTGTTCGCGCGAACATACTGCAGTTGGCTCTCGTATTATTAGGCGCGATTGCTCTCCCTTGAGCGTTCCTTAGTCGTATCTTTGGCGAGCGTCTGAGCCCTCCGTTAACATGATATGTTCACATGCTGATGGTAGGATAGTGCGGGAGAGAACCTGACCAGGGTACCATTCGAAGATGGTGGCGTCATGTAGGAGAGCCACCAAATACCGGCTAATTTGAGTGGTGTAATCTGCCCGTAGCCTTAGTGTGACGCTAGAGCAGTCCATGGAGAGTCTTCGTGTTCGGAAGCATCCCTGCGGATCGGACTTCAAACTCTATCATCTTTAGCTGCCCTACCACCTACCAGCCTGCTGTGCTCAGGTCCGCCGTTCGAGAGCAGCCCTGGAAATAACTGACCAGAAGCATACATAGGATAATGCTGGTAGTCCGGGCCGCCTTTGTCCGTTGCTCCGTTGCATTCGTAAAGGCTCGATTGAGATAGACTGCGGTTATAATGACGGAGGCGCCACGCCACGACTCTGGCATGTCCGTAGTCGTCTCAACAGGCGCTGAAGGCCTCGCATCTGTGGTCGCATTCTTGTGCATCGCAAGCACCGTGCGAGATCATCTCGCCTGACACATGCCTGTTTGGAACATTGCTGAGTCTTGCGACAGATCAGCCATCACGCTGTACTGCGAATGAATATGTCATTCTGACATCCCAAGCAATGCAGTGTGTGTCGTTCGCGTGGGAAAGTATCTCAAAAGGATCGTTTGTGAGGTGACATCCGTTTCAAGCTCGAGTACTGCCTCAGGAACGATAATCCCATGCAGATAATGTGCTGGTAACGGCATAACGCGGGGTGCGACAGGAATCCTACAGCTGAGGTGCGCCCGGACAGGGTCGGTTAGAAGGTTTGCGCTACGTCAGCGATGCAGCCAGACGAACGCAGAGCCCATGCGACATCAGCTGAGTTGTGAACTGTCGCGCAGTATGAAAGAAGTTTTGTAGAAATGCGTCATGATTTTGCCACGTAGAGTGCATGCCAGAAAGTTGATGCCTGGATAGGAGAAGATGCCGGAACCTCGGAAGCATCTCGTGAAACGTGATCTCTGCCGGAACGGGTCGATGGCGCCAAATCGTCTCCTTGGCGCACTAGTCTAGTTCGAGACCGCAGCAGAGCTGACTTCGAACACCAGCCATGGCCTGTGATGTCTTTACTAGCCACGCAGATCTTCGAACCTCCTCAACGATGCAGAATTAGCGCACGTATCTGTGCTGTAACGTGGACCGCGTTGTGGCACGCAGGTCGACCGCTGTCCTCATCCTACAGTACCGCGCCTCTGGCACCTTCACGTTTCAATAGCTCTAGTATGTATAGCCAGGGTCTTTCCAGATCCTGCACGAAGATGGGTCACGCGCCGGGAAAAAAAGAGCACACTGCTAGAACGCCCTACAAACACTGCAATAAACTCTACAAAGACTTGTTATTTTTTACTTTTCTAATTACTAAGAGTGTAGAGAATATCTTACTTTATAATTCTAGTATTTTAGATATATTTATTCTTTTGTTATTGTTGCGTAGGAAGGCAGAGAACTAAAGGCTTCTTTTGTTATTCGCTCGTTTTGGTGAGGATTTAGAGTCTAGGAGTGGGCACCATTTTTCCCGGCGCGTGGGGTTCACCGTTGGATCGACACATGGCATTATTGGCATCTTTGCGATTGACATTCTCTAGGTAAGCGAAAACGGCGTAAGGCGCCCCGCATTACCGTATGCTGACCTGAACGAACAGTTCGAGCACAAGCCAACGTCTTCTGAGCAGTCTCCAAGCTTCAGTCCAACGATCGTCGGCCCCTGATCTGCAGTCACTGGTCACTGCCCAGAGAGTCAGAGACCTTCGAACCAACATGTCACATCGCATTAACACACCATTTCACGTCTACCAGAACTTTATGTTCTTGATGCTATCTGCATGTCGCCATTTCGGTCTCCAGACGTTTGACAATGCTGCGAGCAAGCACAAATCTGCTACATATCGACCGCGCCACTCGACTCACGCTGCTGAGAGGACATGTGAAGCGCGAACTGACGCGGTCGGCGCTGGATGATACCCACTTGGATGTCAATGTCATAGTTGATCGTCCGGGAAGAGATACAACACTTGCCATGGACGCAAGGCAGTCTACAAAAGCCAAGAGAATACCATCAGCACTTAGCTTGGTATCCAAACGTTGCTGGCCGGCTACCGGAACTCAACGCACTTGTGTGCTGGCTAGCTTCACGCCTTGCACCCAGTCCATCGTTCTTCGGAATTCGGATAAGCAAGCTGCGAGCGCATCTCGCTTGTCGGATGAGTCTCGCTGCCGTACACTGAGATGGACGATCATTCAATAACGCTGGATGTTCGTACGACTGCGTGCATCTGTGTGATTACTATACGCATGTAAAGTTTCTTGCTCACTAAGGTAAAACCGCGTAGTGGAGAAGGACAGTAACGAATTGGCGTTGAGTTCACGGAGCTTACTCCCTCACATTCGCTGGACCCCGACTATGCTACGACAGAAAAGCTTATTGAACAACAAATACCTTTCTACTTTCCTCTTTGCCACCATAGTTCTATTGTGCAATGGCTCTCAATTTCAAGGAGAGAGAGTCTAAGAACGAGAGTAACCCTTTCCACCACGCTCAAACCCAAGCCAATCAATGCCGCTTAGGCCAATAGACTGGACATCCAACGATGACCACAGGATACTTGCAAGACGATCTATCTGGTCTTTATTAAAAGACGGATCCTTCAGTGCGAAGCCAAGCTTTAAGTAACCTTGTCCAGGGCGCCTACGCTGCTGCTCGAGTACACCCCCATCATTGTCTGGTTGCGCTATCGGTGTCAGAAAGATATGGCCCTTGTTCGATAGCAAAGACCACATCTTAGAGCTTATGCCTGATCGTATTGGGTTGATCTCAATGCACTGATGAAGGTCCTGAGTCGAGTAACCAGAGTTCTCGTCACGCTCCCAGAGCTCTTTTAATCCGTCAATCAACGCGCGCGTGAGCGACCCGGAGCCAGGAGCTGGTCTTTCACAGCTGCTTATCAACTGGAATTGCCTGGCAGTTTCTTGATCCTTATGATTCGAGTCGCTTCCCTTCTTTGATACATGACGTATATCATCATTGCGCCCATACGTTGTGTCTAGTATCGCGAGAACGTCTGCGTCGACTTCGTCCGAACAAAGAAAGTCTTCTGTCTTGTACCAGTTTATCTGACCACTGGTAGTACTGCCACCAGCTGCTGATGGGTTCGAGGACGGTACAAATTCGAGTCGACCGGCATCCTTGTAGTGAATAGCATGGCCCGTATAGTACACGATCAACAAGGTCTGAGGCTGGTCGTAAGTCTCAACAAATGTGGTGACAACTCGATCCATCTGAAGTTGTGGTTTACTTCGGTGGTTGAGTTCAACAACGTCAATGTCGAAATGGAATCGGTCCTGGAAGACATTCCCGAGCTCCTCTACCTGTGATCAAATTAGGACACTTGCGCGAAAATACTGGGTAATGCTAAAGTTCGACTTGGATCTAAATTGACTCACTTCGTTGCTAGTTTGCAGCTCGTCCAATTCATCTGCCCATTTCAACAGCAACACAGCAACCTTTTTATAGCTGCTGGTAGTCCCCATATTCCTGGCGATTGCTTCAGTCCACCAGTTCTGCATTGCCGATGGACGTCCCTGAGCTCCGTCGCTTGCAGACTGTTTCCGCTTTGAATTGCTTTCCTCTGGAAGAAACGTCTCAAAAGCTTCCTCGGCGCTTCTTTTGCGTGAACCATCAAGTGCCATCTTTCGTTGAATCTCCGATTCGAGGCGATCAAACGCATTTGATTTGCCCTCTCCGTATATGGGTGGCATGTGTACGTCGAAGAGGCCAAGTAGAGAGTAAATCGCATCCTCTTCCCGTTTGGTTTCACGACCAGCTGCCCAGGACATCCGCTCTTCTATACTGAATTCTGAGAGATGCAGCGGGGAAGTCTTCAAAGCTCGCAAAGAGATTTCTGTAGCTTGATGGATAACCTGCGACAGTGTTCGCTTATCACCTAGGCGATCACCATCAACGGTGAAGAACTCAACAGAAGATGGAGCGAGTAGTTCCTGTAAAGTCCAGCCTCTGGTGAACCACTTGCTCTTCTGGAACGCAGCCTTCCAAGGCGTTCGAGGCGGGGCTGTCACATCCGAAAGATAGACGTAGCATCGGGTTGAATGTTGATACCAGGAGAACATGGAGTTTATCGCTTTCGAGAGTTCCACGCTATCTTTCTTATCAATGCAGCACGTGTCCACCTAACAGGCATTAGCCGATGCGCAAAGGAAGAGGAACATCGTCAGGTCACCCAGAAATATTCCAGGCCATCATTGGCAGCTTGATCGGCACAGAAGTGTAGCTTGGCATAGCCTTGCTTTTCTTTGCCTCTACCTTTTACGATGTCTTTGAACGACACCTCGTCGCTGTCAGAACCCCACGTGTGTGACAGTATCGCATAGGGTGGCAGCTGTCTGTCGTCATAGTCAGCAAGGCTGAACTCGCCGTCGCTGTCACGCCGCAGAAGATGCATGTTGTAACAGCAGTGGAAGGAAGCTGATCAAGTCGACATCAGAGGTGGTCGCGATGAAAATTCGCAGATAGTGTGCTGACAGCAGCGGGGGAGGGAAAGATAACATGATCATGTCAGCAGTGGCGTGGCTATGCCGTTGAGGGATCGAGGTGCATCCTTCTGAAAGACATGGGTTGGCGTCGCGCGAAGCTGAAGTGGGGCGGGGCAGATTGGCAGGGTCTCCACCGTCTCCTGGAGGCATCCAACACCCTGGGCACTAGACCTTACCTAGGTAACAATAAGAACGAGCGGTGACCGCACCATGAGCCTTGCGAATTTAACATCTCTTTTCAACGAGGCAGAGCTGAGCTGTGCTACTACCTAGGTACCACCATGCGGCCATCTGCCGGCATGATGAGCCCGGGACATATCGAACGCCCGTCCTCAGAGGATACAACCAAAGCCAATGATCTAAGAGTCTAATTGCGGTAACATCCTGCTAACACTCGCTCTCCATGTTAATGTAGGCTGCACGGCGCCTGTCTCGCGTATTGAATGAAGAGGGTGAGCTGTACGCGATATCGAGTAAGCCGGCTGCGCCCCCTAGACGCACATCTCAGCCTTCCTAACCCCATCAGCCATAAACTCATGATTCTGGCTTCTATCCTCTTCCCGCGCATGGATGATGTTTTGACTGATTGAGTAGAAATAATTACTACTTCGAAAGCAAAGAATGGCTGATCCTCTCAGCATCGCAGGATCCGTGGTCGGCATCACCGCAGCCGGCGTACAAGCCTCCGTGAAGCTGTACGCACTCGCCGAAAAGGTTGCGACAGCCAGCCAGCGAGTTACAAGCATTGCGGACGACATTAGCAGCACATGCGCCATTCTCAACCAGGTGCGCGAACTCATCATACCTCAACCTGATGCGCAAGGCACACTCAAATCGGTCTTCAACTCCGTCGCCCTGAACGACATCTCGCACGCTCTCCGTCGGTGCAGGTCCTCTTTCACGGACATCGAGGCTCTTTTGCGGCGCGCATTCGAGCAAGTGGGAAAACGCCCCGCTCTTCGTTCAAACATCAAGCTTTCCCGGTTCGAACAAGCCAAATGGCCGTTCTTGCAGCCACAATTCGACGAACTCCGCAACGATTTGCGAGATGCGAAAGGAAATCTTGTCTTGATGATTGCCGTAGCAAGCCTTGCGCTTGCACAGCGAGATGGACGACAGCGACCGATCCATGAAACGGAGAGATTGGATCTTGGATCTACGATCGTGCAGCTGCAACGGGCGAGTACGGTCAAGACACAACCTCAATATTCTTCAAAGATCCCTCGAAGGGAGGTGAGGGACTCGCAAAGTCTTTCTACCTCAGGTGTTGATGCCGATAAGGGCATGTCTTCCAAGCAAACACCCATGTTTGAGATGGCGACTTTGGCAAAAGCCCTTCCGCCTGGTCCACCAGCGTCGGAAAAGTTCGCGTCGCCTGCCAGTAATGGAGCTAGAGGGATTTCCTCACTTAGCACCGGTACCAGTCCTGCAAATGTGTCTCAAACCCATTTCAGTGACGCACAAGTGCGAGCGGCATTTATTAATACGATGCCGCACCCATCTCTACGTTCAAGCCCAGGAGGTATAGCATGGTCACGACAAACAATGGCTCATGGCCCGAGTTCTCCACAAGAGTCGCATATTTTCGATCAACCCATTGCCCAAGAACCTGCGCCGTCCGCCCCGTCGTTTGAGTCGGCTGCAACGCTCCAACCACTTGGGGAACCACCGCAAGAGATAGACGCTGCAGATGATGACAGTGTAGTCTGGTTCTATCATGGATGGACTACGACTTATCTTCAGGGACTCGCAACGGGTCAAGGGGACTCTCTATTAATAAATGACATGAAGCTCCCTCAGAAGTCGCTGGCGAAACTCGTCAAAGCCTACACGGATGAAGGCAACGATCCACATATTGCGGTGTCAGAGCTCACACGGGAGCAGCAGACCATGATCAAAGAAAAACTTCAATCAGACGATTGTGAGATAGTATATGTCCGTTTGCAACGCAACATCACTGTATCCAGTGTGTTCGGTACACTCAACGTTGAAACGCTCAAGTGGATCACCACAATCAAGATTCCATACACACTCGTGGCAGGTCCTTTCTTACGTAGTAAAAATGACGAAACAACGCATGAAGCATTTAGCCAACCTCCTTCTGTCGACATTGGACCCACGGATCCAAGGGCACGATCCAAAATAATAACCGCGGAACAACGGAATCCCTCATATGACCCGTCATCGCCCGCAAAGCTGATCCCTCCTGCTTCTTCCGATCCCGATCTCATTCAAAGACTTAGTAATAGACACCGACGTAGCGAACAAGAACGTCGGCTTAATAGAAACACATCCCCTCCGCCTCTCAGGACCCACACACTTGACACAGAGTACGGAGCGTTCGACAGAACATCCGTCAAGTTTACGGATGCCTCCAAGCCTGGAGAATATTCTAGGCAATCTGCATCTGAAGCCGCGGAACACGTTGATCCATCAACATCAATACCAACCGAATACAATCCCGACGTTGATGCATGGGCCGCGCAATACACTGACCCATCAGCATTAATTCCACCCTCAATGCCATACGAATTCGATCCCGACCTTGATGCATATGCCGCGGACTCTGTTGATCCAGCAACAACGGTAATGCCGGATGCGGATGACGAATCGGAGACATATGATACGCAGCCCATAAACCCCGGTTTAGGAGGATTAACAGACGTGGGTCGACAAGATCTTTCACATAGTCCGTCGTCTCCCGAACACTCTCCACTCCTGCTCGCTCAGAATGAACAAGATGTATCACAAGAAGCGGCCGTTCCACTGGAGGGAAAGACACCGTTTGTTCTACCGTATAGGATCGAGGAATTTGGGGAACGTGACGATTACCTTGAATCTCCTTCGATTCCACCTCCACATGAAGACGAATCGTTTGATCGAGCCCGCCAACAGTACCAAACTTATCATCCGTACCCCAGGCGGGATACGACATCTTCACGTTCGGACCGCACTGGCTATAACACGGTGGGGCGTTATGACATGCCCGATGGCGTTCCTAGACACGCAGCGATCACACCTTCTATCGCGGATGCGGGTGTCGCGGAGGAAACTGGTGAAGACATTGTGAACGAGCTTCTCGCTCGTTGGACGGTATCGTGAACCAAACCCTCCCTTTCATCTTCTTTCACAGCAAGAAGAGTACATATAAGCCAGGAGACGACATCAACCACAAGCAAATACGACTTCCTCTTCATGAGTACAGATAAATGTAGAACATATTCTCTAGTAGACTAGCCTTTCCCTCACTCATACTCATCTCACATACTATTCCCAATCACTCAGATAACGCAAATGCATTGAAACGCCGCGCATCTTTCGCGCCTAGACTGCCATGGTATCTCGAACCCTTTACAGTACATGATGAAGCTCCGCCATATAGCGCCAATGAATGCATGTATGAGAAAGCTTCGAAAACAAACATCGAAGAAAAGAATCCGCACGACCCATCCCTCCACCTAACCCACAACATCAATATCCCCATCAGCATCCACATCCTCCTCCCCCTCAGCATCAACATCACCATCCGCATCCACATCCACATCCACACCATCCACCCCCCTCAGCGCAACCGGCAACTGCCCCCTCACATTCTCAAACTCACGCGCCGCCGCATCCGCCTCAGCCACAAGACCATTCCTCCTATAAGTATTCATACAAAGCCCCGCAACAACCGCAACCCACAGCGGCCTATGCACTTTAACCGCCTGTGACCTCGCCGCACGAATCGCCTGAATACTCTTCTCACCCACGGTCTCCGCAAAGAAGCGCGCAACGAAGTAACACATCATCATAGCGACGAACTCGAAGTTCTGGGTTCGCTTCGACACATCCTGCGCCATGCCTACGGCGGCTTGGACAGTTTTCTTCTGCTGGAGGATGGGCGCGTCTTCGCTGTGGTAGGCTTGGACGAGGCGGAAGGCGATGCGTATGTATTGGTTTGGGTGGTCGTCGCAGAGGGGTTTGATTTGGGATAGAAGGAGGGCTGCTTGGAAGTGTTGTGGGTGCGAGGCATCGCGGAGAATGAGGAGGCGGTTCAGAGCTGCCATGATTGCGATGTCTGTTTTAGCAGGGGTTGCATGACCCTTCTCCGGTATTGCGAGGACGTCCGAGGACAATGCTGCTAGTGAGGAGTTGTGGGATCCGTTGATCTGGTTAGTGATGGCGGAGAAGTAGGCGAGCGTACGAGCGAATGCTTCCTGGTTGTTGTATGGGGTCGTTGAGATCTTCTTCTTGAGAAAACCCAGCGCATCGTCGGCGGTTGCATGATCATTCCTAGTACGAGCCATGAGGCCAATAGCGAACATGGAATACCAATCCAGTACCATGTTCCACTCAATGCGTGCAAACGCGATAGATATAGGTACGCCACTGTAAACGCGTCGCTTCGCAGTCTCTCGGAAGCGCTGATGTGCTTCCTTCATGAAGTTCAGACCCTTCTCATGAACATGTTGGTCCAGTGCGCAGATATGGAAGCACAGCGCTTGAAGATCCTCCTTCGGAAGCCATGCAAACACCAGCTCGTCCTTTTGCTCCGCATTTTTTCGGAAGATGCCAGCAGTGTCAAACGTAAGATGACCTCCGAAGCTCCGCTCAATGAGGACAGTGAAGACGCCGCCTTGGGAGCTGCCCTGTTCGTTCTTGTCGCCTAGTATCGATTCCAGAAGTGCGGTAGACTTCTGCGGGTTGGGGCTGCCTTTTTGGATACCGCTAGCAATGTCAATAATGTCGATGAGAGTGCCAAATGATCCCAATTGTTTGGCTGACACTTGAAGCTGCAGGCTTCTGGCTGCTGCGATGGCGCGTTGGGCTTGTTCGAGTCGATCGCTTGCACCTGAGCGTAGATGGACCATCGCTTCGAGTACGTGACAAGCGACGTAGATGGCTCGATCGCCCCGCCGGTCCGCGTGGTCTTGTATAGCATGGAGTTGCTGGAGAGCCAATGCCACCTCAACACGACCCGGTATCTGCAGTGCGAGCGTGACTTTGAGAAACCGCAACGCATACACCCAGGCAATGTGTTGGAAGGTCTCGGCCTCCTTTATAGGCTGGTCGAGTGACTTGAGACCGGCGCGGTGGTTGGTCTTGAACTGATATCGTGCCTGAAGATGGAGGGCAGCAAACTTAAGGTCTTGCAAGCGATGGCGTCCGCAGAGCGATATCTGCTTGGACAAAATTTCCTCGATCCGACTGGATATGTCTGCGGCCTCGATGTCTGTCTCTTCGATCATCAAGCTGGCATACCTCAACCGCAGTTTGGCTTCGTCCCTAGGCGGCATGTTGAAGTCCTTGAGCACAGTATCCATGCACCCCATAGCAGTGGACATCAACTTGTAGTATTGCCTGACGTCGGCCTCCCTTCTCTCCCGTATGAGCAGTGATCCCATGCCTCGCGCGACCGCAATGTATTCGTCCGCAGCAGTAAGCAGTAGTTCGGAGAGCTCGGCAGGAAGGGCCTTCTGAGGAGGATGTGCGCGCTTCGTGGGCGTAAGCTGGTGCAAAGACGACGCTTTCGGTATGACAACCTGGGGGTGCATTCGTGGTTTGGACGAGGGCGGCTGAGGGAACGGACTGCCATACTGGCTCGACGGCGTCCGAGACTGTGGGGGTACGCGCTGTTGTTGGGGCGTTGATTGAGGGGGTCGCTGTTGCTGAGGGTTAGATTGTGAGGGTCGCGGTTGTTGAGGAGTAGATTGCGAGGAAGGACGTTGTTCTTGAAACGTGGGTTGTGAGGGCATACGTTGCTGCTGGGGCGTTGACTGTGACTGTGGGGGTCGTTGTTGCTGAGGAGTCGACTGTGGAGGGCGCTGTTGTTGGGGCGTCGATTGCGAAGGTCGCTGCTGTTGAAGGGTGGGTTGAGAGGACATATACTGCTGCTGAGGCGTCGTCTGCGGTTGTAGAGGCGCCCGAGACTGGGCTTGACTGTGCGAAGGAGTGACGACGGGTCGATGCTGAGGCCTGGGCCCATTCTCTTGAAATGACGGCGACCGCTGCACTGGCTTGGAACTTGGCGTGTTGGGTGCCTGTTGTCCGCTATACCGCCGCTGTTGGTCACCCGAGCCGTCTGTTTGCGCCATGCCCGTGCTGCCTGTTCGCTGGACCGGCACCTGGACATGTCGGATCCTTGGGGGCTGCATCTGCGGCATGGGGGCATATTGCTGTGTCCTCGGCGGAATGACAACTTGAGGCTGCCGCTGGTACTGGGGTTGCTGTGGTGGCTGCATCTGGGGAGGCATTGGCGCATACTGCTGGCTCATGGGTCGGGGCATGCTGGGCTGTGGCGGCAGTTGATACTGCTGTGGCTGTGACTGAGGATATCCTTGCGGCGCCTGCATCTGCATGGGAGGGTACTGTGGATAGCCATGCTGTTGGTAGACATTTGGCTGTTGCTGTTGCGGTTGTTGCGGAGGCGGCGCATACGGATTGTACTGGCCGTTGGGATAGCCCTGGGGCTGCCAGCTGTATCGCGGATCCATGGCGGGGGATGGTCAGGAGAGGAATCGTCACCGGGAGTCGAGGTACAGGCGGTGCATCGTGGGCGAAAGCGGGGTGTCGACGTGAGGACGTGTAATGGGCAGTCGCGAACTTGGGCAATCGCGAACGCGCCAGTGCCGTTGAGCGCCATTGGTCCATAGACGCGCGCTTGCTGCACCAACACATGCAGCCTAGTCGTAGCCAGACCGAGGCCCAATTCTTTCAACCTTACGTACGTATGTGATTCTAGATAAGACTTTCACCATCTCTTTGTCAAGATCAATTCACATGGAGGGCCCTCCTAGAAACTAGATCCACCGACAACACCAACCATACCAGCAATTGATCGACTGAGTGGGGGCATCGTGAAAGAGCTAGGAACAGGACCGAAGGCGTGTAATAGTGCTGAGGTGTGATTTTCATCCGTCGTGTCTTGAGAACTCATACAAAATCGCATCGCCTTCTCGAGTATAGACCAGACACCACACCCTCCGAACCCATCATGTCTTGGCTCCTAGGCCACAGCAAAACGACCTACACCTCCCATGCCTCGCCAACACCCCTCCAGACCAAGACGGGCTCAAAAACAAACCTCAAAGAGATCGCCGAATCATCAATCCCACCATGCCGTCTAAACCCCTTCCTCTTCAACGGCCACCTCCAGACAATGTACACAGCCGTCAAGGACCCCGGTCCAGAAATCTACTACAAGCGCCAAATCTTCGACTCTGACTACTCCGTCTACCCCGGCACCTTTGCCGTAGACTTCGTAGTCTCAAAAGAAGAAGGACTCGCCTCAGCTACGCGAATGACTGAAGAGAAAGACACCACCGAACTCCCCGAGCGAACCACAAACTTCACGTCCAAAGAATGGGACGCAATAGGCAGCTCCGACAGCACCCCCATGCTGATAGCCCTGCACGGCCTAACCGGCGGCTCCCACGAAGTCTACCTACGCGAAACCCTCCAACCGCTGCTCACATCCCGCACGCAACCCTGGGCCGCGTGCGTCGTAAACGGCCGTGGCTGCGCCTTATCCAAGATCTCAACGCCCCAACTCTTCAACTCACGCGCAACCTGGGACCTACGTCAAACCATCAAAACGCTGCACGCCCTCTTCCCCAACCGCCCCCTCTACGCCATAGGCTTCAGCCTCGGCGCCAACATCCTCACTAACTACTGCGGCGAAGAAGGACCCCGCTGCACCCTCAAAGCCGCAGTCTCCTGTTCAAACCCGTGGAACCTAGAAGTCTGTAACACAACCCTCCAATCTACCTACCTAGGCCTACACATCTACTCCCGCACCATGGGCAAGAACCTCATGAATCTTTTCCACCGCCACCGCTCGCAGATACTAAAGAACCCTGGTATCGACGAGACGGCGCTGCTGGCGAGTAAATATCTGCATGAGTTTGATCGACACGTCCAGTGTCCTACGTGGGGGTATCCGACCGAAGGCGCGTATTACAGGGACTCACAGTCTGTGGATGCGGTGTTGGCTATTCGGATTCCCTTTTTGGGGATTAATGCGGAAGACGATCCGATTAGCAATAAGGCGGGACTGCCGTATCAGGAAATATTGCAGAATCCGAATACGCTGTTGTGTACGACGGATTGGGGTGGTCATTTGGGGTCTTTTCAGTTGGGTGGGGGGAGGTGGTTCGCGACGGCTGCAGCAGCTTTCTTAGAGAAGATGTTTGCGGAAGTGGACCTTGAGGCTACTAAAGGTGTGGACGAGGGAGCAGATGTGAATATGGGAGGATTGGAGGGGAAAAAGTATCCTATCTTCGATCCCAACCACCGCAGGTTGATATTGCCTGAGGCTTAGAATATCAAGTCATGATTTGGAGATTGGATTGGATTGTAAATTTGTTTGGGTATCATAGACTTTTAGATGTGGTAGATCGCTTGTAGACCTGATGTGTTGCGCGACATATGACGCCCTCTTCTGCCGTTCTTTTACGCTCGCGGTTGCTGCATGCGCTGCTCATCGACACTGGCCTTCTGCATATCGTACACGATGCGTGTTCGTCTCGCCGCAATGTCTGGCCGTCTGCCTTGTACCTCCCCATCAAAATCGAACTCACGCCCACAGATCATTCCTTCAACCAAAGCTGACCCTCTTCCTCTGCTTGAACTTGCGATCCTTCTCCTTAATCTTATCGCCCTCGTCCTTGTTTCCACCCGCACCAGGCTCACTATGCCTCTTCCTCTTCTTCTTGAGATCCTGTTTCCTCTCCTCGAAAGCCTGGTCCTTGTCTGATTTCCTCGCCTCGGCTTCTTTCCGCTTGGCTTCACGTATCTCTTCTAGCTGACGTGCTTTGGCGATCTTGGACTCGAGGTGGCCTTCCTTCTCGGCGTTGACGACGGACATGATGGCCATCTTGAAGACGTTAATGTTAGGTTAAAGAGAGAGGGATTGGAGGGTAGAGAGACGGAATATGCGACGACGAATGGGATTTACATACCATACTAGCTGGATCATCAACAAACTTCTTCCCCTTCTTCACACCCTTTGGTTTCGCAATACCAGCAGGTATAATGCCATTCAGCGCCGGGATATCCAGCTCCTTCTCCGTATACACGCGCTTCTTCTTCCTGCCATCCCTGGAAACAACGCTCTTGGTCTTTTGCTGGCCACCCGGTTTAGCTAAGGACATGGACTTTTGCTTGCGCTTCGATATGCCCTCGGGCGCGCTACCGGTCGGTTTCGCAGACTTCGCTTTCGGTTTGTTGGCGCCGGATTTCGCAGGGCCGGATTTGCCTTTGGAGGAGGTCTTGCCCTTGGTGGAGGGCTTGGAGAGACCCATTTTAGCGAAGGACGTGGTGCGTGGGTGAAGTTGGCGCAAAAGTTGGTGTTGGTTGTAAAGAGTCTGGAAGTCTGGAACTTTTCGTCGGCGGTTGGCGAGCTGCAGATGCCGACCGACAAGGCACGTAAGTGCCAAGGGCAGGCGCGACCGGGTGGACCGCAACCTCGACTGGCGCAACCGCATCTCCAGCAGCTAGCTAGCTCCTTGCATCACACCCACACCACCACAATCCCACTCCCCACCGAGTCGCATACGCATACGCACGGCATGATGGAGGACTCGAATCGCCTGTTCCGCTTCCCCAAGCCCGCGTGGATGAACAGCGCCAACACGCGGACTGCCGGCGTCTACATCGCGGGAGCCTTGGTGCGCGCCTCTCGCATGCCACACCTACACATCTTACTAACAATGCCGCGTAGTTCGCCATGGGGTTCTACACTCTCATCGACATCTCGGTCTGGTCCAAGTCGGCCATGAACGGCTCCGAACCAACCGTCCACATCACCTTCGTCGACTGGATCCCCGGCATCTGCAGCGCCCTCGGCATGCTCGTCATCAACAGCATCGACAAGTCGCGTCTGTCCGCTGACAGCTTCTCCTACTCTGGAAACGGCGTCGCGTGGAAGGCGAGGCTGGTGCTGTTCCTGGGCTTTGCGCTGTTGGCTGGTGGACTTGCGGGCAGTGTTGTGGTTATGGTTATGAAGTTTATTGTTGTTGGACACGCTTGGCCGACGCTGTGGCTGGGCGTTGGAAACGTCGTTGCTAATGCGCTTCTTATGCTGAGGTGAGTACGATATGTGATGTTTGGGGATGGCTGCTAATCTTGCGTAGTTCCGCTGTGCTCTGGATCGCGCAGAACATGGAAGACGAATACACCTACAACCTGGCGTTGTAGGCTACTGGTGGATTAAAGGCGGCGACTGAGGACGAATATGGCGCGTTGTGTATCTGGACGCGCGCATGGAATGGATACAATTATGTATGAGTATTTGAAGGGTCGGGACTGTTCATCATAGGCAGCTTGTTGTTTCATGCCAGTCATTCAGCGATTTCGAGTTATCATGTTCCAATACGGAGAACCAAAGTCATCCTATGCATTATGTTCGATATACTTGTACAAAAACGCTCAGCATACTATGGATACAACATAAACATGGGGCAGCACCGATCCGAATCTTCCGGCTGTCAGCATTTGCTTTCAACGCCCTCAATATTCCTCCAGTGGTCGCGCTGGACCAGATTGTGTGTGCGGTTCCTCATTGCTGAGTCCCGCCGGCGAGTCAGAAGTCTTCTTGCTCCTGGAAGAACAGGGTGAAGCTGATGATGGTCGCGTATATCAGAAGACCGCCGAAGATGGACATGGCCGCCGCGCCGCCCGCGATTTCTGCCGAATGCCATAGCAGTGTTGGGAGGGCTGTCAACGTGTTAGCAGTCTGCCAAGATACCCCCAGAAGCGTCCCTGTGCCACCCAGGTGTACTCACCAATTCCCATGACCACAAAGAAGCCCGTCAGAAACCGTCCAAAGTCGACGACACCATTTCCGGTGCTTTCCATGAAATCATCGCGGTTTGCTGCGCGGCCGCAGAGCCAGTTGGGCAGGGGCGCGATTACGTAGGTTGCGACGACGAGAAGCGTGAGGTAGTTCTTGAAGAGCGCGGCGGAGAGAATGACAAGGAGGAAGCCGATCGCCAGGACCTAGTAGGACGGTGTTAGCGAATGCATAGTGGACTGGCAAGCGCGCGTGCATGCGACAGGCTGACGTACGAAGGACAGCCCTATGATGGTCTTGATGCCGGCCATGATGGATTCGTAGAGGGGTGCACGTGACGATAGTGTATTGCAGAAGTATGCGCCGACGTCGCCTTGGTTCGATCCTCGGTCCGGCGAAGATGCGAGGTTGCTGTGATGGGGGTCTGGCTGCTAGACGCCTGGTGGTGAGGTTGTGTCGCACGCGCTAAGGGCCTTGCCAAGCTTGGAGCTTCTGGAGCTCATCGTCGTCAACAGCGGGTGCCTCCAGCTGCAACACCACACTCTCTCGGTACTCGTCCCACGCCGCACACCACATCTACGGTACTCGCTACCAAACCACTGCCTTACCGTATAAAAGGCTCAGTCTCGGCGTCCGCCGCTTAACCTTCACCAAACTACACCCCACGTTCCCGCCTTCAAGATGTTCCGCAACAACTACGACAACGACTCGGTCACATTCTCGCCACAAGGCCGCATCTTCCAGGTGGAATATGCACAGGAAGCAGTCAAGCAGGGTTCCGTCGTCGTCGGAATCGTCAGCAAGACCCATGCAGTTCTCGCCGCAATCAAGGTAATTACCCACGCCGTCTCAACTACACGGACAATTACTAATAGACTACTAGCGAAACGCCGAAGAACTCTCTTCCTACCAGAAGAAGATCATCACCATCGATTCGCACTTCGGTGTCGCGCTCGCCGGTCTCGCCTCGGACGCCCGTGTGCTCTCCAACTTCATGAAGCAACAATCACTGGCATCCCGCCTCACATACGACCGCGCGATCCCCCTCTCTGAGATCACCTCCCGAATTGCAGACCGTGCCCAGACCAACACCCAACAGTACGGGCGGAGACCCTACGGCGTGGGACTGTTGATTGCTGGTGTCGACGCAAAGGGCCCGCATCTGTTCGAATTCCAGCCCAGCGGTGTCACACAGGAGATGGTTGCATGCGGTATCGGTGCTAGGAGTCAAATGGCGAGGACATACCTTGAGAGGCATCTGGACGACTTCGAGGGCGCAAGCAGGGAGGAGTTGATCAAGCACGCACTGAGGGCGCTGAAGGAGTCGCTGTCACAAGACAAGGAGCTGACTGTTGACAACACCAGCGTCGGCATCAGCGGTATCGGCGAGGACTTTGTGCACCATGAAGGTCAGGATGTCGCAGAGTGGCTGGACGCTACCTTTGAGAACAGGGAAGGCGGCGACGATAACGCCGAGGGCGGAGAGGCCATGGAGTTGTAGGGACGCGTCCAGTCTGCAAGACTCAGTATGGCCGCTTGACGAGAGACTGTAGATTCATGATGTAGCCGCCTGGCTATGAAAATATAATGAACACGATTACGAATTTCTGTTTGTCTTAGGAGTGCTCCACTGACAGCTTGGAGGTACTCAGTGTCTTTTATAATTGCTTTCCATCAAGTAAAATGTTACGTATCCGCCAGGGTACAGTTTACCCAAAACGCTTCCCGTACCTCATATGTGCACGTGATCTGCAGCTCCGAGCCGCATGCGCGAAATCTCGCCGGAGCTCAGCAACTTCAACACCTGCACCCGCAACCCAAACCCCGTCCACACCCACGAACCCGCATCCTACCATCACAATGGCATTCGCGTGGAAAGCCGCCGGTCTCACGTACGCCCGCCCACTCCTGCCGCCGCTGCAGCCCCAGATTTGGACCCGCCATTGACAGTTGAACAGCTACAACCGCTACATTGCCGTCGCATCGCGCGTCGTGCGCCGCTCGCTCAAGGAGGACAAGCGCATCGCTGCCGAGCGAAGGGGCGAGAGCGAACTCCGCTTCGCCAAGTGGGAGGTGAGTTAGGATGATGGGATGGGATGGGTTGAGGAAGTTGGGCTGGGCTAACGGAATGGGCAGAACGGCAAGCAGGGCGAGCTGAAGGAGCTCAACGCTGCTGCGCTCCAGGCACAGGCCGATGCCGCCAAGACCTCGTAAAGCAATTGAGAGGAAGGGACATGGCATAGACACGATGGAGTGGCATGGACAACGGAGGAGAGATGACGCTTGCGGAGGATAGACCTATAAGCTGTACTATCAAGCTGGAGCGGAATCAAAGCCAATACACACCAACAATTGAGCCGACATTCACTCTCCCCAATGATCCAAAGCGCGTGTGAAGTAGAAGTGAGATGACGGTCGTGACTACCAGTAATGTTGCCGCTTGCCTCGGACGCGCGCCTGTCCAACTCGGCTGTCACAAATCTTCCCGCATCGGCATCGACTCCACCACAACATGGCAGATGCGTCTAGCAGCCACAGCACAGCCCCCACCCCGGACCATGACACAGGTGTAGCCGTTGACGGGGCTGGTAATTGTTTCTTCACTTCTTCTGTGTAGAGCAGTCGATACTGATGATGCACAGGCTCCTCACATGCGCAAGAGTCTGCGCGTACCATCTCGGCCTCTACTTCCGCTAATTTACCCTTGAGACAATCAAGACATCCGGTCGCGGGGACGCAGCCAAAGATTCATGATGTGACGGAGAAGTTTACGAGGGCTTGTAATGGTGAGTTGCCATCTCAGGTACAGGGAGGGGCATGGCGGGGCTGCCTCGTCATGTCGTACTACGGTCGTTACGACGATATGTTCAGGCAACATGGACTGACAATTTTCAGCTCTCGAAGTCGGTCAACTCGTCAAAGATGAATACTTTACGCTGTTCGAGTCCATCGGGGCCATCGAAGTATGTCGCTCTCGTTTCACGAATCAGATTCTATTTCTTACATGCAACAGATCATGGACCCCAAAATGGACAGCGGCTTCCTCCAGCCCGGAGAAACCCTAGAAGACGACTACGACACTCTGGCTCCCCTTCTACCCGAGGAACTAATAGGCATCATGGACCAACTACTCTGCTACGAAATGGCCTGGCATACCGGCTACCCGTTATCCCAGACTCTCTTCACGTCCTTGCACATCGATAAGCTGCTCTGGCCCGAGACTAAGATTCTCGAGCAGGCGCAGTTCTACCGCGGAGAAATTCTACATGAGAGACGACCTGGACCGTTGCTGGAAGTACTGAGAGCGTATTGCCTGGCGTTGATCAAGGGTTGCGACTTTGTGATTGCGAAGATTACGGGCAGGGATTACTTTGAAGAGGAGGACTTTTGCACACATACGTATAATCGGGTGTTGTTTGTTAGTGTGCCGATGGATGTGTTTTTGAGGGAGCTGGATGCTGCGATGGAGACGATTGAGGAGTATGCTTCACCGCGGACTTGACAGTCGACGGCCTGCTAACACATCGTAGTCCCGAATTTGAGATCAATGATGCACTTCGAAAAGCCATTAGCTCCAGGCTAGAACTTCGGAAAGACTACCTTCGCGCCCTTGACTTGGACCTACCGCTCAATCAGATACCCTATTCATGGCCACCAGTACTTCAAGGTATCGACTCGTTGAAGAACACGCATCAGCTTGGGAAGACTGTGCCTGGTGCTTTCAGTCCGAAGATGCAACGCCGTCTCGCGTCTACAGTACCCCCACGCCCAGTTGTAGAACTCGACTTCAAGGATGCGTTGGAGAAGCTACACCAGATAGCTACCGACTGCGCAGAAGCCACGCGCTTCCCAGCTCTTCCACAAGACCCCCTCGAATACCAATCCTTCCTCTGGCACTTCTCTGGTCGCTCACCCCCGCCACTGACATACGCCCGCTCCTACCTCGCAACCCTACTCTTCCATCCCGAAGTCCTCAACGCCTCCGTCTCCCTCCCTCTCGTCGATGTCAAGACACTTGTGTTCCCATCTTCACCCGTCATAGACCCCATCAACTGGACAATGTCACCACCACGCAATGCCCTAATCCCCAAACCCCCGCGCCTCCAGTTCGCAATGCTCATCGACGAATTCGTAGACCGCGCCGGCCAAGCGTACCTCGATCTCTGGGTCGCCATGGGCCAGAACCGTTGTCGGCTGAGACGTATGTTGACGCACGTCATCACAGGCTGGGACCTGCTCCAAGCCGACGCAAGCTCAATCGACATGGACATTTCCTCCGCGGCCGCCACGCTCGGTCAAAGTGCCCAAGTCATGGAGTTCTCCCTCTCTACCTGGGTCTACCACAAAAAGCTGTGGATGATTGAAAAGGTCATCTTACTCGGTTTTGAACAGGATATCTACCTGCCGGATGAGTACGCGGGCATGTACCTCTTCCTCTCGCTCATCGCTACACGACGGAAAGAGTTGCTCAAGAGGGTGGAAGCACACTACCTCAGTATCTCCACCGAGCTCCTTAAATCGCGACGGTTTAGAGAGGTTCAAGACGTGGAAGAAGCGTCACCCTTCCTAGACTCCCTGCTCGCCGAGACAGAAGGAACAGCGTCGCTGGCCTTGGCTCTCGCGCGCTTCTACGTCATCTGCGCCTACCTAGGTAAACTACCCATGCCCCGCCGCACTCCCTTTTCCACAGAAAAGCTCCGGTACGAACTCAGGATGAAACCTTTTCTCGCTTTGCAACCACCTGAAGCACCGCCCTTCGACGACTTCAAAGCGCATAGCCAGCCTTATGGACCGGTGCCGTCTGCTTCCGAGCCTCCACCCGAGGCTTTTGTCAAGGATGTTCAAGATAAGGATAGCATGCTCTGGCAAGAAGTAGACGACCGAATCAAGGCGGCGAAAACGGCGTTTGCTGAATACAAGAGATTGGGTGTGGGCACGGCGAAGGCGGGAGGTGTCAAGGCGAGCTGGGAGGATGAGGTTAAGAGGATGGTGGCGAGTTGCGTTAGTTTGGGGTTGGCGGTTAAGGAGGTTAGGGATCTTGTTGTTGGTGGGGAGGGTGCTGGTAAAGGGGAGGAGGGGAGGGGTGATGTTGGTAAAGGGTTCAAAGTGGAGGTTCCGGAGGCGGGGATGGGGAAGAGGTATGCTGAGGGGTGGATCGTTGGCAAGGTTGTCAAGGATTGAGGTGGTGGAAATGGAATGAGGGTGCTGGATGTATGCGGAGGCTGGACGGGCGATGTCGGATGGGGCGATGGGATTATGTAGGCATCGTGGCACATTGAGTCAGGCGTATGAAGAAAGAGCGCGGGTTCTCGTGTCTTATGTTAGTACTACTACGAGTAAGTGTAGTGAAGGACAGGTCAAAGAATTGATGGAGTGACAAGGAGTGGTTAACTATCTACATGTGAATGTACATCAGCTTTCTATCGCACTAGCCTCAACAATCGCGTATATCTCGTCTTGTAGCTCACACGTACCAGCAATGCGAGTCTACAAGACAACCTCGATCCGCCTAAGCAAGCCCAGCGGCCTGGATAGCGAAGGAAGCCGCCGCATCCGCACTGCTGCCGTAGCTGAGATGGCTTCCAGTGGCACCACCATCACCGCCACCACCGCAGATCTGATCAGCAGTACCGCAGAACTGCTTGATCTTGTCAGCCGAAAGACCGCTGATAGCCTGGCGCTTCAATGGGTCTCCGAACATGACAGCACCGCTAACATCCGTGGCAGAAATGCCCTTGCTGAAAGCATTGTGAACGACCATGGCACCTTGAGAGTAGCCCGATACAATGACCTTGGTGTCGGGACATTGAGCCTTGGCCTGCTTGACTAGATCGGCCATCTTCTGACCACCGTCGCCACCGAGGTTGGCGTTACCAGCGGCAGAGGCAGCGTAGTCAACACCCTGAACGGTAACACGGTCGTTACCGAGCTTCTGGCGGATAGCCTTGAACATGGGTGGTCCGGACACGGATCCGACGTTGCCCATCTCTCCGGTACCACGTGCGAAGACGATGGTCATGTCGGTGCAGCAGCTCTTGTCCACGATGCCGTTTTCGCTTCCTCCGAAGGCGTTGGATGATCCGGATTGCGGCTTGCAGTCTGTGCCGATCGTGCCGGCGCCGCCAGTGTTGCTTCCGTCCGTTGCGGCAGGTGCTTCAGCGGCACCGGTCTTAGAAGGTGCGGGGACAGCGGCGTCAGCTGTTGTTGTAGCACCACCAGCACCGCCTCCGAGGCCTCCAAGACCTCCAAGACCCCCAAGACCACTGAGGCCCCCGAGACCTCCACTGGAACCTCCGCTGGAACCTCCACCCAGGCCGCTGAGCCAGCTACTCAATCCAGAGCCACCTGTACCGGTGCTGCCTCCACCTAGACTGGGAAGGCTGGTCGGAAGTGAGAAACCTCCACCCCCGAGAGAGGGGATGCCGGTTGGCAGGCTGAATCCTGATCCTCCGCCGAGGCCACCAAGGCCACCAAGTCCCGAGCCTCCACCTCCGAGAGAGGGGATGTTGGTTGGGAGGCTAATACCTGATCCTCCACCAAGACCACCAAGCCCCGACCCTCCACCAAGTCCACCAAGGCCACCAAGACCAGAACCTGATCCACCAGTCGGTAGCGAGAAGGACGGTAGAGAAGGAAGCTGAGGATGCGGGAAAGCAGTTGCAATGCTAGCAAGAGCGAAAGCTTGAGCGGCGTAGAACTTCATCTTGCGATAGTGTGCAAAGAGTCGTCTGTATCCGTATAGATCGCGTCGTTTGAGAAAAAGAATGTAGGTGCACAGCACAACGAAGAGTAAGACAGGCGACGAAAGCGAATGTAGTAGAGATGGAAGCGAAAGTGCGGATCGAAGTCGATGCCTATCAAACCTCTGTTGGAGACCTCCATTTTATACAAACCATCCACGGCTGACTTCCTCGGAGCACTATCGCAGGGAGTCGGCGCGGTGGGGTTTCGAAACATTGCTTCTGCGGCGAGATGTGATGACAGGAATGCCATGGCGTTGTCCATCAACGCGACCTCGGGACGTTATTGTGGAGTCGTGGCCCCGTTTTGCGAGAAGAGGCTGATGTGTGCAGGGACGCGGATCCATGGTCTTCATGTCTGATTACTGAATCTGGTCGGCTGATCTCTGCGTGTTTCGTGTTTTGCTGGCATGCGATTGGGGAGGAGTAGAGCGGCTTGTTTTTGCGATCAAGGATGGACGTGGGCGCATGACTCTGGGCAGTAACGGTTTTGATCATCGAGCAGGATTCTCGTTACGTTGGCGGCGGACGGGATGCTGGGGTGGTGTAGCAACCGCGACACGTGGTACATGTCATGAGTTTTGGATGTTGTGCGCAATATCCCTTCGACATCCCGCATCGCGTCCAGACATACGACACTACTTCGCCCACGCCTTGGGCGCCGAATGTACAATCTGAGCTAGACACAGTCTTTCGGAGCCGTTCACGCAAAAGATTCCGCTGTCAAACATGTCTGCAAACGGAACCTTTGCGTCGCTGTTTCCCAGCAAGCCATGTTAGCTCGGCTGGCTTGCTGCTATTATCAATGCCTTGCATGTTCTGGAACCCGCCAGCGATCGAAATGTGCAAGATGGCATCATCCGCTAAAAATCCCAAGCATCCTTCATTTACCAGCCAAGATCTTCTCGAAGCTGCAAACGGAAGGTAATTAATCAGAATCCCGTAGGGCTGTCCCATCCATGTCGACGATGCGACGTGCGATGCGGGCCTCGGCAGCCACCATGTGGGCCGTTTCACGATGATGCTGGTGCAACATCAATCATGAATCGTGGGTTTACTACCAAGTACCTCTATCCACCCAATCAGATTACCATCGTCCGCCTTACATCCGAGGCTGGCTTTGTACGCGTCTTGACGTCCTGTGCACCTTCTTCTTTGATATGCTATCGCGCTATCACGACGACTTTGCTCGCCGTAACGGCGAGATGGAGAAGTCTGAGTGAAGAGAACGAAAGCGTTGCAACATGTTAGCTTCTGTCGACTGACCGTAAGTCCATGTGTCCGCAAGCGTGATGAGACTGCGCGTGAAGGCGCGATGTTCGAGATATCCTCGATGTCGTCTCCAACGGCCCGCGAGCTCGGTCGATTAGTCCCCACCTCTTGCCTGCACCAACCTCACCCCGCAGTTAGCATTCACCCCATCTCGCAGCGCCAAGTCGCATACCACCCCATCACAAACTCCCTTCCCAAACAAAGCCAACGCGTATTCATTCTATAGCCAACATGATCACCGGCATCCACCACATCAACCTCGTAGTCCCGCCAAACACGCTCCATCTGGCCAATGACTTCTACGCCACAACCCTCGGTCTAACACCACGCGCAGTACCACACCTGCAACGCGAAACGCTCGCATGGTTCGACATCGGCAGCTCAGGTCAACAAGTACATATTGCGATTGGGAAGCCAGAGGACTTCACGCACTCATCATCACGGCATCCATGTTTTCGGGTTGGTAGTGTAGAAGCGCTGAACGAGCTAAGAGCGAAGGTATGGGAACATCATGAGCGGGGTGGGGAGGCGGCGCCGTTGGAAGCAGATAGACCTGGTGCGAAGAATAGTGGGGCGGAGGGAGTGGAGTATCCGACTAGGTTCTTTGCGAGGGACTTTGCGGGGAATAGGTTGGAGTTCAGTGTGTGAGGAAGGGGGATGAATGAGATTTGACTTTCGCTTTTAACGCTACAAGAATGTCTGTCGCCGGGAATCATGACTATAGATAGAGCGAACTGCTTGATGGAGAACGTGGGACTCAGATCTACAACAACGACATTACTGCGGCTAATGCAGCAACAGTCGCAATGGTGGGTAGATGCACACCCAACCCACCAGCGCCACCCTTCGCATTCAACTTAACAACCGCGCCGGGAAAACTACACGTCAACCGATCCGGATTCTCATCCCTAACCCCATACATACCATCCCTCTGCACCCCATTCGGGCACGCAAAGCCCATCTGCGCCGGACAAGTCCTCACAATATCAAAACACATATCTTCGCAAGGCTTGAGCTCTTTATACGGGCCCGGATCAATCTCCTTGTCGATGTTCGGGTTTCTCGACTGGCTAAACGCAGCGCTGTCGTTGAAACCGGGTATCATATCCGGGAGGGAACCATTGGCGAAGGGTGTCTTGATGTTGCGCGGTACGAGGGAAGGGTCGGTTGCGGTCCAGTCTTCGCAGCGGGGCATGAGGACCATGCAGAGCCAGTTTTTGTAGGTTTTGGCGCAGTCGTCGCAGGTTACGGCGAGGGAGTATTGGGCTTCGGAGACTGTGTCGCACGCAACCTGCGCTAGAGACTTGTTGAAGTTGTCGTAGTATGTGCGAGCTTGGTTCTCGTAGATTTCGGCGAGAGCGGAGTCGTTGAGCTTGAACTTGGTGTTGGAGGGGACGGCGTAGGCGACCATGTCGCAGAATTCGAGGTCGAAGAGGACTTGGCAGGAGTCGTCTTTGTATGTTGTTAGCATGGTTCTGTAGACTGTAGTGTGGAACACTTACCAGCCTTGGTAGTCCAGTTGAAAGCCTGAAAGACCCTGCCTCCGCCTCTCGTCGTGCCCGTGCCAGGAATGGTGAGTGGCTGCTGGCTCCCTTCGATTACCACAAACCCGTTGTATGTCTTCGCGCTCTGCAGGTTCCTGACGTGGAATTGGCTCTTGGGCATGTTGTCGTCACCGCCGATCTTATTGAACTTGGTGGTGATGCTCGTGTCGATGGTGAAGTTCCTGGTCGCATTGACATTGAACTGCTCCTTAAGCGCACAGTAAGAGCGTTCCAAGCCCGTCACTGGTGTCCATTCGCCGTCTGGGAAGGCGTACATGTGGAAGGGGTTTTGCGCCCTCCATCTATCGACCTCCACTGTGTCGTTCGAACTGCTCAAGTTCTGTGATATGAAAAGGGTGGACTCGCTGTCCGTGTCGATCATGTAGAGGAAAGGTGTCGTGTCGTCGTAGCTATGGTAAGGTCCGTCTGTGCTTGCGGCGAGTTCAAAGTGCCAGCTGCCAAACCAGTCCTCCTCGAGCTTGGGCGCTCCGATACCAATGTACACATCCGAAGTGGTGTTGAGCTCGAAGCTGGCGTAGCCGCCATCGAAAAGCACGCCCGTGATGTTGGTGAGGGTATCTTGCGTCGCATCTGGGCCTGGTTGCTTGTTGCGCGGCGATGTAGAGACGTACATGACGAGCTGCGGGTGGTTCTTCCTTGCCTCCTTTGCGTCTCCGTTCGGCATAGGTTGGCGGCAGGTATTAGCAGTCAGCCAGACGCGACTACTACCAGCCTGCCGCTTTGCGAGCTCTCCCATCTCATCGTCACCAATGTCGCCTTCCTTTCCAGGTACTGTCGCATCTTCCAAGCCAGCTTCATCAGAGGCGTTGTCGGTTCCCCGTGCTTCCAGAGCATCCAAGGGAGCATCAAGCACACTCCTCAAGCGCAATTGACCCTTCTCAAAGACGAAGTGTAACGTCGTTTCGGGATCGATGTCCTTTTCCGTCTTCTCGTTATTCTTCAGCGGTTCCGGCGCTTCTGTCTGCCGTCCAATCAGACTCCGGTCGAGATAGCTGAACTCCGGCTCGTAGCCATCGCTCTCTCCTCGATCGAGTCCCTCATCTTCAATGTGTGGGATATCTCCGCTGGTAAAGGCGTGCAGCGCGAGGCTGTCAAGGGCGTCGTGATCGGGCGTCGCGAGAACTTCGGCAGCATACACGAGAGGTAGGGAAGGCGCCCATAGCGCGATGCAGGCACTGGTACCGACGAGATATGCGAGCAGTCGCGACTGCAGAGGTGAATGCTTGGGGCGTTGCATTGCCCTCTCCGCTGCCTTATCGATAGAACCGGGGCCGCATGGGTGGGTGGTGGGCGCAGAGGGTGCGCTGGGAGGGGAACGAGCGTCGGGTGGTCGCACGTGTAAACAGGGCGATGCGCGCAAAGGATGATGTAGGTCGGGAGGTCTAAGGGCAAAGAAGGTTTGGCGGGGCGTGGTAGTACTCGCGCAACGGCTGATCCTTTGCTCGCCTGCGCCCTGCCAAGACATGTGGCTTCCCGAGTCCAGCCCCCACGCGGGCGGCATCACCGTTACACCACCCATCATGATGCCATCACCATGTCGGACACGTAATCACTCATTGGATACATGCACAATGGTCATGCACACGGTGATTGATATATACAGTTCTCACGAACCTGGAACGAGCGAGATGCGATCGCGGCTATATACAGTGCATCTTCTTGACTTCCTTCCTTCTGACAAAAGCCTGGATGAAGGAACTACGTGTCCTACACATCAAACGTCTATGCAAGAGCGGGGCTAGCGTTCTGAAGCAACATGGCAAAGTAGTCCTGGAACCAAGTACCAGCCTCAGGCGCAGGCTTGAAAGCAGAGTCCTTGCCGCAGAAGCCATCGTAGCGGGCAGCAGATTGGTCGGAAGTACCGTCAGACTAAGTTCTCGTTAGCATTCGCCTTCTCATTTGTTCACAAATAGGTTACATACCTCGCCACCGGGCTTGACCCAGACAAAAGCATCGACAAGCGCGTTGTCGGTGTTGGTAGTAGGACGGATACCGAACCCAGCGCCCTTGACGTTGCACCAATCTCCCCAAGCCTGCTGGCCAGTAGGCTGCTTACCGCTGCGGCCAGTGTCGACAATGAAGTGAGCTGGGAAGCCCTCGGCCTTGAGCAGGGGAGCAAAGGCGTTGATGTAGCGCTCCTCGTCGCAGTTCTTGCTGCCCTGGGTAATGGAAGGGCAGGTAGCAATGCGGAAGGCGTTGTAGTTGCTGACGTTGGTGACAATACCACGGACGGCACGGGGCGAGCCAGCCGCCTTGTAGACCTCAGCGTAGAGCTTTGCGGCTGGGCCAATGTTGGCGTCCCAGCCGAGCCAGCCAGCATGGCCTCCGTCGAGATACATGTCGACGTTGGCGAAGTTGAGGCTCTTGAGGGCGTAGGCGGTGAGTTCCTTGTAGTAGGGGGCAGCGCGCGAGCACTTTTGGACGCCCATGTTGGTGATCATGTTGGCCAGCGAGTCGGGCTCGATGGCAAGGTTGATCTTGACATCAGGGTACTTCTTGATGATGGCGGCAATCTTGTCGATGTATTGCGTCTTGTACTTCTCTACACCACCGTCGTCGATCTTGAGCTCACCGTTGGAGGCAAGGGCGGCGCAGTCACGGTCGGGCAGATCGTATACGACAAAAGTTCCCATCAGCTTCGCGCCGGCGGCGTTCTTGGCCTTGATGTCTGCCAGGTAGGTGTCCATAAGAGGGACCTTGGCCATCGTGTCCATCCACACGAACGAGCCGACCTTGGCCACGGCGGAAGCAGCGGGCTTCAGAGATGCGGCAAGAGATGGCATGGCCAGGGTGTAGACCTCGGAGGAGTAGTATGGGTTGGCGTAAAAGTCCTTGCCAGCGAAGGGGTTTCCAGTCGCTGCTGGAGCGGCCGTTGTCGTCGTGGCGCGAGTGGTAGTGGTAGCCCTCGAGGTGGTCGCTTGAGGCAGAGCCTGAGCCACGCCAGCTGCGAGCGCAGCAGTGAAGAGAAGGTTAGACAGCATCGTGACTAGAGAAGAGAGTGTGATGGGGAGTGCGTGAAGAATGTGACGTCCGGCGAGCACGCATATTTGTATGCTGGAGCTCAACCCCGGTGCTGGCGATCATGAAGTCTTCATCAATATCCAAATTACTTCAGCCGGTGTGAATGTCCGTGATGCCGCCGCTGATAGATTTCAAGACTTCTCCAGACAAAGCTCGGTCATTTGATATGTCGATGTGGTACCTGCGCCCCCGGATCTTCTCGAAGCCCGCGAAGAACGTCCATGCTCATGACTCGGCCCGCCTCCACATTTGATGAAGGTGTATTGCTGCGGGGGTACTACAACGGGTACTAGGCAATGCACTCCGGCTGCCGAGCAGGGTCCCAGGTCTGTCAACCGGTGGCTCGTGGGGTGGAGGCTTGGAATGACTTGTCGTCTGCTGGAGCGAACGCAAGCTTGAGGCTGACTAGAGACGTCTAGGTACTAGATCGCCTTGACTTCATATCGGAACGTTGTCGCATTCATGGCGGTCGGTCGTTGCAGCCACAACGGTACTTAGCGTAGCTGTAGACGTGAAGGGATTGGTGATGTGGTTGGGCACAGTCGAGCGAAGGCGGAGCTCGGCTGCTTTGAGCCACTAGCGCGCTTCGACACCAGACTCACGTTGCCTGACACCTAGACATCCTTCTTCAACTCCCATCGCGATGCAACGATATGCCTTCATCATTGCTCGACGTCGCGACGTCAAATACGCCTCATAGAGGCGCCTACCTGCAACCCGGTTCATTATATGGAGACAGGGCTCAGTGCTGCCTGGCGAGGTGTTGTTTCCCGGTTCACCTCGGCCACATTAATCTATTCTGCTGCGGCATGTATATTGCTCGCGCTGCCAACCAAGGGGTCATATGACGTCTCACGAGTAATCGCCTGCGAGTCCGGAGACTTGGGGCGAGCAAGTTGTTAATCAACTCTGAGCATAATGTTCACTATTCAGGATTTGGCAACGGGAGCATGCGTGGGCTGGCAGCATGCTGTGGTGACAGATAGGGAGAAATCAACGGAGTCCTACTTTGGGTACGTTTGGCCTTCTTCGCCACATCTCCACGCACAGGTCATGCGTGGATAGCATGTAAATTTGACCTGAAGGTTTGTGGGTGCACGCCAATGTACATTTCTGATCACTGGAATACGCGTTGTGCCTACATGCGGTTGTACCTATGCTGAGCCAAAGATGAAACATTACTGCTTACTCGACTTTGACAACATCTGCTCTCTTGTGCGCACGATCAAGAAAGCCCTAAAGCATACATCGACTTCCTCCATGAGCTCGTGGAAGCTATAGATGCTATGTCTACTTCTCGTAGCGCATAAGGTCAACCCACAAGAGAAGTCTCATTGTAGTCCGAAGTACGTCGAGAGGCATTCTCAGGCGCATTATGCTACGCTTGCATCCAATACGCATAGCCAACGAGTCAAAGAAGCACAAGATGCGATAATGTTTCCGAAGTCATTGAAGTATATACTACAGATCGTGATCTACAGCAAAGATCACTTGTCAAAATCTTCCTCTCAGATCACGTAAGCTGGTACGAAAAGAATACCTAATTGCAATGCAAGAAATAAACGCCGCCCATATGCTCGAAGGGTATCGTTTGTACCGAATGCTTTTGATGGCTGGACGGAACCAGACCTATGCATGCCCCCATGAAACGCCAAATCCATCGTTCTCTTCACGTAACGACAGGCCGTGATGTTCCGCTGGTCTAAGCGGAGACCAGCGGCCCGTGGAAATCTCTCAGTGTAGCGACCAAGTCGTCTTCGCGGGATAGCTGTAGCAACAACTTCTCTTGCACCTCTTTCCATTTGCGAAGGTCGTCCAACTCGCGTGGGCTCAACCATTTCTCTTCGTTGCCGACTACGTCAGAGCGCTCGGCTTTGGTAAGGGTAAACTCAATCTTCTCTCGTTCGTATTCTATACGTTGGAGGATGCGGACCATGCCCTTGTAAGTGTCGTGGAGCAGCTTCTCGCGGGCGCGCTGCCGATCGTACCAGACAAGGTGGAGGGAATGTTTCGCTTCGCGTCGGTCGACTTTGGGAATCTCCTGCGTCTGGACAAAGCCCTGGATGGTGAGGTCGTTGACTATGCCGCGAACGTCGGCGGCGGGCATCATCATGACGTTGCACATGGCGCGCTCGTCGAGCTTGCCCTTCTTCTTCAACGCGCGAACCAGCTTCACGCCCAAGGATCCCTTCCTTGCAGAAATGGTGTTCTCGATCTCGGTCTGTATCATCTGCCGCGCGATCTCGTCGAACTCAATGTGCCATTGCGAGAATCCGGCGCGAGAGTGCCAGGTGACAAAGTGAAACGGGTCTTCAGCCAGCATCTGTATATGCTTGTCCACGACCTTGGTCCTGTCTTCCATATTGAGGGTTGCGGGGTCAACTGGCTGTGTCCAGATTGTGGCTCGATTGATGTGCCCTTTGCGAGTCATTTGGGCCGCTGCGTTCGGATCGAGGCCCTCGAAGATGTCCAGATCGCGCTCACGGCTGAGCTTCGTAGCGACGTCGCGGGCGGTTACGAGGAAGCGTGGATCGATCGAGTTCTCTCCAGCTTCGCCGGCAGGTAGCGGTGGGTCAGGCCACTCTTCCCAGCAGCGAGGTGTCTTGGACTCGAGCATGCGCAACATGGTCTGGTAAACGCGCGCAGTAATAGAACCGAGACGTTGTTGTACCAAACTCACCAGCTGCTCCGTCCGCATGGCGACTGCGATCTTCTCCGGGTTAACGCGAATAACGAGGTCGTCGTCCGATGATGGTGCCGCCCATCCATTTGTGCCGTTCGTACCGTTGATCTTCACGCGCTTGTTGGAACCATTCGTCTGTCCGTTTCGGGCGAACTTTGGGACCGTCAGCCATTCGTCGCGCATTGCCCGTTTACGCTGCAAGGTCCCTCTGAGGACGATATCCTTGTCTTTGGTGCCTGTGGGTGTGACGCCATTGTTGTCTTGCTCGATGGACTCCTGGTAGAGCATGTCGTGCATATCGCCGGGGGAGAGGTATTGTGTTTCAGTGACTGTCCTGATCCAGCCGCGCTCCATCAACCGCTGAATGATTTCGTACAGCTCCTCGACGGACCCAATGTCGCTGTCATCCTGTTCCTGACCGGGCTCTTCTGGAGCGCTGTTGTGGGTCACGCTGTCCACCTTGGAGGGCTTATGCACGCCGTTGGTCTTGCCGTGGCCGTTGGTGAGTTCGGTGGGGTCTGGTTTTGCGTCGTCTAACTCAGAGGCTGTGCCGTTCGTGACGCCATTCGTCTTCGCTGTCCCGTTGACGTGAGTGCCGTTGGTCCGTTTCCGCTTTGAGCCGGCCCCGTTGGCCGCGCCGTCGTCTGAGTCATAGTCGCTTTCAGTTTCGGAGGGGAAGTAAGCTTCTTTCAAGTCGGCGATGCGTGTGTGCCCGAGCGCGAGCAGGTTGGACATGACGTTGGCGGCCTTTTTGCCGTCGCGATCTTGGACGAGCTTGACGATCTTGCCGAAGCGGACGATTGCGTACGAGTTTT